TCAGAAATCTCCTTTTCACTTTAGTTATTGATGTTCCTGTTGGTTTGTGAGATTCGCCTGTTCAAAACTATCAGTAAATAGCAGAAAGACTAGGAGGGGAGAGGGAAGGGACCAGGGGAGGGAGCGAGGAGGGGAGGGAAGGGGAAGTACTGGGGACGGAGTCAGAACAAATGATATTCCATGCTTTTATAATCTGTCAAAATGAATCCTACAGTTATGTATAACTAAAAAGAATCAGAGAGAGGGAGAGGGAGAGGGAGAGGGAGATATCCTAAAGGAATAATTTCCTTAAGAGGTCACTTGTAACAGGACTAATGTAAAACGCCATGTCACGACGAGTTTCATGCGGGACATGAGGACCACGTTGGCGAGGACGGGGTGACTTTCCTCAGCAATGTCCTGGAGCTGTTCCACCCTGACTGTGAGGACCACATGGGGAGCCCTGCTTGGGGATACTGAGAAGAAGCTTTAAAGATGAATCTGGCAGGTGGCAGTAAACAAAGCCCTTCTTACCTGCCAGTGACTGTGACAAGAAGGGTGGCTTCCCAGACACTGGGGAATGCACATCCAGCAAAACACGAGGATGTGCTGGAGGCACCCCTAAGGAACCCCCTAAGGCACCCCAGCCAACCCAGGTTTTAGAGACAGGGAAGCTGAGACGTGGGGACAGGAAGCACTCCTAAAGAGGAGGGCTCCCAGGACATCTCCTGGCCTCTGGCTCCATCCAGCCTGCTACACAGCAGGAGAAAGACACCCTCTGCAGGGAAAGCAGGCTTGGGACCAGGTTTCAAGCTGGGGCCGGCCAAGGCTCTGCCACGGCTGCCGAGGGGCAGAGGATGAATGAAGTCAGCTTTTCCCTTTAGACAGGGTGAGAGCAACTGCAAGAAAAGAAAGGGCTTCCTTCTCCCTGGTGAGTGCTCTCACTTTCCTAGAGCCCTACTTTAGAGTAGAGCTAATTTGATTCCAAGTCTTTTCTCTTCTCTTTGAAATGTATATAAATCCTTCTGAAAACCAGGCACGCGTTTGTCTTTTACACCCAGAAATGTCATTATACAGGACCTAGGAGTTAGTGTCCTGGTCTCTCAGTTTCTGAGGGAGAAAAGGGACCTAATTTCATGGGGGACCTTGGTCTAAGTTGTAAAACTGTCTCTTGTCATAAAGACTTGCATGTTTATTTTTCTTCTGCACAAAGACAATCAGCTAAGCAGGTGGTGCCCCAATTGCCAGGTGAATCTCACTAACTGTGACAAATGGTGCTGTCCAGTCCTCTCACTTGAGGACAGGAGGTTGATCCTGAAGTCAGGTGCGTAGTGGGTTATGACTGCTTGGTTATATGCAAGGGTGAAGTTTCTGTCTGTCTCTGAAATCTCTTAGAAGGATGCTTGTGATGTGCTTCATACTCTGGGTTAATTACTTAGTAATAAAACTTTCTTTTCCCCCCTCTACTACCTTTGTGGAGAGCTTCTCTAGGTTGGGAGAAGGTTTTGTTGTAAGTTTTCTTATCCCAGCAGATAATACTCTGGACCTCCCTGGAGAATACCATGGGTGACCTCAGGACCAGGTTGGATGTCCCTTCTGTTCTCACGGAGCTTGGCCAGAAGAGGAAGTACTACATAGTGGTCAAGACCAAATCTGGAACAGCAGTTACCCTAGCAGCATTTGTTATTGCTACAGTCCACTGGGCAAACTGGGCTGCTGGTTGCTTCTCTGGTCTGTTTTCTTCCACAGGAGACAGCAACCTCCTTGGTGGCAATGGCTGCCTCCTGTGCACCTCTGTCATTGAGAGACCCCTACCAAAGCCCTGCCCAGGGGAGGCTCCCAAAACGGCTGAGCAAGTAAACAGCTGACAAGAAACACGATAACCTAGACTCAGAAGAGGGAACTTCACATGGAATAAAAACAAAGGGCATTTCATTAAAACCCCATACTTACTAAAGGAAAGCCTTTCACACGGGCTGTGGGAGCCTGAGTCATGGCAGGTTCATTAGTAGCACTATTTATTTATGGTTTGTTTAGGTGGCAGGGATCAGGGCCTTGTGCGGGCAGGTCCCACTGAGCTGCACCCAGCCCTGGAGAGTCCTTACACAGTGGTATAAAGTATGCAGATGGAGCTTCTACTCTTCCCCCTTCTCTTTTCTTCTATTGACCAGAAGCTTCCTCCCTAAGGGTCAGATGCTCACTAAGATACAGTTGGAAGCATTCCCTGGTCTCAGGCAGAGGGAGGTGGGAATGCTGAGAACATGCCAAACAACAGCTCACCCCGAATTCTGACCCAAGTTGGACACTTAGTATGTTCCAGCCACACAGAATCTGTCATTTAGTGTCACATATGTTCTGTGAGATGCATACTTTCATTTTCTGTTGGTACAGGTAAGGAGGCTCAGGGAGGTGCATTGCCTGAGGCCACACAGCTGGTCAATGGAGCCAGGCTTTGCCTCTAAGTTGGCCTTGAACCTGCCACCAGCCCACTCCCCTGGGGCCAGTGAGCAGTCACTCCCATTCCCTTTCTCCCCATCTCTGGCAACCACTAACGTATTTTCTATAGATTTCCCATTCTGGACATCACAGATGGAATCAGACATCACTTAGCCCTTGGTGACTGCTTTCACTGGGCACAATGTTTTCAAGGTGTCAGCATTTCCTTCTTTGTTGTGGCTGAATGCTACTCTGTTGTATGGATAGACCTTTATTTATTTATCCATTCGTCAGCTGATGGACATTTGGGTGTTGCGCTTTTAGTGGGGGTGAATGCTGCTGCTATGAATGTTCACAACGCTGGTCTTTAAAAATTCTATACTGCTAAATCCAACGGGCACATCTCTGTCGCTTCTTACATAACCACTCAGGAGCACTTGGCACAGTGGCCCAACTGCCCTTCTCAGAGACTGGCCTCAGCTCATTTTCTTCCCCTTCCTCCTCCATCTCTGCCTAGTCCTCTGCCTCTTTTCTCAGTTTTGACCCCTCCTGCCCACTGTCCACACAGCATTCCAGGGTTCTCATGTGAGCCTCTCCCCTTACCTCCCTGCTGGACACCACCCAACGGCTTCCCTTTAGGATGAACTCCACACTCTTCACATGGCCTGAGAGGCCGGCTCTGGTGTCCTTGCTGCACTCTGGTTGTAGGAGGTTCTTGTCTTTTTAAGTTTAGTTTTTCCTAAACAACAAACTTTATGTCCCTGCCCGTCCCCCCCATTCCTTCTCGATGGCTCCCACTTTCCATTCTTCAGGTCTCAGCCTGGTTCACAGTCACACAGAGTCCAACCCCCTGACCCCTTGCCGCCATATTGAATGAAGTCCCACCCTGGATAAGCTCCCATTCAGCACTTGGGTCCTGCCCAGCTTGTTTCTGTTTTCTCCTCGGTGTGGGTGGCTTTGCTTGTGTGTGTCATCGGCTTTAGACTATAAGATTCATGAGAGAGGAGACCTTGTCTGAATTCCTGTATTTTACTCCCAGGGCCTATCATTTAATAGTTGCTCAGTAGATATTTATGGATGAATTAAAGAAACAAAGGCCTGGAAGATGAAGTCAGCTGGGATCAAGGAATAGCAGAAGAGTCTGCATCTGTTAGACGAGCTCTAAAGGGTTAAGAAATGTCATGATGACGGCAGTTAAATAAGCATTCACATATAATTGCTGCTTAGTAATGTACAGAAACCAGAATTATGTCAAAAGGTCAGAATTTGGATTTCTGGACTTGGTGACCCCATTTTCCCACCTGGTTCCGTGTTCTGCCGATCCTGGCCCATGGGTGGCCAGCTTTCCAGATGGGGCTACAAGTGACCTCCTGGCCACTCTGGGCTCATCACTATTCCTCCACCTGAAGTGCACGTCACTCTCTGTTTCATCTAGAAGGACCTATCATTGTCCTCTGTTCTTGAAAAAATCATGCTCAACTCTGCACGACCCCCCAGAGATAATCAGATCCCTCTCTCCTCTCGGTTCTTTCTTGGCATTTTGTACCCAGGTTATTTCGAGTACAACTGCGTTGTGGACACATTTGTCCCTCTCACGGGACTCAGAGCTGTTTGAGAGTAGAGCTGGTGACTAATTCATTTCTGAGTTCTTCATTCATCTGACAAATACTGACGGCACATCTATCATGTGCTAAGCCCTGAAGCCCAGAACCAAGCTCAGAGGCTGGTGGGCAGTAAACCCTCGTGGAGTACTGGAGGGGCCTGGAGGGTTGCACCTGGCTGGAGTCCGAGTCTCTTCACCCATATTATCAGAGAGGATTAGATTGAGAACAGAGGAAAGAGAAAAACTCCCAGAAAACATAGTACAACTAGGCACCATGGTGTTGAGACCATAGACCTGGAGTTGCCACCCACCCAGTGAGGTACAAAGAGAACCCTGCTTCCCAACCACTGACCCCTGCAGCAGGGAGATCAGCTAGCAGCAGAGCCAAGAGCCCACATGCCAGCTTCTGCGCCTTTGCCCAACCTCCTGGTCACATAAGTCATCCCTCCATGGAGCAATGAGGGGGTTGGAAAAAAGGCAAGAAAGATGTCTTTCCTGATATTTGTGAACGGTCCGAACCCCCTACAGTGCCTGCAGGACGGACCAAGTTGGCAATTCAGGGAAAGGATAAATGCCCTTTCTGCTTGCCCTCCTGAGGAGGTTTTAAAAGGATGGATGGATTTTTAAATCAAGTCTAGTGCTTGAGGGGTAAAAAGACAAGGGAGTTACATTGAAATGGTACATTACTCAGGACTTTATGCATAATTTCAAAAGATGTTGAACAAAAATTAATGCCAGGGCAGAAGTTCAGGCCCAAATGATAGAAAACCACCAATGCAGACAGGCATCCAGTCAAGCAGGCTGAAATATGAAGTCTTAATGTAGCTAGAAAGCTCTAAGAGTTCTGCTTCTCAGCGGAGGTTGTGCTTAAGGGCTCTATGTCAATTCAAAGCACTTAACTTTTGAAGTTCACCAAATGACTCAATAAAAGCGTGATGTCCCCTGACTGCCCCCCACCCCACCTCCTACAGTCGTCACTTACCGTGAGCTCTTTGCTTTTAGCAAAAGGCCACCAGCCACGCACACGCTTCTGCTGGAATATAGAGATCTTGTTCTCCTCCTTGGCGTTTTCAAACTTGGAGAGATCACAGGCTTTGGCCGATTTGGCAGCTCGAGGGAAACTGTTGAGGTTCATTTCTAGGGAGCCTGTGAAGAGACGCCCAGGACGGTTGTGGAAAACTGAAAAGTTCCGGAAGAACTTTTCTTTTCCTGTTTTTTTTTTTTTTTTTTTTGGTTCTGGGGTTGAACCCAGGGGCACTCTACAACCAAATACACCCCAATCCTATTTATTTTATTTGAGATGGAGTCTCTGTAAATTGCTCAGGCTGGCCTTGAACTTGTGATCCTCCTGCTTCAGCCTCCCAAGTAGCTGGGATTACAGGCGTGTGCCACTGTGCCCATCTGGAATGACTATTCAGTCACCATCTGCACTCGACAGTTCACTCACCAGTCATGTGATGGGTATAATGTGGGAGGTCATATGTGCCAGGTATCGGGAGAATAAATATGACGATGTTGGGTGCCATCAAGGAATCAATGACTTGTTTGCAGACAGAAGATGAGGCAGAACTACAGTATGTGGCTTTCAAGTCTCAGGTTGGGTGTCTTGGCTACTGGGCACCTTCCCTGCTCTGCCAGTGGGCGCCCTGGGGCTGGACGACATGCCTTAGCTTCCTCCTCCTCAGCACTGATGCCCTGTGAGAGGTCCCCCACCTACTGCCTCCCCTTCATCTTGGAGCCCACTCCTCCTCCAGCTCAAGGCCAAGTTCTCTGCCTTTGAGTCTACTCCCAGGACAGACAGCAGACTTTAGTGGGGTCTCTATACTATTTCTTCAGAGTAAAATGGAGAGAATCCTAGATCTTGTTTTAACAATTTTTTTTTTCGTATTAGAAAGTAATATTTGTAAATTATGGAAATTTTAAAGCATGCAAAAAGTTGAGAACAGAAAATGTTTCCATAGTTCCATTCCCCCCAAATTGGCTACAGCTTTCTGTATGGTCAGTTATTACTACTAGCTCCCCCTCCCCCCTCTCCCTATGAATTTCATATATATATATATATATATATATATATATATATATGAACATATTTTACAGAAATCAGATTTTTTTCACACTCTTACTTAATGCATCCTGTACAATTTTCCAACATATTAAATATTCCAGTATTTTTTAATGGTTGCAATGTTATTGAGTGCTTACTATATTCAAGTCACTGTGGTTTGTTCTTTTATTTATTTATTTTTTGGTAGTGCTGGGGAATGAACCCAGGGCCTTGTGTACTCGAGGCAAGCACTCTACCAACTGAGCTATATCCCCAGCCCGCGGTTTGTTCTTTAATTACATTGTCACATTACAGCTTCACCACCCTCTGACATATATAATACTTCTATTCCCATTTTGTAAAGGAGGAAGACAGGCTCAGAGTGGACCTATGAATTCCAAGTTTAACCACCTTTTAGTGATAGAATAAAAATCAACTTATGTCTATTTGAATGTGTAGTGGTCCATCATATGGTTGCCCCACAATTTATTTAGCCAATTGTATCATCATAGCTGTTTGGGTTGTTTCCAATTTCTTCCTATCATAAATAGCACAGAAATTATTATCCTTGTAACTGAATTAGACACAGATCTCCAAAAGCTGGAACAGAACCCTGAACATTAATATATGCTTGATGAAGCCACTGGCTTACCCAGGAAGTCATCTGAGGACAGCCTTTCAAAATCCCAAACCTGCAGCACCAACACAGCTGGAGTCTTACACTCCATCTTCTCTAAGGAAAAGATATTCTCCCTCTTGGTAATGACCATTTGCTTCTCAGCTGGGAGATACTGAAACGGAAACAGGAAGCGCCAGTTGAAGTTCCCTTCTCCTGTGAGGGAGTTGTAGTGCACGTCTGTCTCCTGCTTGTCATCCTCCAAACCCTTTATCCACCTGAATGAAGAGTAAAGCAAAGTTCAAACACTCAGAGTACATGATCAGGCATCAGTATAATCAAGAGGTTCAATGTGGCCACAGCTTTAAAATTATCATGTGATTAGACCAAATGGAAGTTTCCACTGAAATTTAAAAGAGGAAAAGAGGTATCAAAGGGCTTGGAACAGACCTAAGACTCACTTCACCCTCAGGCAGGGTGGGGAGTGTCTTCCATTTTTTGGGCACACCTGAAACCCCATGTGATCAAGATGGAAAATTTAGGAAATAGGAAGTGAAGATATAGTCTGAACCCATTGCCCTGGGGACCCTCTTTGTAAGGGTCTCATCTCTGTACCAGAGTGTTAGAACAAGATTGCACACTACTCTGAGCCCTCTAGAATTGGGCTGGATGAGACCTGAGCTCAGGCCTGTTTTATGCCCCTCCTCTCTGGCCCTGAGAGTCCAGCCGGCCTGGATCAGTGGCATGGAGGATAGGGGTGCTACCTGTGGCCACCTGGGTTCTAATTCTGGCTCTGCTGCCTACTAACTGTGCAGCCATGGATAAGTTTTCTAACTTCTCTATGTTGTTTCATCTATAAAATGGAAGCAGTTACAGTATCTGGTTCATAGGGCTGTGAGCTAATATATATAATGTGCTCTGGGGTACTCCAAATTCTCTACCTTGTTCTTTCTTAGTATTATCTGGTTTTCTCCTCCATGCCCAGCGTTATATAAGCTCTGACTAGCAAATGTTTCCCTAGGACTTTATCCATGGTGAATTAGTTAATTTAGAAAAGTAAGTACTTTTTGCTCATGCTAAATGACAATCCAAACCCCTTGCTTTCAGAAAGCAGAGGACTCTCCTACCCAGGGTAGGGAAGGGGAGGCAAGACCCTTCCTTTCATAGAGCAGTGATACCACTTGGGTTATGGACCAAATTATTTAGCTAAAGAAAGAAAAAAATGGCAGAAAGATACAGCAGTGTGAGACAGGAGGGTCTGGGACAATATCTTGCACTACTGAGCTACTAGAGGGAGGAGAATATGCTTTTAAATCCCTGAGAAGAAACCAACAGGGTAGAAAGAAGACCAGAAGAGGGTGTTGCCACAAAGGTTAGGCTAAAAAAACAGTGTGTTTCAAAAAGATGTGGTCAGTTATGTCAAGTGCTCAATAGAGGACAATAAGGTAAAGGCATTAAACCCAAACGGGACCATTAGGGTCAGAGAAGTGGGGAGCCCGGCACTTTAGTGAGGGCTGCTTTGGAGGAGTGTTGGGGAGGAAGCCAGACTGGCATTGGGTGAGAAGCTGGGGGAGGCCAGTAAAGGAAGAGAACAGGTATAAACATCTGTTTCTGTTCACATTAGTGGGCCAGGGTCTGGAAGCCTCAATCTGAACTCCCCTAGAACCTTCCATGTTGTGAGCCATGATAAAATACCTTTTTATAGGACACTTGAGTCTTTCCTGAACTAGCGATCAGAAAGCAATTTCAGAGAATCCTAATTCCGCCTTTTAAACTATTGTTTGAGTCATGCTACTTCTATTGCTCCTTCTTGGTTAATATTCAACTCACCCTTGTATTCTTGTCCTGAAAAAATGAGAATTTTGAACCACTGATCATATTTTGACTGTCAAATGCTTGGGTAATATGCATTCTGAAGACGGGATGTTCCCTACTTGGGAAAGGCCAGGGGATTAGCATGAGGCTAGGAGGGTTTACTACTTCCGAGATGAGTTTTAGTTAAAGTACAAATTTAAATTACTTAAAAAAAAATTCTCTACCACCTCATCCCCTTCTCTGACTAGGGCTAAAAGGAAGCAGGGTAAAGATGTAAGAGAGACCATCAGATGCTTCATTCCCTGGGTCAATAGGTTGGTATCTCTTTTATCAGTAGCACTAGCAAATGGGCAGGTCTAGGTTTTAATTTTTTAATTTAATTTTACAATCTGCTAGACTGATTCATCTTTCACTGATAGCAGCTCAGCACTCTGCTGTTTTCTGTTTAAAAGTCCATAGATCTTGAATGTCACTTAAAAGGTTTAAGTATCTAACATCCAATCGAAACATGTTTATATAATAAAATTTACTAAAATATTTTTGTAAGATAATAATTCTTAACAAAGTGACAAAATAAGACAAATATTTGCCTTTATCTAACCAATTTAGATGAGCTGCAGCCATGAGATGTGGGTGTAGCATCTTCCACAAGGTAGAGACTTGGCTAGGGATTAAAGGGATGAGGAGAGGGAGGAAGGAAGAACGGGGTTTGCTGAAACACTTACCCTTTAACATAAATATCACTTGATTTTTGGCCTGTGAAGATATTTTCATCCTCCAAAATGACATCTTCAGTGTTCCAGATAGTCACCCTCAACTCATACCTGGGGGGGGGGGTGGGGAAGGCAGCATTAGGTAGATGACCTTGAAAACTGACTCAACTGGTGTCAGTGTGATTCTAGTGCTGCCTTTGGTCCCTGGGCATCTTTATATCTGCTAACTTCAAAATATCAGACTCAAGGTCTTGGTTCCATTAGAATTTCATATCCTGGATGGAGAGCTCAGACTTGCCAAGGGCATGAATTGCTCTGAGCAGACCCTCCTTCTCTTAATAGGCAATTTTCTCATGAGGAACTTGAAGATCAGAAGCCATCATTTCAACCACCATCACCTACTCCCTGCTGTAACCGGGCAGGTAGAAATTGAGGTATGAGTGAAGGTAACCTATCAGACACCAGATCAAAGGCCACCACTGTTCAGTCTGCTACCACGGCCTCTTCTCCTAAAGCTGGGTGCCGCTGGCTTACCCTTTGGGTTTCCTTGGTGAAATGTCAACGGGAGGTCCTGGCTGAGGCATATCCTTGGGAAACATGTCCACCCACATCTGCAGGCGGCCCTTGTTAGGAAAAGAAGATCATTAGCTTTGGTAGAGGGTGGGGTCATAGCTAATTAACCATGAGTAGTTTTAACAGATCCCATTACTAGAAAATTTGTATTGGGCTTAGTGTGGTAGCTTTGTACATGTGTAGCATATGTGTTAATAAAGACAGAACTTAAGTTCTTATTAGGAATTAGATCATATTTTAATAGGAGAAGGGTGGGCAGATTCTTACTGAGCAGCTACTATGTGGTAGACACAGTGTTATACACTGAAACACAGCGAGTTCTTGCAATACCCCAGAGAGAGTGCCACTACTCCCACTTGGCGGATGAGAAGACTTCATGCCCACACTCACTCACTGATCCAGCCCTGTCTGTGACCTTAGAAACCCTGCTCTTTCCACACATTCCTAAAGATCAAGAAGGGGACGATACTATCTCCCAGAAAGACCATGCTTCATCGTTTCCAGTGTACCTCTCTGCATCCTTTATCTCTGTTAACATCCACCCCAGGCACGCTTCCACTTCACAGACAGAGGCTTAGAGAAGTCAAGGGAAGGAGCTGAAGTTCTGTGGCTAACTAGTGTCAGTTTAGGGCCTTCTGTCCATTGCCTGGAACTCTCCCCTGTGGACAGAGACTTCAGAGCACCTCAGGAGAAGCTCCATGCGTTCCATGCTCAGCTCTTGTGTGTATTATAAACATTCGTCAGCTCAGGCAAGAGGACGAGAGCGTGACGAGGGCTGGGGACAACCAGGGGAGGTTTCATAAGGAGATGGAATTCCACTGGTGTATGAAGGACGTGAAGGATTTGGGTAAGAGGGGGGCTTTGGCTAGGGGAGAAAAAAAGCTTTCAGAAGATGAACAATATAAGCAAAGGTTTAGCATTGGGAAGAACACTCAATGGAGTCCTAAGGAAAATTGGTACAATTTCTTGTGAAAAGGTGCATTAACTTTCAACCTTAATCAAAAAGTCACATCTGACAGGAAAAAGAAAGGATCCATTACCAACATATCTCAAACATCGGCGATGATTTCAAAAAGACAATCAGCTTCTACATCTGATAATGGTTTACTCTTTCAAGATGGACCGCCTCCCCCCCCCCCCCCCACTGTCCCAGACACTGCTGGCCCTTTACCCTGGAGCTCACGTGCCTTGCCTGTTACACAGTGAATGAATCTCAAGCTGGGACAGGAGCAACCTGGCCTGGGTCAGAGCACAGGGGAGGGACTCACACGGCCTGTGTGACATCCCAGTCTTGCCAGCCTGGAAACATGGAGTAAGCCTCTCTCAGTTTCAATCTCCTAATCTTAAAAGTGCCCTCAGTCATTCAAGATGGCTCCAGTTTGGATAAACAACTCTATGGTTGTCCTGAACAGGCGAGAGGATTTGTATTAAAGATCTTGCTCGTGGAAGGCTCTTAACCAAGTTTGTCTTCTCTTTCTTCTCACTCCTAACCTTGCTGTGTGGTTTGGTTTTTTCCACACAGTTTCTTCTTGCCAATTCTTCAAGGTAAGCCATCCTCTGTTGCTTCTCTAGGAAAACTTCGTGTGTGTGTGTGTGTGTGTGTGTCCCTGTGCACATGCGCAGGGGAGCACCTAAATCAGATATTAGACAAGGTCTGAGGTGTGTCTGATGAGTTTCAAAGTTCCTTTAATGTCAAGATTTACCAAAGAGTTTGAGAACTCAAATCATAAAATGGAAAAGTACTAACAAAGCCAACACTGGCTCCAACTTCTGCATAACTGGCATTTGGGGCTAGATGTTCTTTGTTTTTGCGGGGGGTGGGGTGGGCGGGGGCATCCTGTGCATTGTGGGAGTTTGATTTAGCAGCATCCCTGCCCTTCCACCCACGAGAGGCCAAACATTTTTGGTTGTTGGAGGTGGGTGGGAGCTTCTGGCATCTATCTTTAGATTCCCCCTACACACATTACTCTAGGACACTGGAGACTAGTTTTTAGGGACAGCACCACTCCCCTTGGGGACAAGCACTCCTACGGGGGCCAGGCCCGTCTTGCCAATACCTGCTCCATTCCTGGCTTATCCTTGTGGTAGAGCGGCCGAGTTTCTATGTGCTCGGGAACCAGCCTGCACCCCACCTCTGGGATATCCTCCCAGGAGTGGAGAACCTTGAGGGCCAAGTGCTCATAGGACTCCACCATCTCCTCTGCAGGGAAGAAGACAGAGAAAGAGACTTGTCAGATGGTGTTCCCGAAAGGAGGCAGCAAGGGACATCAGATGCCCCCTTAACACTTCCTTTAAGGTTCATTTTTAAAAATACAGATGAAAGGGGAGAGAAAAGACAGCAAAGAGAAAAGGAAAGGGGAAATGGAGAAAAAGAGGGGGAGGAGAAAGAGAAGAGAGAAAAGGGAGGGTTGACAAGAAACTCAGAGAGCCGCAGGGGTCCTGGCATAGGGGCTCCATCCACCCACTAAGGCAGATTTCTCCAGAATGCATGGATCACAGCCTGGCTTCAGGCTACGGGAGAGGACCTGTCTTGGGGAATGCGAAACTGTTGGTAACTCCACAGTGAGAGGGCCTCGGGTCAGCGCAGCCCTAAGCAAGGCGGTGACCATATGTGTTCCTAGAGGTCTCTTGTTCTCATTATTGCTGGACGCGCCCTCACACCAATACCCACTGTTATGGTTTAGATATTAGGTGTTCCCCAAAAGCTCACGTGTGAGACAATGCAAGAAGGTTTAGAGGAGAAATGATTGGATTATGAGGGTGTTAACCCAATCAGTGAATTGATCCCCTGGTGGGATTAACTGAGTGGTAACTGGGGGCAGGTGGGGTGTGGCTATGGGCTATATATTTTGTATTGGTAAGTGAAGTCTTTCTCTGTGCTTCCTGATCATCATGTGAGCTGCTTCCCTCCATCACACTCTCACCATCCATGATGTTTTGCCTCACCTCAAGTCCCGAGGAATGGAGCTGGCTGTCTATGGATGGAGACCTCTGAACCTTTGAGCCATAAATATACTTTTCCTCCTCTCAATTTGTCTTTTAATCACCAAAAAAAAAAAAAAACCTGACTAAAACGTTCATCACTGGAAAGGGTCTCTGATTGTCATTCTACCGAAGGAGATGACTTATGATAACAATAGCAGCAGGAAGAGTACTCACAATATAAGACAAAAATAGAGAAAATAAAATCTTTACAAAGCTTAGGAAGGACCATAGTTGATTAAGAAAAATTGAATTTGGCTTTTTAAAAGGAGCCATAAAATAAATCTCCCAATGGCAGGCAGTAAGTACAATCAATAAAATGTTGACAGGCACAAACAAAATTAATGGATGAAATCTTTGTCATAAAATTTAATCAGTCAGGAACTGACCCCCAAAACATAAATCTAGCCAGGTGCAGTGGTGCACATCTGTAATTCCAGCAGCTCAGGAGACCGAGACAGGAGAATAGCAAATTCAAAGCCAGCCTCAGCAATGGCAAGGTGCTAAGCAACTCAGTGAGACCCTGTCTCTAGATAAAATACAAAATGGGCTGGGGATGTGGCTCATTCACCGAGTTCCCCTGAGTTCAATCCCCAGTACCCCCCCCTCAAAAAAACCCCATGATTTTAGATTTTTTAGTGGGCAAAAAGATCATTATTTAATAATAAAATATAGAATACTGCCCAAGAATTAATTTGACTTTAGAATATATTGTGAAATGTATTTTTTTTCAACAGAAATCCATCCATAATACACAGTTTCAATATCAATAACTTTGCATGTAAGAACCTAGGATCTGGGGGGACTAAAGTACGAAGCAGAAAGAAACCTTAGTACCAAAATTATGGGGCTCAATAGGAACCAACAAACCCTGTATTGTGTCCTTAATTGAGCCCTTTGCACCAAAAGTACTGAACTGTTCTAGAGTGGCAGCAATGTGCAGATGTAACAGTAAAAAGTTGTTCTGTATCATTAAAGCAAAGGTGGATTTTTTTCATTCTGAATACATGGAAGTTTCTCTGGGAACTTTCTGGCATGTCCTATGATGCTTGTGTAGAAAACCTACTTGTTGTTATTGAAATAAGATAGTTATGGGTACAGCATTTATGGAGTAATCAATTGTACCCAATTATTTATATAATATTAATTTTAAGGTTACTGTCTCTATTCTGACCTGATCCTATCTTATGATCTATACTCTAGAAATACAAAAAATGTGCAAAAACATGGATAAGGAACTTGTAATTAATGCTACAATTAATCAATGGTCACTACAAAAATGAGCAGGATGTAGCTAAAAATAGCATAATCATGAAATGGAATTTTATCAAAATAAATCAAATATTGATAATAATTGTTCAATAATGGAGTATTATAAAAGAACAAAGCAGAATCATCATAATCCATTGGAAATAAAGAAAAAGCAGCGTAAAAGGTAAAAGATTCATGTGATCGGAAGAGAAACCAGAGTATGTGGCTCAGTGGCAGAGCACTCATCTAGCAAGTGTGAGGTACTGGGTTCAATCCTTAGTACCACATAAGAATAAACAAAATAAAGGAATGCTGTCCATCTACAACTACAAAAAAATTTTTTTTAAAAAGCAGGGTACAAAACTATGGCATGTTTCCAGTCCTTTAAAAATGTAACGTATTATACACAGACAAACCCACACAGAATGTAGCACAGCTAGCTGTCTGAATTTGGGGATGGTGAGTGGTTTCCAGTCTCCTACTTGCTTTTCCACATTTCTGCTGTGGGCATGCATTACTTTCTGATTAGAGGATGCACTGTGCCCTGGAACACCATGGAATCATGCTCCTCAGGAGGAGAGCTACAGCAGAGGACTCTGAGGGGGGTTACCAGTGTCTTCGTCGGTGAAGACTGTTTTTCCAGAAAAGACCTTGCTTCCGATCTGTATTTTCCCAGGGCGAAAGTAGGGTCCATCCAGCTTGTTGTCTTTGCAGAGCTTGGTGAGGATCTCCGTGGGTTTGGATGTGTCCCTCCAGGCATTGTACCCTTCTCTGAAAAGTGGAGCAAGTTACAGAAGGGTGAGGCCTGGCTTCCCCTGGAGAACACTCTGAAGTGCCCCCATAGTCAGGCCACCCAAGGGTGACCTGGGCAGGTTCCTTAGATTCACTGGCCATTCTCTACACCTGGGGCCGGTGTTTTTGTCCTGTTTCTTTCCTTTCTGGTCAAACACTTTTGCATATATCCAGCTTGCAGGTAAGTCAGGACTTGTGAGTGGAAGAAGTGACCTTGGCATAACAGTGTTAACCATGTTAAAGTTCATCCATTTGGTGGTATTTCCTATGTTCACAATGATGTGCTACCACTACCTCCAACTAGTTTCAAAAATTTTTCATCACCCCCCACCCCCCCAAAAAAAAGCCCTGTATCCCAAAGAGCAGTCACTCCTCTTCCAGCTCCTCAGAACCTGTGATAGCCACCAATCTGCTTTTGTTTCCTGGCAGGTAATTTTTGTCCAGTTTGGTTCCTTGCCCTGTGGCTGCTGCTTATTCTAAGAGGAAAGCCTCACTCATCCTTCCCATCTCTCTGCTCCTTTCTTCCCTTCTCTTCCTCCACAAGAACCATACATGGACTCAAGTCACAGGCAGACGGTCTGCAAGTGTTGTTCCTTTAATCAGTGATTTGAAGTTCCTAAATCTCCCCAACCCTTCCTTCCTTTAAAAAAAAGTAGCTGTTTGTTAAAAATTATTAATTTGCAAGGAAGTTCTAAGAACTATGACCAAGATAGCTTGGTTGTCTCTGCACATCGGGACACAAAGTTCCATCAGAATTTAACCCACTTAAAAATTTGAATGATTCAAAAAGGCCCACACAGTAGTTTCCCACATGGTATCTGTGATGTGAAGATCCTAGGAAGTTCATCCACCCCAGCCTGAAGCCACACAGGGGTCGCCCTCTAAATACGTGCTCTCATCTTATATAAAAGTGTTCAAGTGAACAAAACTGGCATATTCCCTGAAGAAACCGCTATCTGGCGAGTCCACCATCAGGAACTCTTTCAAACAAAGTTTACATCACATTTGTCTGCAGTCACCCTCTCGGATTTCAGAATAAGAATACCTAGTCACGGAGCAGAACACTCCAGGGTACTTGGAAAGTCATGACAATTCCCAGGAGACTTGGGCATTCACTAGAGTCCCCCAGTGAACTGGATTCTAGCCTCCCAAAAGAGAAGACCAGACAAAGAGACGGCTGGAAGTCTTGCTATGGAGGAGATAGGGCTCAACTCCCTCAGTGAGAGTGTGAACAGGCACCATCCTTCTAACAGGCCATTTGGACACAAAATATGCATTCATTTTAATAGAATAATCCACATTGATGGAATAATCCATCGTTGGATACCCAGTGAATTCAGAGAGGTCCTTGGCCGGCTTTCATACTAGGATGCTCACAGCAGCAATATTTATAATACAATAAAGAATATATTAGTGCCCTACAGTTCAGGAAGAAAAAGTGGCTCCATTATTTTATAATAAATTTATGTGGTGGAATACTGTAGAGCTATTGAAGTAATAATTATAAAGAATACTGATGAGGGCTGGGGCTGGGGCTCAGAGGCAGAGTGCTCGCCTGGAATGTGTGAGGCACTGGGTTCGATCCTCAGCACCACATAAAATAAAATAAAAAAGTTATTGTGTCCACCTATAATTAAAAAATAAATTAAAAAAAAGAAGACCGATGACATTATAAAATCTTAGGCTATAAGGGTTAGTATAACCAGCAGTTTACAAAACTTCCTGGGTAGTGTGAATTCAACTTTGGGGAAAAAAATAAAATAGAAAAATATTAAAAGAAAGTATGCAAAAATGTTTATGTACATTATTTGTGGGTAGAATAATTATAGCATTAATTTGTATTTATAATATTTCCTAAATTTTCTACAATGAGTGTGTATTACTTTATATGCATGAAAATATTTTTACAATTATACCATGAAACACCAATGAATGTTCTTATGTTTTCCCAGATGAAATCTGTAAAAGTTTTTTTTTAAGATATCATTCACAGAGGGGAGGGGAGGGGGGATAGTAGAGGATAGGAAAGGCAGCAGAATACAACAGACACTAGTATGGCAACATGTAAATCAATGGATGTGTAACTGATATGATTCTGCAATCTGTATACGGGGTAAAAATGGGAGTTCATAACCCACTTGAATCAAAGTGTGAAATATGATATATCAAGAACTATGTAATGTTTTGAACAACCAACAATAAAAAATTTTAAAAAAAGATATCATTCACAACATGTTTTTTTTAAATATTAAGTTGGTAGTCTGTATATTTAAATAAAGTATAATTCACAATCTTTGAAAAGAGATTAGTATTCCTTAGTTTGTAAAATGATTCTAATATCTCAATGGGCTCTTGAGAAAACTGAAAGAGATTCTCTGTGTAAAGCTCTAGCAGTGCTTGGTGTAAGCATTCGTGAGCATTTGTAATGGAAGCTAAGATATTGGCATTTGCATTATATTAATCCTTCTTCTAGAATCATCCCCCACCAAGGAACACTGGGTACATCTGATGGAACAAGTGTATCACGATTCAGCCCTTGACTCTCGAAGAATCTGCCCTGGGTTCTAAATAAGAGCTACATTCCCAGGCCTGGTGACCCTCAAGGGCACAGAACAGTGTCCCCAAACAAGCACAGCTGATACGAATCACATTTGAGATGTGAAAGCTGTGGGTCTGGCCTTCTTAGCAATAGACAGTGGGGCACAGAGTCCAGAGCCCTGACCCGTCATGGCCTCTGACGGTGTCTCCATGGGAGAAGGAGCTTACATTTCATACTGGCTCTGTAAGCCACAGATGGCTCGGTGTTTGCTGTAGAAGCGGTTCTCCAGGTCGATCTTGGTCTCGCCAATGAGGTCATCTGTCCCAATCATGTCATGGTCATAGATCAGCACGGAGAGCAGGGACTCCTTTGGGAATGTGGCCTGGATCTCGAATGACCTGCAGTCCAAGCAGAGGCTTCAGGATTAACGATGTTTGGCAACAGAGGGAATTTTTCCCAGCTTGGCTTTTAGCTAGCTTGCTATTCATATCCACGAACTGCTCAACAATTCCATTAATCCTGAGCAGATATTTGTTTAGCTTAATTTCGGATGAAAGTATAATCCACTTTAAATTCCTGTCCATTTCCAACAGTCAATAATTTTCCCTTTGATGGGCCATGTCTTTGAGTTGTCAACTTGTGATTTTGGTCTCAAATGGGACTGATTTCCAGTCTTGGTTTGGAATCAACAACTTCCTAATTTTACAACCAGGGAAAGTTAATCAATCTCTGCATAAATGGGGGTAAGGTGGTCTTCTTAATACAGCATGAAGCTAAAGGCAATGCTGTGTATAAAACACACACTTCACCTCCAATCACTCAACTCGAGACCATTAAATTCCCTTACCTTCTGTTGTATTCCAAACCAAGACTGGAAATCAGTCCCATTTGAGACCAAAATCACTAGTTGACGACTCAGAAACATGGTCCATCAAAGGGGAAATTATTGGCTGTTGGAAATAGACAGGAATTTAAAGTTGATTATCCCTCCATCCAAAATTAAGCTAAACAAATATCTGTTCAGGATTAATGGAATTGTTGAGCATCTAGGGAAATGTTGCTTGATCAAGGAATACCAGCTGGGTTTATTTGAAAAGAAAACTCTATTGAGAATGGAAAATCACCATAAAAATAAAAAATTCTATCAAGCTGTCTCTACAAAACTCTGAGCCCCTTGAGAATAAGGACCTGTTCTTTTGGTCTCTGCATCACCGGAGCTTAAACTTGACCTGCACAAAGGATACTAATGAATGTTTCTTTGAACTTCAAGGGATCTCAGAAATCACCATATCCCATACCTTCATGTTACAGATAAAAACCCTGAAACCTACAGACCTCAAGAGACTTGCTGAGGATCATAAATCAAGACCCGTCTGGGATAAGTGCCAGTTTTCTAAGTCCTTAGTTACCACACGAATGCGAGATATGGAAAGAAACAGCAATGCCGTCAGATTTCTCGTGACAATGGGTCATCCATACTACTGAGTTTTTGCATTAGAGCAGATGCTTGAGAATTCAACTTTGAATGCAATGCAGCGTTTTAGGGAACTGTCTTTCTAAAAATAAAGTCACAGGCACACCCGTGTTTCTCGAGCTGTTGCAGACTCTGATTCCTCTGGGACAGGGTGGGCTGGGCTGGGACCAAGGGACAGAGAGGAGGATGGAGAGGGGTGGGCTTTTTATTTCCTGCATGTCCACAGGCCTGTCTGGTCCATTGTCCCCCTAGTCAGATCCACTTAGCCTGGACTCTCACTCTCCAGGTTGGCAGCGACTGTAATCACAACACAGCCAATGAAACCTCTCCAGGGACAAAAAAGCAGCTCTGGTGAGGCTCCAGCAGGACAAGAATATGGCTGCCCAGGGAAGAAATCCCTGTGTGTTCCATCTGAAGGCACAGCGTTGCCCATCTGGGCTCCCAGATTTGAATTCCAGTCTGTAATTGATATTCAGGAGGTCACAAGGAGAAGCTGCCAGCGGTCTCCAGGGCTGCTACTGAAGAATTTAATAAGTGCTTAACTGTCCCTGGTAACCATGACAGAGGACTCGATGGCTCTCCTCCATCTCCTCAGGCTGCGCTCACAGATTAACCTCACCTTAATTTCAATTGGAGCTGTCATTTCGAGCTCCCCCATATAGCCCATTGTGGTTGGACTCCCAATTACCCAAGGGAACACTAGGCTTACGCCAGCCGTGAGCTGGTGACATGCTATCATTAGCTGCAGTCAATGCCAGGTTGAGGAAAGATAATGCATCATGAAATGAGCAAATATGGAGACAGTGAGAGCATGCAGACCCCTGAGCAACAGAGCAAAGATCCCCGGGCTCCTCTGTTCATTCCCCCATTCATTCTTTATCATGTCTGCATTCATTTGTGTGGTATACCTCAGACACCCAGTTGTCTGAGATGGCCAGAGCTCAGAGGGAGACACAGACAAGGTGTTACAAATAAACCTTCTGGACGAGGGGAATAGAGAAACAAAAAGACGTCTCTTCAGGGGAAATGTGAGGGTAGATGGGAATGCTCTTGGCTCCAGAGCTGAGGAATTTCTGATCTTAGCATCTGACCCATGCAGGTCAAATTCACTCATTATCTACTCTCAGAAGCCCCCGCGCCTCTACATTATATTTCACAGAAGAAATTCTATATTTGTCTGAGTTTGGGGTTAATGCAGGCCTCTCCAGGAGTGTGCAGCTTTCTTGAAAATGGGGTCATAGCCCCCTTGTACTTCTCCAACAGCTGACACACCATCTGCTACCCAGGGACTGTCTGGTTGAAGAGAACAAATGTTTGCAAACCACTCGCAGTGGGCTGGTCAGTGTCACGTGTGAACTTGGTGAGACCGTGGTTCCCAGCTACGCAGACACTAATCAAGGTGCAGCTGTGGAGGTATTTTGTCAGTGGGACTTACATCTAAACTAGTTGACTTCACATAAGAAAGATCGTCCTTGATAATCTGGGTAGGCCTCATCCCACCAGGTAAAAGGCTTTAAGAGCAAAGAAATGATATCCTAATCATGACAAGAACAATATACAGTGTATGCTTATATGTCCCCCTAAACTAATACCCTGAAGTCCTAACTGCCAGTGCCTCAGAATGTGACCTTATTTGGAAATGCTACTTTTAGAGGTAATCAAGTTGAAATGAGGTTGTTGGGGTGGACTCCAATCCAAGACCAGTGTCCTTATAAGAAGGGGCAATGGGACAGAGACAGAGAACAATGTGAAGAGATGTAGCAAGAGGCCATGGGAAGATCAAGGCTGGGGCCGTAGGGACACATCTCCAAACCAAGGGACACCAAGGATGGTCAGCAAAGCACCAGCAGCTGGGAGACAGGCATGGAGCAGGAGTCTCCCCTACAACCCAGAAAGAAGCCCACCTTTCTGATATCTTGCTTCCAGACCCCCACCCCTGGAAGTGGGAGGCACAGCCTTAGGAAACCAATATGCACACTGACGTGGCCACGTGGTCTCTTCTGTGGTAGAACCTGGATGAGGGTCCGGTCCAGTTCCTGCCACACCCTGCCCTTTCCACGGGCTGCTTTCTAGAGCACCCATCCCTCACCCCAACACCCCCAAGGTGGTCAGGTGCCCTCCCAGGGCTTTCATGGGACATGCCACACTTTCTCAGAATCACGCCTTGACCTATTTTTCTCCCAGTATTCATAGGAAGCTGGGAGGGCCTAGAGTGCCTGACGGACAGCAGATTCTCAACATCTATGGGGAAAGAGGGGAGCTCTGCTGGTGGACAAGGAAAGCAAGGTGTGACCTGGCCAGTCCAGCCAGGACAAAGGCCTGCACATGTGAATGAGCAAGGGGAGCTGAGGCCCCACAGATCCGCTCCTGGGGCTCGTTGTCTTTATTTGTGGCTGATGATCAAGGCAATGGAGATCCCGGGGAACATTCTGGGAAACTGAGTGCCACCCATGAGGAACTGCCCCGTGGCTAGACAATCTCAGGTTGACGCACAGTGACGGGTCGCCTGGGATCTCACGACCGTGCAGAAGTTCAGTGTGTGCACACAATCACGCCTTCATTCCAGACCCTCGTAGTACTTTCCGTGTTCCAGGCCCTGTCCTAGGTACAGGGCTGTGGCGTGGACCAAGGGCCTGCCAGAGTAGCTCTTCCATCACAGAAGACCCCAGGTCAGGCACGGGAGCCTGTCGCTCTCCCGGCTGGAACACTATGGGGTAGACCTGGCAACTCTTGTCCCTGAGTAACAGTTACATACACACCCCACGAGGCAGGCACACCTGGAGAGCTTCTGGAAGAAGCCCTGCAGCCCAGAGGCAGGTAGGAATCTCCCATCATCCCCTCTCTGTTTGCCACAGCCACATAACAGGGTAGTAAAGCCGGTAATAAACAGAGGCTGCCAAGCACTTGGCAGGATGAAGTGCTGGTGACATCGATGCAGACAATGACAAAGGTCATCTCTGATCAGAGAAGCAAGGGCGAGTTTCCCTGGCACTGCCATTTCAACCACCCCATTAATCTGGACAGGCAAGAGGGTTGTTGCCTCATTGTCTCAGGAGCAATAAAATCTAAGAGACTGACGCTGGTCAAATGTCAGAGGGTCCAAATGATCACAAACTCATAAATGAATTTAAATGAGATTGATGGAGATTTCATTCCACACTCCTAGGTACTAAGGAAAAAAAAGGAAGAAATTAAATATACTTCAAGTACCTCCATTGCTAAAATTACCAGGGAGGAGGGGAAGGGAGCCATATTTTGAGTATTGACTGTGTGCTAAATGCTTCAGATATTCTTTCAAAGGAGTCTGAAGAGTCAGGTGCTATACTATTCCTTTACAGATAAAGAAAATTAGGATCAGAGAGGTTAAGTCATCTGCAAAGGTGGCACAGCTTGTATATAACAAAGTTAAACCCAGGTTGCTTTGATTCCAAAGTCAGTGGCTGACAGTTGTACAGACTCAAGCAAGGAACACCAATGTGTGACACACCAATGAGGGTTGGTGAAGGTATCATGAGGTGGAGAATTCCTAGGTGACTAGCCCGCCTACACATGTACAAACGTAATGGTTTATAACACTTTGAATGAAACCAAAACAAAACTGGGGGACTCAATTCAACTTTTTAATCTCAGGGGTCACCTTAAATCAGCAGCAAAATGATGTGAGAGAAAAACCTGTCTAGTTGGGGACAAAAGATCAAACATCTGGCCCCTTCTCATCTAATTATGAACTGTGTTGACTTAAATACATTTCTTAACTTTTCAGGACTTTTCCTTGTTTGTAAAAAGGAAATGTCTTTGTCCAGAAGCAAGAGGTGGAAGCTGATAACCCTTCAAGGTGCCCCTTAAATTTAAGATTGAGGAAATGGCTATTGGAACACTATGCATTGTATGACAATCACCACATGCTACCAAATTCCTGAGGGGTCCACGGAAAATTCTACCCATCTCCTGAACAGACTTGATTAGCCATGATCAAGAGCAGAAGTCACCATTTAACCTTCTACCACTACTTGACCCAAGACCCCCTTGCACATGAACACAGGCACATACACACACCACCCCTGCAAGAAACACAGCAGGAGAAGACTCAGGAAGGACAATGTCAGGGCCACCCACCTTCCAAACACCGGGTTCAGTTGTTTGGGGATGTATTTGTCTCGCTCTTTGATTTCTGTTTTGCCAAGTCTGAGCACGATGTAGGGGTCTGATTTGCCATCCGGATCAGCTGGGCTAAGATTGAACGCCTGGGGAGAAGAAAAGAAAGTGGCCTTGCCCAGTGGTTTCAGAACTGGCTGCATTCAGGAGTCATAAATGCTTTATCCCAAATCCTGTCTCCAGACACTTGGATTTTATGGGACCTGGGCTTTGGGATTTTTAGAGCTCCCTAGGTGATTCTAGTGCACAGCCAGGGTGAAGAACCACTGCTTTAGCATCTCCATCTTGCTGTCAAAGGGAAATTTATTGGCTTCGCCCAAGTTCAGCTTTCTCTGGTGGTGTCTCCCCAGCGGAAAGCAGTTCTTGGCACAGAATAATGAGGATCCTGCTGGACCAGGAGGCAGGAAGCCTGAGTGAAGTTCCAGTCCTAGTTCTGCTGACTGTGATCATGGGAAAGTCGTATTGTTTCTGAGATCTAAGCGTGAAGTCATGGGGTGGACCTGAAGGACCCTCCCAGCATGGGTCTCTGACCCATGACCCCGTTAGTCCCATGTTCACAGTGGCCTGCAGGGAGTTGAGCCGTGTCTGATGGTGAAGTCTGACTCCAGACTCGCTGGCCTTTCAACTATCAAAATTGAATACTGTGCAGGGAGGGGCCCAGGGAGGGGCCGTGAGACAGAACATGAAACAGACGGGGCAGCTCCCCGCTGCGGTGCAAGAGGAGCGAGATCCCCGAGTTTAGGACTCGATCCCACTGACAGACAGGCAGAAGCCCATCAAGTTCTATGTCAAAGAAAGTCCCCTGGAGCAACTGCTTCATAGGCAAAAATTGTGACCAACCTTTACGCCAATTACCTGGGGAGAAGTACAATCCAAAATGGCAACCCCTTCTTTTCTTCTCCTCACATCACACAACTTTGATTCTCTACATAACAGTCACCTCGAACACTAACCCTGTTTATTTAGCTGTTCCTTTGTTTATTTTCCTGTCTTCCCAGGACCCAAGGGCACTGTCTTCTGTCTTATTAATTACTTCACTTTCAGGACATAGAATAGGGTCTTTTAATATTTACAGAATGAATGAATGAATGAAAGGATAATACATCCATTTAAGAAAACCCTATGCAGTTACTATAAAGAATGAAAACCTGTATTTACTGATCTTAAAAAAAAAATCCAAGATATCTTATTGGGTGAGCTCACCAAACCTCCCCGAAAAAATAGAGGTCAGGAAAAATTTTTTTCTTTATGCAATTTAAAGTAGTGCTTTAAAACTTCATTTAGTGTTTCATTAAATTAAAATATTTTAAAATTAATTTATTACTTAATTAGTTACATATTAGGATAAGTGAGGAGACCACACACGGTCACCACTACGGAAAAGGTCAGTGAAAACCGTAACTGCAGTGAATTTCTCCCTCCCTGCAACCCAGGGCCACCACCCTCTGACCCTCTGTTTATTGAAGTCCTCCTGTCCTCAAGTTCCAGCCCAAGCCTGCCCTTCTTCATCCCGTCTCCTGGATGAGAATCTGACCTGCACTCCTGCCCTTGGTCCCGAGGGTACTGGACATGGAAACAGACTGCAATAGATATTGCAGAATGACTAAATGAAGAAGAGGGCAAATGCTTCTCCAATCTCTGTGTTTATTAAAATTTCTCCCTCTCTTTCCTACTGTCATACTCTCATAATTCTGGATTTCCCAAATAGCATCCCCTGAAACCTTAGTTCTCTAGGCTTTTCTGTAGAAGAAAAAAAAAATGTGTGGAGCTAATGGTGTTCAAGATTCATCAGTTAAGTAGGTCTCTTTGCTTCTGGAATTCTCAGCGCCTTGAAAGTGTCAATGAGCTTTGTGAATCTCAGGAACTGGAGAAGGGAAATGAATCATTGGATGCACTGTTGCTCAAATTTACTTGAACACACTGTCTGTTTCTCGAAGGATGTATATTAATTATCTCCCAGGACAGGAATAACTTCCTGAATGCAATTTTGAAAAGGCTGGTCTAGAACCCTCCTGTGGGTGGGTGTCAAACAGAGACTATAGGGCATTGTCAGTGTAAGTACTTCTAATCTCTCCAGGTAGCTGGGACTATCTTAAGGGAGGTGACCTTGTTCTCTTCCTAACAACTCCCTGGCACACAGTGGATGTTTGGATGATAACAGAAACCTGAGAACCCCATGATTAGAGAACAGCTGGTTCTCCCTCAAATTAAAGAATAGCCCATTTTTATTTTATGCTTCATTTATGCTTCTTTAAAAGAAGATAGGTCAGGTAAGCAAAGTTGACATAAAATATGACTACTGCAATCAAATACAATTATGAAAATCAAGTTCAAGGTCAGAAGACAAGAACAATCCATGAACTGTAAGGGTCCATACAATTACTTTGATGGTGCAAAGCAAGTGTGTGCTATTTGGCTCCCAAAGTCCTGCCAATCAGGCCAAAAAAATTCATAATTGAAGTTTTGTGCTATTATTATCAGAAAGGGGGAGACCCAGCAGAGACAATGTTTTTCTTGGAAATGTACTCAAAAGGAAATTTCTGGCTGCTAGGTGTAGAAGCCATTGGAAGAGTTCCACAGTACAGCCCATGAGCTCCCTGCTTCAGCCAGGAGAAGTCCATTATACTGACCCAACTTCACACCCCATTAGAAACTGACTTCTGTGCCCCCTAAAGGTATATGTTGAAGCCCAATGCCCAGTATGACTGTTTGGAGACAGGGCTTTTGGCAGGTGATTAATGTCAAATGGGGTCATAAAGCCTCATCTGATAAGGTCTGTGGCCCTATAATAAGGGGAGGAGATTCCAGAGCTCTCTGTCCCTACATATCAGCAACAGAGGCCCCACAGAAACCAACGCTGGGAGCACCTTGACCCTGGACTTGTGGCCTCCAGAACCATGAAACACATTTCTATAGTCAAAGCCACCCCCACTGTGGTTTTTGTCATGGTAACTCCTGCAGACTACTACCCCACCACCCAGAGCCAACACATGGCTCACCGCGACGATGTACACCCTGATCAGGACTTGGACAGGGTGGTTGAGTGGGATCCCTTGCTGGATTCTTAGCTGCCCATTGTCCTCAGAGCCAGAATCCTCGGGGCATTTGTAGATGCAGAAGGAGCCCTGGAATCACAAAACACAAGGAAACACAAGGAATTGAAACAAGAAGGTCAGCATCACCACCAAAAGTCACAAAGCCTAGTGCTAGCTAGATGGGCACCGCCTGGAAATCGGGAGGACCTGGGTTAGTGCTGCCCTTGCCAGGGGATGTCCTCAGGCCATTCCTGTGAGCTTCTGGCATCTGAGCATCTTCGTGGGACACTGGTGGGTTGGGGTTGGTACATTAACACCCTCATCACAGGACCACTATGTAAGGAACACAGCAAATGGGACCTCGGGTGTCTTTCACCTGCTTATACTTCCCAATCTCATTCCATCCCATTGCAGTACTCCTGTTTCCAGATGAGGCCTCTGAGGCTCAGGAATAGGGCACACCTTACTCCAGGCCACACCACTTATTAGGATTAAAATAACTAGGATTAAAATTGAGACTAGCAAAGTGCAACACCTATGCTATCCCAGCACAGCACGCTGTGTATCAAAGGCCCTGCATGCAGTAGGTGTATAGCAAATGCTAGCTGCAACTTTGTACTGCGGATATCATAAGCCTACTAGATGGGCATGAATCATTTGATTAGTTTAGTTGTCCAGCTGGCGGGCTTGTATAAATCATATACATAGTGTGTTGGTGAAGGCCAAGTGAAGTCCAGTGGTCCTTTTAGGTAACAACTGTCTCCTCAAAGTCCTCAGACTAAGCTCCACCCCACCGGCTACAAACCAAAATATCTCCAAAGACTGGAGCTGAATCTTGTGGCATTCTAGAGTAGAGATTAAGGATTGTCCTTAAACACATCACCCACCACAATCCCATTACCAGAGTTGAGTCACAGATGACATTTATGGGCAGGGTTAGCCAAATAATGGGGTGAACAGGGGAACCTGCCTTAAACTTCCCTATGACTCTGTCTCCATCCAGACCATGGTCATCTTCAGTAGATTTGCCTCTGAAGAGCTCAAAGGTTTTCACCCAGTCTTCAAAATTGTTGAATTCACTCTCGAGATCACCCTCGTATATCTTCAGGGAAAAAGGAGAAGATTAGGCTAAGCAGAAAGGAGCCACAGGATTGACTTAATGAGAAAAGCTCAGATTCTCTGAAATACATGCTTCTTGGGAAAATGTAAGATGCCATGGTTAACTTATCTTTCTTTCTGTTTCCTGGTTTGTTTGTGGTACCAGGAATTGAACCCAAGGCCTTGCACATGCTAGCAAAGCACTTTACCTGAGCTATGTCCCCAGCCATCCCCCACCAACTTTTAAAAAATTTTTGAGGCAGGATCTCACTAAGTTGCCCAGGCAAGCCAAGACTGTGATCCTCCTGCCTCAGCCTCCTCAGTAGCTGGGGCTAAGGTGTGTGCCACCACATGGGGCTTATCTTAAATAAGATGACAATCATGGTTTGGTTCAGCATTCCAGGAACTACTATTCTGAACTTTAGAAAACCTTTCTGGTAAACTTTTAAGTCCAAAAGAAGTATAGCTAAACCAAACAAAATTTTAAAATATAGAGGTATAAATATGACAAACCATAGTTAATTGATGTCATTTGTTGCTAGATACAAACTTTAGAACTTCTAAGGAAATTCAAATCAATGCTGTTCATTAGTTCTTAACACACATAAAGTGATGGAATATTTGTTATTATTAAAATGCATATAGACATGACTTTTCCAAGTGGTAAGTGTACTTTAGAAATGCAAACTAGAATTGAGCTTTAGGTTTGGTAATGAAATTATTTATTCAAATTTCCTAACAAAATTATGTACCCAAATTGGTAGTCTATATACAGAACTTTCATACTCCAAATTTTCATATCCATAAATATGGCTCTAATAGTTTCTGAAGGATGTCAAGATCGGCCTGATGGACTTCACTTTATTGGAGTTAAAACTCCTGCTTTTCTAAGTGTGTACACATCTGCATGGTGATGTCAAGTCCACGAGGTGAGCCAAGGGCTCACACATTGTAAAATACTTTGCCAAGTCCAAGTTTAACAATGTAAGTTATGCCCCCCCTCAATATATAGGGAAGTAGAAAAAAATAAAATGAATGAGCTCCATTGTCTTGGCTTACATACTTAAGGTTTATTTCTTTGCACCAGTGATTTCAAGGAACACCAAATAAGTTCAAGCAAAGGTATTACTAGGATTTACCAAAGCACGAAGGGAGCCCCCCTGCTGAGCACCTCACCCCACCCAAATAGAGATGCTGTGTGCCCATACCTTCAAGACAGCCAGGTTAGGGATTGTGTCATCTTTGGGTTTCTTCTTGAGCAGCTTGTCTTTCTTCTTCTTTGGGCTATCTTCTATATCAACCACTACTTCATCTGGTTTTGCTCCTGTGGATATTCAGGAGAGACTGCTGGATTTCTCATGGAAGTTGAAATGAGAAGGAATACAGACAAGTTCCTTCTTTCCCTTTGCTCTGGTACCTGTCATAGGTTTTAACTCTTCTTTTAAAAAACATAGCAACATTGGGGGGCTGGGGTTATGGCTCAGCGGTAGAGCTCTCGCCTTGCACATGCAAGGCCCTGAGTTTGATCCTCAGCACCACATAAAAATAAATAAATAAGTAAATAAAATAAAGTTATTTTTAAAAAAACAGCAACGTTTTGCTGCAGGGTTGCTATATGCAGCCCTGCAGCCTGTGTACCATGTGGTGGCAGGGGAAGCCACTCACATAGAAATGGAATGTCCACGGATCCCCAGAGGCCAGGCAATGTGTTGACCTGTCCAAGTATGTGTAGTAACTCATTAAATTAGGCACAGAGAGGTCAGATTATTTGCCCATTCACCCAATGAGCAAAGAACAGAGCCAGGATTTAGATCAACTTAAAACCTTTTAGTTACACTTTCTCTTTTTTTAATATTTATTTTTTAGTTGTACAAATACCTTTATTTTCCTTACTTATTTTTATGTGGTGCCGAAGATCGAACTCAGGGCCTTACACGTGGGGCGTGAGCGCTCTACCACTGAGCTACAACCCCAGCCCAACTTCCTCTTGAATGTCTTTAGGGACTTTTTTTTTAGTTGTTGTTTTCTCTCTCTCTCTCTCTCTCTCTCTCTCTCTCTCTCTCTCTCTCTCTTTTTTTTGCTCATTATTCTTTTTTTGTTTGTTTTTAATTAGTTACACACGACAGTACAATGGTCTTGACATTCATACATTTGAATCAAATGGGGTATAATTTCTCATTATTCTGAGTGTACAGGTTGCAGAATCACATTGGTCATACAGTCACATTTATACATACAGCAATACTAATGTCTATTTTATTCTGCTGCCTTTATATCCCCCCTTCCACTCCCCTCCCCTCCCATCACTTCTATCTACCCAACTTAAGGTGACACACTTCTTTCCCCCCCGCCCCTCACATCATCATGGATTCATCCAGCTCAACGGGACTCAAATATGTTAAGTGTCTTACACAATATGATGTTAGTGGAATTACTCAGTAACTTTTTAGCAACAGACCCAGGAAAAAACTGCAAGGGATGGACTTCTAGATCTGCTCTTTTCTAGCTGTGTAATCTTGGACAAGTTCCTTGATCTCTTTGTACCTCTGTTTCGTCATCTGCAAGATGAAGATGTTATTGTCTATGCACAGGGTTGGCCAGGGAATCACATGTGCTAATTAGTACTGGTCTGAGGATCTGAGTGACCCTGGGCCTCCTTCATCTGTCAGTGTCACCTGAAATGCCTTGGCTACTTGCTATTACTGTTACATTTAGGCTGTAACCTGCCATGGGCTTCAGTTGAGTTTGTGGTCATTTCTAATCCCAGGCTTCTTTCACTTGGGTTTCTGCCAAACCAGATCTATCCAATCCTTATAAACTGAGTTTTGGAAATGAGCATTCTGGTGCTGAACAAAATTCAGAGACCTGGGGGCTGTGACTAGTTCAAATACCTATAAGACCTTTATAAAGCACCGTCATCCTCCTGATATTGCTTTCTCACTTGGGGATGCGGCTGAGTTCTAATACACCTCTCAATGACCCTTGTCGATGTCCAGGAATCCCCAGAACAACCTCTTACCTGTGTTGCCTTTTGTCTCCTTGGGATTGCTCTCCTTTGCCTTAGAAAAAGAGAGACAAGACAATTGACGCTGTCGTGCCTAATTTACCAGTCCTGACTGCTAACAGCTCTAATCCAATTATCCCAACTCTCTGCACTCAGAGATGCCATTTTAAAAGAGAATTCAAATAGTCCCCCAGATGTCCCTGGAGTGAAGCTTCACTGGATCAACATGAGACCCAACTGCAGTGGGATATTCTGCCCAAGAGAAGAATGTCCACACACCCAACAAACATGCCACCAAGCTGTATGCCTCCTTGTCCTCTCTGGGCAGCCTCCTCTTGGCCGCAGGGTAGACTCTCTCCCCACTATTCTTACATTCCCCTGGCGCATCTCACCAGTCTGTGCTGAGAGTTTTACTGGCTGGCATGTGGGGTCCTTGGTCCCACATGGACTGGGGAGGGGATCAGGGAAAAGGGAAGGGGCTAAGCACACACGGGAAGTGGTCGCTTCCATCAGAGCAGAAGGAGGGAGGTTTAGAGGCAGAGACTGGTGTTTGGTTTGTTATTTTACTATATATCAATATGTGTGAATTGTCCTAGATGAAACTATAGACTTTAAACTAAAGAATCAGAAGAGTCTCTATTCAACTAAATATAATCATAACTGACTACCTTTCATTTCCTTTTTTTTTCTAGAAGTCTTACTAAATTCCGTCAGTGAGCCTTTGCCTAACTCTCCAGACACTCCCCCCCACCCCCGCCCTGTGATCCTCCAGCTTTATGGCTTGTTCCTTGTTCAGTTCCAGGTACACGAGGCTCTGCTCTTGCTCTGGCAATACCCCTGGTTCTTGCCTTTTGCTAAGACCCAGACCCACCTTTACTTTGATAATTTCCCATATAAACAGAGAATCCTGCTGAAGACCTGAGACCATCTGGCCTGGGTATCTCCTGGTGCACACAAAGCCTCTATCACTGATGTCCACCAAGCAAGACTCCACTTCTCCTTGCTGGACCCCCTGATCTCACTGGGAGGAAGCTCCTCCAGGTGCCAGGCTGGCCTGGACATCATTCCAGCAATGACAACAGAGCTGTGTCTGCGCCATCTCCACCCTCAGTGTGGAGGTTTATCATTCTAGATCCTTGGCCCTTCTAGAATTCTTTTTTAACCTTTTGCAGTTAACAAAACCACACCTGAGTAGGATCTACACCTAGTGAGATTTAAGAAGAGAGCTGTGGGATTTGAAGTGGGAGAAGGTGCCGTGGGTTCTCTTCAGGCCCTGGAATGTCACAGGCGGGGGACTCTACCTTCTGTGCTTTCTTCAGGGAAGCATAGTACTTGGACCACCAGTCAATGACATTTTCAGCAGATTCATCTGCGATGGTCCTCTTTTTCCTTTTGGTGGATCTCCGGGCAGGCTTCTTGGCATCCTGCCAAGGAATAAGGGTCGGGTCATTAGTTGGGCCTTGTCTTGTGGCATACTAGTGGCCGAAAGCTTAACTGAGGAAGAGAACAGATGTACCCGTTGGGTTTATGGTAGCAGCTCTCTATCATGCTGATAAATGAAAATCTAATAAACTATTGGTAATAAATAATGGATCAATAATAAACTATTGAGATACTGTACTTGATACTGGGGATATATGGGGACTGAACTCAGTCTGACATTTGGGAAGCTTAGAGTTCAGTGGAGGAGAGAGGCAAGTGTCAAATCAGCGGACCACAGGACACAGCATGGCACAGAGGAAAGGGCACTATCTTCAGAGAGACCTGGGTTGCAATTCATTAAGCAGCTAATACCAGTGCTGTGATTCTCAGATTCCTCAATGATAGGCAGAGACCAGGGACTATAATACCTGCCTACTTCACTGTTATGAGGATTAGGTGATGTCACCTAGGCAATTCTCTATTAGCTTCATTTCTTTCAACAGGTATAAATAAATGACATCTGTCACATAAGTGATGGGGTGAGGGGGTGCAGTGACATACACATGGCAGAAAGAGGCATTTTGGGGAGAAGAGAGTCATGGCACTGGAGGCAGCCTATGCAAGACTATCACACATCTGGCATGCCTGCACTCTCCCCAATAATTCTCTTTTTTTAAGCAAATGTAACACCACTTTTCATTTTTCTGATTGCACATGATATAGAGTCACACCATTCATGCAATCATACCCATGCATAGGGGTTATAATGTCCATCTCATTCTCCCATCCACCCCACACAAACACCCTCCCCTCTCCTCCCCTGCCTCTCCTCTGCTCAACCCAAAGTTCCTCCATTCTTCATCCCCACTACCACCCTCCATGGATGAACATCTCTTGAGCACCATTTGTTTGCCAGGCACTCTCTCAAGGGATGGGATAAAAGAAATGTGATGTTATAAAATCATCTCTTTCCGGATTTAGAGTTTTATGGTGTCAACAAACACTGGGACCAAGCACACCAACCTAAACTAATGGGTGCCATTTGAGGGTGATGCAGAGAACCCCAGTGAGGGGTCACAAATGGTATCTGAGGATGGATGAGATAGACGGGCACAGCCTGAGCAATGAGTCACGATTCCGTCTTACTATTCTTTTTATTTCAACCTTTATTATTCATGGGGCAGGCCGTTTCTTAGGACTTTCTTAAAATGGTCTTGGACTTTGTACTCAAATTTATAACTTAGAAAGATCAACTCTGTCCTTGGCTGTGGTTCTTTGTGTACTTTTCCATCTTCCCTTCCTGAATCTCATTTAAGTGAGGATGAGAAGTCTTACTCCTCTGTAGAATCAAAAGGTCCATCTTTTTGTTCCCATATGACCATGTACAAAGTAGGCTCTGAATACTTGCGTACTAGTCCTGGAAAAAGAATCCATTGTCTTTTCAAGCTAATAAAGTTAGAGGAGTTTGTTTTCAATTAATTATTATCGCCACATAATTTCATATACATTGACTTTCTGATTCTACAAGAATGCTCTTGTAGAATGGGTATCAATATCAATATTAGTGGGAAACTAATACTCAGAAAAAGCAGGTTGCTGGCTCAAGGCTGTACTGCTAGTTGTCAGAAAGATTAGCACATAGATCCTCCAATGCAAATTCCAGTGGGCCTTGTAAACATGAGGAAGGAGCACTCCCTGACCTTAACGTTTCCATCTTTTGGTGCCTCCTGGGCTGCCGGTGTGGGTTCAGGCCCCAGCATAGGGGAGGAGTCAGGTATGTCCACCAAGACAGCTGGCTGAACCTGGGCAGAGTCCGGAACCACCGTGGGAGGCGGATCAACATCCACATAGATGTGATCTGTTGGAGGGTCCTGGGAGGACTCATGGAGTCCCGGAGATTCCGTCACCACCAGTGAATCTGAAATTGCTAGGGCAAAAGCACACGCAGTCAGAGAACAGGGCTGCAACAGAGGTGGTCACGTCAGACATCTGATATTAGGAATCAGACCTGGACTCAAACACGACAAGTGTTACATTTCTGAACCACTTTTCCTTACTTAAAAAATGACAATAAAAATACTCATTTCAGTGGGGGATAAAATGGATGTTCTGATGTAAAGCATCTGGTGCATAATAGGTAGTCAAGAAGTGGTTGCATTTGTTGTTGATCCCTTGGGGACATGTCAATCTATCATGGCCACTGGAATATAAAAATCAAGGCTCAGGGCCATGTGCTCAGTGTTGGTCGTGTCTCTCCAGTGTATTAACACAGGAAGCTTTTGGAAGGTCCACAGCTCAGCTTACTCCTCAATACAGGCAGAGCTCTGAGCACTCGAATGCCCTGCTTGGCAGGGAGCAGAGGTAGGTCCTTGGACCTTATGAGAGTCTTCACTGGCCCTTGATACCATTAAAGAATCATAATGGGGTCATTGGCTTCTAAATAGCCCCTTCTCTGCATTTTTGCTGTAGAATTCCATGCTTAGGGACAGTTCTCAGTTGGGAGCCTCCATGGCTGTCAAGGCCTCCAGAGAGTCTCCTCCTCCAGTTGCTGAATTTTCAGCAGCAAATTTAATCCAATGAATCTTACAGGTATCTACTCTGCTGGACACAGAGACAGAAATCAGCAGGACAGAGTAGAAAACTGAGAATGAGATGGGCAACTTGGCTTATGAGAGAGAAGTAAAACCAACGGGGAAAGGACTGACTGGTCAGCAGGCCTTGGGGTGGGGATGGTCACTCTAGGGAGAAAGACCAGCTGCATCCCTCCTAAAATCAGGTACCAATGCAGATTGACAATGTAAGTGCTAAAACCACAAAGCCAACCGCAGAAAATTTAAGATCTTTGGAACCAAGGGGAGAACAAGAGTTTTTAAAACCAGATTCTGAAGTACAAATCATATAATTTAAAACATGGTTGGATCTAACTACATCAAAATTAAGGATTTCTGCTCAAAGATGAGGACTGTAGGCACATTTAATCATTATATTTCTAGGAAAAGATATGAGCAATAGCTACTGGCATCAAGAACAAACAGTATGGAGACTCCTGGGAAAGCTGGGAATGGAACCACCATTTGACCCAGCTATTGCCCTTCTTGGACTTTTCCCTGAAGACCTTAAAAGAGCGTACTACAGGGATACTGCTACATCGATGTTCATAGCAGCACAATTCACAATTGCTAGACTGTGGAACCAACCCAGATGCCCTTCAATAGATGAATGGATAAAAAAAATGTGGCATTTATACACCATGGAGTATTACGCAGCACTAAAAAATGACAAAATCATAGAATTTGCAGGGAAATGGATGGCACTAGAGCAGATTATGCTTAGTGAAGCTAGCCAATCCCTAAAAAACAAATACCAAATGTCTTCTTTGATATAAGGAGAGCAACTAAGAACAGAGCAGGGAGGAAGAGCAGGAAGAAAAGATTAACATTAAACAGATACATGAGGTGGGATGGAAAGGGAGAGAAAAGGGAAATTGCATGGTAATGGAGGGAGACCCTCATTGTTATGCAAAATTACATATAAGAGGTTGTGAGGGGAATGGGAAAATAAACAAGGAGAGATATGAATTACAGTGGATGGGGTAGAAAGAGAAGATGGGAGGGGAGGGAGGGGGGATGGTAGAGGATAGGAAAGGTAGCAGAATACAACAGTTACTAATAGGGCATTATGTAAAAATGTGGATGTGTAACCGATGTGATTCTGCAATCTGTATTTGGGGTAAAATTGGGAGTTCATAACCAACTTGAATCTAATGTATGAAATATGATATGTGAAGAGCTTTATAATGTTTTGAACAACCAATAAAAAAAATTAAAAAAAACAAAAAAAAAAAAAAAAAAAAAAAAACCTGTGAATCAAAAAGAAAATTAAAGGAAGCACATCAGACACAAACAAAGGACACGGGCAGACGAATCACAGAAGGGGGATTGAGACAGCAGGAAGGATATTAGAGGTGCGCAGTAGTAATCAGATAAACCCACGCTGAAATAACCACAAGACACTATTTTATATCCACAGGATAGAAAAAACAAAATCCAACCCACGTCAAAATAAAACCTCAAAAAGGTGAATCACAGGAGGTATGCTGAGGAGGGGGAAGTGGGGCTGCAGGGGAGAGATGGTAGAAGCATAGACTGGTTACTTAGTTCAGCACCATCCTCCAGAGCGCCCCCTGTATGTACTTAATGAAATGACATGTGCATGTTCCCTGTGACCCAGCAACTCACTCCTAGGCATACATTCCAGAGAAATTCCCATATAGCATCTTCCGTCACCAACACAAGGATTCATCAAGATGCAGTTTGTGAAAGTGGGGAGTGGCAGGCAGCTAAGAGTCCAACACAAAGGGACAGGAAGAGCAAACTACAATAGAGGAAACAGGTGGTTGTAGTGAACTACTGCACACACAGCACCATGGATAGACCCAAAAACATAGTGTCAAGTGAAAAGAATAGGAAACCAAAAGACGATTATAGTACCATATAATTTATGTAGGTTAAATATGTTTAAATTTTATAAGAATGTCATTGTGGGGCATACCGTAGGGAGGGAATAGGAAACAGAGACAGAAATAGGAATCAGAAGAGGGATTAAGACAGCCTTCAGCTGGTCATGCAGTTTGCCAAACTCAGACTGGAGCACTGTCTTCCAAAGCCAGGGAATAAGTACCAGAAAATATGAGCATGTCTTGCTCACATGGAAGATAAAGACAGAGAAGCCCTGAAGGGATCAATAATAACAATAAGGCATGGAGTTGAGAAGGGCAAGATTTCAACTTGGAGCACCTGAGATCCAAAATGGAACAAACCAAAATGACGTCAAGCACAAAGCCAAAAGAAGTGCCAACAGAGTGGAGAAAGAAGGAGCTTGTCATACTCAAAGATGCCTTCTGAGAGGAGTCACCCTGATGTGAGTCTTAACGCAAGAGTTTCACAGCTGAAAGAGGCAGAGGAGACTGCAGGAGCAAGTGTGTCAGAAAGATCCACCCAGCCATCTGACTGTGAGCCAGGTCCCCAGCAGCCAGCCTGCAGGCACATGGCTCTAGAGTCGCAGATCCAGAGTGCAGGAGGAGCCTCCTACCTTGCTCACCTTGGGCTCCATCCACCTGTGAGATCAGGGCAGGAGGCTCTATGGATTTACACAAAAACTGCTTCAAGCAGTTGATGGTGTAGGTGCCCACAAGGGTGCTCCTCCCGAAGGCTCTCCAGTCCACCACGCAGATGCTCAGTGGCGGGTGCAGAAGTTCATTCTCAGGCAGCTCCTGCAGGAGAAGTGGGTGTAACAGGCCACTGCCTTGGCCAGGCCTGGATGATCACACTTGCTAACCTGTCTGCGGGCAGGCCCAGGGCCAGCTCGCTGTCCACCCTCTCCCTTGCTGTTGCCTTGCTCTTCTGTCCTTCCGCCGGCTATGCAGTTTGCCAAAACACTGGAGCACTGTCTTCCAAAGCCAGGGAATAAGTACCAGAAAATATGAGCGTGTCTTGCTCACAGTTCATCCCAGGTTTAAACTGTAAACACCTCCGCTTCTGTATTCTCTAGAGCAGCGTTTTCAATGCTCTTATGTTGCCATTATTGGCCAGTGGAAGTCTCCTTCAAATGACAGACTACTCAGCCCCAATATGTTAGATGAGAGTCAAGCCATTTAAGGAAGAATGAGGGTATGGGGACAGTGCCCTGTACAGTTGTTTCCCTTGGTGGTCCATGAGGCTTAGTGAAGGCCCACGTGAAAGGTTTGCAAACAATGTCCTCAACTGTAGTCTTCCCTAAGTTATCATCATGTGTCCCATGGTGCTGATGGGGTGGGACACAGCAAACTCACTCCTTTTAGTTAGTTCCAAATCAGAACACAAAAGTATATTGAAATAAATAAAGTGCAGGTCTCCACGCACATCACTTTAGAAGCATAAGTGTACGTGCAAACTACCGACATTCTAAGAACAAATAATGTTTGTTTTTTTAATTGAGCCATTAAAATAAGTTTTGATAGACTGGTGGTTCTAAGACTGTCACGTGTGTTGGGTCCACCTGGAGGGCTTGTTTAACCAGAGACGCTGGGCCCCACCCTCACCAGCTTCCAGTTCAGGTACTGGGAGAGGGTCTGAGAATGTGCTGGAACTGCGCATTCCCAGGTGATGTTGCTGGGCATGAACTGGGGCCAAACTTCAGGAACCACTATTCTCAGCAAAAGTGTTTCAACCTGTTTTGATTTACTGTGTGATCTATACCCCAAAACGTCAAAAACAACAATCGCAAACGTCTACTTTCTTATTCTGAAATTCTGGCTTTTTGCAATTAGACTGCTCCTTCTTTTAGGCAATGGACACCTGCAACTGGGAGATACCTCCCCTAGCCAAGCAGAGGAAGGGGTGGGGTGCGGCGGCTGAGGTGTGGCGTGAGCGGGGCCATGGGTGGGGCAGCAGAAGGGACGCACCACTTCGAAGGCATCTGCCTGGACGCTGAAGTTGGGGTTGTTCTTGTAGCTCTGGATCACGCAGGACTTCACTCCCCGTCCCCCACACTCGATGAGGACCTGCGGCCGGTCCACGGACAGAAGCTGCACCTTCTTCATTTCACGGACTCCCCAGAAGAGCACCTGAGGAGAGGACCCCAGAGCCGTCACCCACAGTCCCAGGGACCCACGTGAATACCCTGGAGATGGTGGGAGTGTGCCTTGACCCCCAGAACCACAGCGTGCTTCCAGGCCTGAACTCCGTCTGGTGCAAGCCCGATGGGGGCTGCCTGGAGTCAACCATCCACCCACACCACCCCTCTCACAGTGTAGGCAGGACCACTGCCAAGTCCCGGGTCCTGAGTCCTACCTCCACACGGTATTTACTCAGCACTGGCCGAATGTTGGCAGGAACTGGGTAGATCTGGGAGAAGTCTGGTGGGTCGATGGGAGGAAGCCCTTGCAGCCCAGTGGGGGGGACCTGCCACACAAAATAGGGGCCGATGAGAGGGCTGGAGAGGAGCGAGGAAGATGGACAGAGCCATGTGATCCCTGCCTCTGTAAAACATGGCAGTTTTGTCAACTTGAAATGCAACAAGGACCATGCAGTTTACCAACTTTATCTATTCATTGACAAATGCATTACTTCCAAGGTGGCACTCAGTGTGTGTTGCAGGTTGATAAGATGTAGCCTTCAGGAAGCCCCACGGCACAGAGGGAGAAAAGCAAGACAAAGAGGAAGACCCTCACAACTTGATGAAATTCCATAGGAACTACAGCCGTGAAATGGAGAAAGAAATTCGTTTTTATTCTGAAACTATGAGTCCTGCCTATTCCCCCCACTCTAGATTGTCAAGACCTCAGAAAAGGGGTAATGCACCACTACAAAGAGATTCAGATTTGATGAAACAGCAACTACTTCTTAATCAGTGAGCTGAACACGATGTTTTTTGAAGGTAGAACTCAGGAGGAAGACGTGTCATTTCTTCTGCCCTTGGGGTTACACAGGGAGACAACTGTATTGACATCTCCCACAAAAAGACTGGAGGATGTCACTAAGGACAGGGTCTTTCTCCAGAATGGGCCACCCTACACTGCCTTCAAGACCTGCTTACCACACACATCTTTCAACCTTTCCTGACTTGTTCCCAGCTCCTGTGGTCATTTTCCTGCCCTTGCATTCTTTGAATGCAGAGTACCCTCCATATAGGTTTAGTGTAGAAATTAGAGGACTGAGTCTGGAAATCAAACTCTACTGTGTGACCTTGCACAAGTTACTTTTTCTCTTTGAGCCTCAGATGATCTATTACCCCCTCAGGAATCAAACGTTCCATTAAACTTTGCCTTGGAGCCAGTGTTTCACCTCACTGGGATGCTTTGCCTGAACAACCTACAGGATTTGTTTACTTCTTCTCATTCTCAAAGCTCCTCAAGTGGTGCTCCATATGCAGTAAGTTCTTGATAAATGTTTAATGGCCAACTGACACATCAGCTCCGTATGCTAGAAAGAGCTTGATTGCTCATCAAAACCTGCGAAGCACAAACACAGCTCCGTTCCTTTTTCAGACATATTCTAGTTGGCAACGACAGATGTGGTTAAGCTAATTAGAAGAAAGCTCAGAAAAAGAAAAGCAGATTCTGCAAAAAGCCAAATAGGCCCAAGATAACTAGGCTGCAGAAGGATCCAGATAAAGGAGCTGGCACGAGGAGGATGAATTACTCAGCATTGCCTGGCACACCGGAGTGGGCAGCGTGGCGGGCAGCGTGGCTGCAGAAACCACCTCACTGGGGAAGCTAATTGTTTCTGGCTCCAACCATAAAAACCACAAAATAGCCAAGATGGTGACGTGGGAGAAGCTGCCTCTGGGTAAGTGTTTTATTAGATTTTCATTTTAATTGACACATAAAAATTGCACATATTTATGGGGTACAGTGTGACATTTTGATACGTATATACAAAGGGTAAATGATCAGATCAAGGTAATTGGCACATCTACCACCTGAGATGAATATGTGGGAACATTCAAAATCCTGTCTCCTAGCTATTTTGAAATAACTCACCATTGTCAGTCTTGGTTGTTGCACTGGGCTGTGGGGCATTAACCATCCTGTCTCCATCCCTCCCTCCACACCTGCACCCTTCCCAGGCTCTGCTGGCGCTACTAATGTGCCTCCTAAAGACCTCATGCTTCCTCGTCCTGGGAGTGCTGACATGGCAGCATGGGCAGTGCCCTAAAGAAGCTTCAGCCCAGCCCTCTCAGGACCTACAGCATGGTGGGGACCGAATGAATTTGCCAACAGCTAAGATCAAGCTTCACAGTGAAATGGGCCTGTGGCTGGCTGGCCTACAAAGCCACATGCTCTGTAGCCGATCAGCATGCAGCGCCAGGGAAAACAGAGGACCTCCAGGAAAGTGAAATACTAACAGTTGGGGTGAGCAGAATGGGGTGACCAGCCTGCTCCAATGTCCCAATGGAGATAAAACCTGGGGACTTAAAAGGAGGTCCAGCTACAGGGTGGACAAGGGGGCGGCAGGTGAGATATCAGATGCAAAATTTAAGGAGGAGCCCACTAACAGAGCCAGGCTTGACCCCAGCCCCAGCCCCGCCCTGCCCATCTGAAACTGGTGCTCAGAAGACTTTCTCCTCTCTGTCTCCCTCAGCCCATCATCTGTCCTTCCATTTCATCCACGTTGAGGGCAGTGGTGAGGGACCAAGGGTGGGGCTCCCTCACTTGTTCACTGGGTGAACTTGAACACGTTACTAAGTATCTCTAACTCCCAGTTTTATCATTCATAATATGAAGGTAGTAATGTCGACCTCACAGAGTTGCTGAGAAGAACTGCTGAGACAGCATGCAAGGTACTTAGCACACTTTCTGGCACACCGAAGTTCTCTTGGAGTAAGGGTAAACTGGAAATCCACTGATTTTTGCAAATATTGAAGCTCAGCTTCAAATCATCTTAATTACAGATGATCTAAGATTGCTAGTGGTTTCAAAATACTTCAGTGAGGGCCCAAATTTTCCCTGAATATTGATATATGCAATATCTAGCATGTGATAAAGTATAGCTGCTGGCGCTACTAACATGCAATATTTTATATATAGTATATATACTATATATATAGTTTATAGTAACTACAGTATTTTATAGTATAGTAACTACAATATTTTTCTTACAGTGATTAAAATCCAAGAGAAACAGCAACCAAAGAAACAGACCTTAGAGGATTTAGATAATGTGGTAATCACACACGAACTCTAAAATAACAATGCTTAATCCGCTCAACAGGAGGTTAAGAATTTTTTTCTCTGTTTGTATGTGGTGCTGAGGATCGAACCCTGGCCGCACGCACGCCAGGCAAGCGCGCTACCGCTTGAGCCACATCCCCAGCCCCATGTAAAAATGTGGATGTGTAACCGACGTGATTCTGCAATCTGTATTTGGGGTAAAATTGGGAGTTCAAAACCCACTTGAATCAAATGTATGAAATATGATATGTCGAGAGCTTTGTAATGTTTTGAACAACCAATAATAAATAAATAAATAAATAATTAAAAAAAAGAATTTTTTTCTCTTGTCTTTTTTTCCTAGCAGGGCCTACAACCCAAGGTTCACTCATGCTAGGCAAGCACTCTACCATTGAGCTACAGCCCCAACCCAGGAATTTCAAGAGGAGACTAAAATCTATAGTAAAAAGGAAGAAAAAGGAAATTTTATGATAAAAATACGCTGACTGGAAAAAAGAAATTAGTGAATGGGTAAAAAAAAAGATCAAATGCAGAGAAAGCAGAGAAAATGAACTGGAAGACAGATCATTATGGTGGCTAGAATAAAGCTCAGAGATAAAAGGGTAAATAACACATAAAAGAATGAGAGGCGTAGAGCACAAATTAAAAGTTCCGGTGTACACGTAATTGGAATCACAGGGGAGGGGACAGAGGAGAGGCAAGGACTCGAGGGAGGAGGATGGAGCAGAAGCAGTATTTGAAGATATAATGACTGATAATTTTCCAAAACTAATTAGAAACATCGAACCATAGTTTCAGAAGCTCTAAAAAACCAGGGTGGAGACAAAGAAATTTCCACTTTAACGCCACACAGTAAAACTGCTGAAAACCAAACATACAGGAAAATACCTTAAAAATAATCAGAGAAGAGAAAAAAAAAACTACTCTTTAAGGAGCAATAATAAGAGCAATACCCAACTTTTCAACAGAGAAAGAGAAGCCCAAGAAGTGGAAAGATACCTTCGGAAGGCAGCAAAAAATAAATAAATAAAGACTCCAGAGGAAATTTACCCGACCCAAGTTCAAATAACAAGTTTGTGGCAAAGCCAGAAACAGCCTACACGTCTACACTGAGGTCACGCAGAAGCAGGTGATGCAGCCCGGGCAAGAGCTAGGGCAACCCTTGCTCTCCTGCTGGCCTGCTGGCCACAGAAGAGGCCACGTGGGGCCCTGATCAAGTTGATGGCTTGAGACCTCTTCAGGGCCTGAGTGGGGCCTCCGCTGGAAGGTCTTATGAAATATGAGGATCAGCGCACGAGTGGTGTCTGTAAAGCCAAGACTGGTAAATCATTCACTCATTAATAACTGCACCTTTAAAACAGGAAGGTCACACAGAGGCCATCCGAAGAGTGAGAGTTTGTGTTGTGAGATCAGGACTCAGGAGTGTTGTGGGGTCAAGAGGTGTGGCGTCAAGAGGCCACGTGGTGTGTACAGTAAGAAATGTGGAATTGATGGATTTAATCTGGTATATAGAAGAAGCAAGCTACTAAACTCTTCCGTGTCAGGGAAGTGCTTCAGCAGTGGAGATGCAGAAGCTCAAGGAAGCCATCCACAGAAGAAACTGAGCATGGCTGGTGACAGACGAAGGAATTTCCAGTCCCCATCCTCTCCACTTGTATGAGATCTGCATGTTAAGATAGCACTGATGATCAAATTACTTACTGAACAAGCGATGAAATGAGAATTTCTAATGAAGCCCTAATGAATTGTATCCCTTAAGCTTCTTACCTCGGAGGATGCTTCCTCTATTAAGCCAGCTTTCAGGAAGCAGCAGGGGCTCTCAACAGCGCCCCAGCTCAGCACTGAGGGAGAAGGGGAGGTGGGACCATGGGACAGAGGACTGAGCCTCGGAAGGCCTTGGTGATCAACTTGCCCAGCCCCTCATTGACAGTCAAGGGGACTCAAGCCCAGAGCACTTACGAAGGCAGCTTCGTGCTTCCGAGACAGTTGCCTGACTCCAAGTCTGCTAACCTTGAGCCTTAGCTTTCTCTCCTGCCAGGTAGGAGTGTTGGACTAGATCTAGTGTTCCTGAGTCAGCCATTCCTCCAACTTCTATACCACCTGCACCATTATCCAGATACCATTTTTTTTTATTGGACACATCTTCGTTTTTAAAAAGGAAACACCATGTTGCTCAGTAAAAACTAGTGCCCCTTGCCCTACATGGAAAGTCACCCTGGATCAGCTGGTTTCAAAAGTTGCCTTGGGTTCTGACCTTCCACACCTCTGTGCAACACACGTCTGTCTGGCTTCCTCTGGTTCGACTGGAATCACTTGTTTTATCAGCCTGGAATCCCAGAACCTACTATTTGTAGATTGTAGAATTTTCTAGTCTTATTCTCCTGCCTTCCCAGATGTAACCATACAGAACTGGAGCTAATGCTTGGGTTCTCTCTACTCCATCCTCCCAGAGTGCTCCTGGACTCAGTTTCCCTGACAGCACACTATTTCTCCAAAACAGCCATTCTGTCCCTAAGAGTTTTTTTCTTAGCGGGGTAAACCAGATGATGGTCAAAGCCTCTTAAAGCAGCCTGAAAGGACTAAGGCAGGATTGGTCTGACCCGAAGGTGAAATGCCACCTGCCCTCCGTGTATGGCAGTGAGTGAGAGGCCCGTGAGAGAAATCTCTGCTGCAGTCCACCTGCTCACCTATTTGTCCTCTGCATCCTATTTGGTTCTCTACTGGACAGCAACGTGTAGGGGCTCAGCTTCCCTTCCCAATCTCCTGCCTCTGCTTTCTGAAAGTCTTCCTCCACACATTCAAAATCCTCCTAGGTCTCAGTGAGAAGGACTAGGAGCCCTTTGTCCTTGGGAAACTGAGGCAGTGGAAGAAGCAAAAGGCTTTACAGGTCTAAGTTCAACTCTCAGCTCAACCTCCAACTAGCTGCATGATGAACTAGTCAGCCAACTGCTGAATCCTCAGTTCACTCCCTGTCAAATGAGAATCATGATACCCATCTCAGCAGGCTTCAGGGACATCTAGTGAGATGAAGGCAAACACAACCCTGGGCGTGTGGTAAGTGCCCCAAATGTTCCCTGCCTTCCCCTTTTGTGTCCACTCATGATCCACATGGGGTTCAGGGACTCACACATGGGGCTACCCAAGCATCAATGACCAAATCCATAAGGACTTTTCATCCTAGGACTCTGATCAGTAAGGAGTACAGGGGTTCTAAGAACAGCCCAGGTCACCTGAGTTCTTAAGTTCTACCTCCAGAAGGAGATAGCTCCAGCCATGGGGTAGCAGGGAGGAAGCAGGTAGAGCTTCACTGAAGTGACACTTCTAGGGAAGCCACTTCTCTGGCCAGGTAGACCTGATAGACATCTAGTGCAGACGCCACATCTGGATGCCTTACCTGCAGCAGTTCAAACACAGCAAGGAGGTCCCCTCCAGAGATGCTCCCACAAAAGATAGGGTGATAGCACAGCCTGGGGGGCTCATAGTCCTGGCCAGCCAGCTTCACAACTGGAGCAGCCACCGTGGCACCCAAGTACTCTGGCTTTCCCTAGGGTGGGAAAAGAAATGAACTTTTCATTGTTTCCTACTGGGTTCTGACCCCCATGGATGAAGCTTCGCGAACAATTTTTCCAGGGGGGACATGTGAACTTTCATATTTTCTCTATCTCCATGTTTCTTTTTCCTTTTGGATTCTAGAAGGTAAGCTTGAGTTTTCTGGAAAGGATTTGGCTTAGGGTCAAGCTGAGAAGGACTGTGCCTGGGTGCAGATCTAGAAGGGCAGTGGAAAACTACCAAGTGGTGATGGGAAAACAGCCAGCCAGCCAGCGCTGGAGGAGCAGGCCTTTCAAAGATGCTTGATTGCTTTTCAAACAGGAAACAAGCACTTAGGACTGTGAGTGTGTTACTGGGAACAAAATTGAAAGGATTTTTATTTTGTGACCCTTCCTACAGAAAATCAGCTCTACAGCCTGAACAGGAGAAGTCATCTTTCACAAATATGTACATCTAGCCCCAATTTACAGAGGAGGGATGGGACCCAGAGGGATGGAGTGACATGAAGAACCTATGGGGGAGACTGCCCTACTAGCCATCTGTGTGCAGAAAAGAAATGAGCATAGCAGACCCAAGTTCAAGTCCTGGCTTTGTTCTCCAGTGACCTTAAGGAGGGCATTTGACCTTTCTGATTTCTCTTCTGGAAAACCAGGAGGGGGCTCCAGCTCTCTGAGGCCTCTGCTCCCCTTCTGTAATTCTCAGGCCCTGGTTCTCACCTGACCTTGGCCCAGGGCCAGGCTGTCAGTGTTGCTCTGAGGAGTGAGGAAGCTTTGGAAATGCTTCTTGGAACAATGGCTGAACTTTGTAGATTTGAGCTTCTGCAACCCTCTGAGGAGGCAGAGACATCAAATAAAAGAAATAAAGCTTTGCCTTTCATTTTAGACTTCTTAATTTAAAAAATAGGATTTGTTTTTGTTAAAAAAAAAATCCTCCAGTAAGCTTTTCAATCTATCCCAAATTTCAGAACACAAACATCTTGGGAGAGGAAGAAGTTTGTTTTCCATGATAGCAGAGAAAGGGTCAAGGATGAACATTTATTGTGGGGCCTGGAAGCTTCAGCCATGCAAAAGAGAGACCAGGACAGGGAATCTTTGCTGGGTGAGAGCAATAACAACCTCCTATTTTCAAAAGGTGTGGCCATTATGGCAATAACACGGGCAATCTGGGGTTGCTTTATACAAGTATCATTTTCCTGGAGAAGTGTGTGTTGACTAAAGTTTTCTAACTGGGCCCAATTTTAATTGCAATTTAAAGAGAAACCTAAGGGGTGGGGGGAACCCTTAAAAGTAAATTGGTTGTTACCAATTGTCTAGGCTCTGCAAACCCTCGTTTTCAGAAATCAAGTTTGCTGCAAGGCACATCTAGGGCCGTGACTACTCACAATGCCAGGACTTTATTTGCTTTAAAGAAGGTTAGTGCAGCGCGGGCTAGCGCTGGCCCTGTGGACACTCACCACCGCATCGCTGTCATAGAGCTCCACCACCACGAGGGGTGGGGACGCCATTATCTCCCTCTCCTCTCCGTGCAGCACCAGCTCATTGAACAGCAGCATCTGGTTCCAGGTGGGGGAGAGAGTCTGGGAAATGATCTGGAGGAAGAAACCAAAAGAGCCGTTCAGTTGGGTTGCAGGGGTCTCCAAGGGTCATTCAACAGACACATATGGAGGGCAAAGAGAGCCCATGGCCACCATCCAGCGCAGCCATTCAGCATTCAAGTGTCATGTAAACGGAGCTGCTACTATACACTCAATGCCAGGGGAATGCAAAGGTCCCCTGCCCTGGAGGAGCCTACATTCTTAATGAGTTTCATCAGCAGAGCAATGTTTAAATTGCATAAATCATCTCAACTCATTCCTCACAGTCGTGCAGCAATGATAACACTAGCAGACCTTTATTGAGCACTTACTGTGTGCTTCCTACTGCACTGTGCAAGCACTGTCTCGCTCAAACCTCACTGCAGTTCTGGGAATAGGTATTTATACATATTTTAAAGATGAGGAAACTGAGGCTCACTGTCCAGAGCCAGCAGGTGCTAGAACTGGGACTGGATCATCTGCACCAAAGCTCAGGCTGCCAGTCTTATCCACCCTCACCAAAGACACGCCCTATTAACTCTATGTCATGTTATGGATGGGACACTGAAGATGAGTGATCTAGTGGCTCTTCACTTATGAGCAAAAAAAAAAAAATGTTGTTATCAAATATCCTGAAGTTGAGTTTAAATCTAATGTTCCTACCATGGAATTCTGGGTTGGGGATATTTATTGACTACTTGAATGGCTTAGGGTCTTCAGAAGAAGCCTCCCCATTTTACACAGCATCCTCCTACCATGAGGTTTGCTATGGGAGCAAACTGTGAAGTGGGCAGCTGGCTGCACCCATGATAGGAGGGAGAAACCAGAGGTCAGAGAACAACAGCTTGCACAATTGGTGCAGAGTCATGAGTGAGTCACCTGAGAGAGGCTCTCAGCCCCCCACAAGGCCACTCAGAGGTAACTTCAGAAGGGAGGGCATATTTGGACTTGAGTTCTCTTCTCTGTTTAGCTGGATGTTGGAAAATATGTCCGTTTCACAGAGCTCAAGGCTGGTGGTGTCTGCAGGATGGGAGAGCCCTGCTAAATTAGGTGAGGACAGTCCTGGGGAGAGTCGGCCACCTCTCTCTCTTCCAGGATGCACAGTCAGATGGGTGGCCTGGCAAGAGCAGGGTGCACAGGAGCCACTGGGGCTGAGGAAATTTCCACAGCACCTCTGATCTGAACCTGTACTGCTATCGTTCTCTCCAGGAGGTCTGGGACTAAGACCTGGACTCACTTCTCAGACTCCAAAGGTCACATGAAACTGTTATGTCAGAGTTTTCCATGGAATTGTCTTCAGTTACAGCATCAAATCATTTTCACTGTGGCCATGAAAGGATATTTTTATTGATCTTTAGGTGAGTCATAAAAATATTGTGTGTTTCAGCAGTTTCCTCCCTTTCTTGCTGTTTTGACAGAGTATTTTATGACTCATTGAGCTTTTAAACATTGCAGAGAAGATCTAACTTTTCTGACAGGATAAAAAGGGCTTCAACCAACCGATGATCAGGAGCTATGGAGTAACAATGCAAAGTTACTCAGTGCCGGGGACTGTCAGCACAAAGAACCATGTGTTTGAATATTGCTTTTGAAAATAGACATGTGATCCCTCTTGTAGCATGCACCTGAGGGTGTGATACAGAAACAACATATCATCTTCACAGCATCTTTCCTACAGAAATATTTTGATGTCTTCCTTAGCACCAGTCTGTAAATGCCAGCTGGAAGGATTTCAGAGGCCACTATTCACTGATTCATTCATTCATCATGTATTTATTCAGGACTTACAGTGTGCCAGGGCCAGGGTTAGGCACTAACACAGCATCTTGTGCAAGGCAGGTGCTTCATAGCTATTTGTCTGGTATCCAGTGGGTACTGACCTGTCCTTGGAGTTGCTTCTGTGTGTAAAAGACCACAGTCACCTTCAAGAGGTACTCAAAGGCTCATCCAGATAAAAATTCATTCTCCCACTTCTCTGCCAAGGTATTCATGATTATTTTTATTTCTTAAGGGCTTCCTTAAAGGTCATGCATTTTACTGGGTTGAATCATTATTTAGGGGTCATGACAATGCTTAGCTAACACTTTGAAGAGAGGTTCAAATACCCTGGAAAGAATAGAGCTTTAGAATCAGGTAACTCTGAATGGAATCCTAGTTTTTATTACCTAGCCTATATCTAACTTAAGAAGGTGATTTAACCCCCAGACCTGAGTTTTCCTCATTTATATAGGGTTAGCACCTAACTTGAGGAGTTGTTATGACCTTTGTCTGAGATAAAAAGTATTAACAGCCAGGCACACAGCAGGTGCTCAATGAATGCTTTTGACCCCTCCCCACTCCATCCTAGTCTGTACTCATTTATAAGTAAATCAACATTTAGGGCTGGGGATGTAGCCAAGTGGTAGAGTAGTTGTCTAGCATGCACAATGGCCTGGGTTCAATCCCCAGCACCAAAACCTTTTTAAAGACCCATTGCCTACCACACGCCAGCTGTGGTACATGGGGGTCTTGCCTGAGCCTCACCTGCCTGCTCTGCAGAATCCAGACAACACCAACATCTCCATTTGGACTGCAATGATATATGGCAAATAATGCACAGAAAATGCTTAGCCTCATGCCTGGCACATGGGGAGCTTTGGATAAATAACTATTACTATTAGCAAAAATGAAGTACTAGATTCAGAATTATGGAGGCAAATCCAGGGCTCATCAGAACCTAGTTTCCCTTTCAAATGATTATTTGATAAACAAAATCCATCTCTTGCTTGAGATATGGATGGAAATCAAATGAAGATGCTGTCAGAGATGCAAAACAGGAGGATGACTGTCTGGCAGCCGGGAGCTCACTCAACTGTCCATTCCCGGGGTCACCTCTGGGCACCTGGCGTCCCACAGCTATGGCAGGTAGAGAAGGGACCCAGGTCCATGGTTTGAGAATTCCCTTGCTTTGGTTCAGAAGCCTCAATGGCAACAAGTAATCGCATAGCAGCTGTTACAAGCCAGGCACGATCGGGGGTGATTTGCACTCTGGGGGTGGGTAATGAACACTACGATCCTCCGATTCACAGAGGAAGAATCTGAAGGGGGTTTTGTTTAACATAACACAGCTAACAAGTGGGAGAGCTTGCAAAGGGGACCTGGGTGGCAGGGTTCCTCGGTGTCCACTCAATTCCTGGGCTTTGAAACCCGGGAAGGAGAAATCGGTCTGCTGCCCTAGTGTGTTTCCATTCTCAGGTGCTGAATGAGGTTGGAGTCACCTTCCTTGAGGCTCTCCTGATTGCCTTCCCAGACAGAATGAACCCTTCTCTCCTTCTCTTGCAGGACTTGTACAGCTCTGCACTGCGGGGCTTAGCATGGTGGAGTCGGCCCATCTGTCTGGAGGACTGTGATGTGCCTGGGTAGCACACTGGCAGGAGCAGGGTCTGGCCCGGCATCTTCTGGAACTCACACAGAGCTGGCACTCGATGGGAACTGGGTAAATGGATGTGATGTTAGTTCACACCATGGTCTCGGTGTGTGCATTGTAAATCAAAATGCAACCTAATCCATCAAACAGGTCGTAGGCTTGGAGAAAAACGTCAGTCCGGTCAACATCAGCCAATACAATGGCCACTATCCATCAGTCATTTTATACATTTGAATTCTTCACAGCAGCCCTACTTTAAGGCGACAAACCTGAGGTTAACTGAGTTGTGCTATCTGCCCAAAGACATGCAGCTATAGAGCAGACGAGCTGGAAGGTAACCTCTGGGCTCTTTGTGTCTTACCCACCTGAGATGGGCGATTCTTTACAGAGCTTAACCCACTCGAAACAGAGAATCAGAGAACAACCCAATGAGAAAACATCCTACGGGACTTCTCACCAGGAGCCCTTTGTACACCTTAGCACTGCACATATAGGAAAGGGCGGGAGTGCAGAGGAACAGATGTCCCTTCAAAGCCCTTTAATACAGCACCCACCACAGAGTAGTCTTTTCCAGAGAGGATCAGGGGCAGGGGGGTTTCTGAAGCACAATGGTGTTCAAAGTGTGCAGAGCCTCCCAGAGGGTGAATGCAAACACTAGAAATCCCTGACAGTGAAACTAGAACTTTCTTCCCCATCTAGAACTTTCTTCCCCAGTCGTGACAGATCTGAGCCTCGTGGGGGTCGTCTGCGGTGCCTTCTCATTTGCTGAATCCCCACCTGGCTCCCTGGCCTGGCACTCCTGCAGGTGCCTCGGGATGCCAGGTTCCACCTTCCCCATTCTTCTTTTGTTCCTCACCACTTGCTCCCTCTGCCTCAGGACATTGGCTTGCAGGGAAACAACAGACCCTCCCAGGGTCCTTCCTGGCTCACATTTATTTCTGAGTCAGAAACACCCCACGCCCTTGATGCTGGTGTGCCCAACCTGCTCCTGATTTTTCTTTCCTGGGCTCTGTTGCTGGTTCCCTGGTTACCTTTGTGGTCTGGCAGTGGGACAGGAATGTGACTTTGGCAAAAGGGTCTGAAAGTCCATTGCTGTCAGCTGCGATGAGGCCCCGGGCTTGGTACATGTGAGCTCTCAGCTGGAAGGTATGCTGGGCTGTGGACAAACGGGAAAGGGCGGACATTAGTGGGCTTGCTAGGAGCCACAGGATCAAGTGGCCACCGCCTTCCTCTGTGGTGGCATGGGGAGCCGGAAGAGGTGCCGTTTATGGAGCGCTTGGGAACCGCGTTCTCCTTGGTGCTCCTGCATGCTGGGTGCCTTCCTCTTCACAATGACCTTGTGGAATAGATATAATTATCCCCCTTTTATAGATGAGGAAAATGGTCCAAAAATGGCTAAAATACTTTCCCAAGTTTGCAGAGCCTGGATTTTACTTCTTATTCCAAAATTACTTCTTTTTCTAAAATATTATATTTTATTCTCTATAATTCTCCTGTTTTCAATTGTGTGTGTGCATGTGTGCACGTGTGTGTGCATATGTGTGTGTAAGGGGCTGCTTCACAAGTAGCTTTTCCTTCTATAAACTCAGATGTCTAAGTCACCTACATGTCCACTCTGCCAGCCAATGCTATGCTGAGTACCTGCTGTGTACAGTCTTGCTCTTGGTGTCTAAAGCACAGTCCTGGTCTCTAAGGATTCTGATGTAACTAAGATAGACCTTGCCCTTGGGGAGTTCCCAGGAGAAGACAGAAGAAAACACAAACATCCAAGTCACCATGACTGGAGGCTAGGGCTGAGTGTCCTGTGACCGATATTGGCAAGGAACATGGCAGGTAAAAGGCAGGAGTGAGCCCACCTGTTTGACAGGATAAGCAGAGAGAAGGATGCAGGCTGGTGGTAGGTCAGGGTTCAACAGGGAAACCTTGAGGAGAGTCGAGTTGATCCTTCTCTTTGGTTCATGGGATTTCATGACCACTGGCTCTTCCAAGAACCTCATTTATTTTTTTTAAGTCTAGGCCCTCTCTTTCCTATCTTTCCCAAAGGTATTATGCTCAGTGTATATCTATATCTTTGAATTGACATGGGGACTGGTATATAAGAACCCATGCACACCAATTTACATAGCTCTCCTTACTTCAATGAAGGGTGTGAATACCCTGGGAGCATTCTCCCGACCCCCACCAGGCACACCCAACACTACTCCTAGGCATATAACCAACAGGTCTAAAAAAGAACTTGTATGTGGTTACTAACCTCCTCCGTGCCTTTATTTCCTTATCTGTGAAATGGGGTAATAATAGTTCCCCATAGAGTATTATAGGGTGAGGATGGCATCTGGCACATGGAGAGAACTTTAAAAGTGGTGTGAAGATGCTGGTGTGCTGTTACTATAGGTCACTGCAGTGTAACCAGTGGGCTGGAAGCAGCCTGTGTGTCCTTCCCATGGGGGTGAACAAGAAGCACGGTTAGGCAATGAGAGGCAGCAAGAGAGATGGACTCGAGAATCTAGTACCTAGGGAAAAAAGCAAAGCAGCATGAGAAATGTAACCAAGCTATTCATGTAAAATAAGAAGGCATGCACACAGAAGAGCATTTGCATTCACCAAACCACAGTCAAATACAAAAGGGCAGACTCCAGGGGAGGTGGCTCTGCCCTTTGAGCAGAGTCCTGAAGGGTGGTAGCATTTGATTGGCCAAGATGGATGTCTCAAGCATTTGTCACAGGGTGATTGAAAGCCAAGCACAGAAACTAACTCCAGGCCATGGACAGGCAAGAATGTGGTCTAGTGTGACCACAGTATACAGTCCTGGATTGTGGCAGTCAATTTGACAAGGGCCGTGGAGGCCTGAGTGAGGCACTGGAACTGAGTTTAGCACGCTATAGGGAGTACTTGATGGAATATGCCCAGGAGCTGAGGGCCTCAGAGCAAAGCATCAGGAGGATGACTGAGTCAAACTTGCAATGGGCAGAAGAGATGTTAGGAGGAGAGGAAGGAGACAACACCGCCCCCTCTAGGAGGGAAGGTGGAATGGCAGATAGCACACAGGGATGGAGGGATTGAGATGAGGGGCTGGGAGAGACATCACAGCAGCGGGTGCCATCAGATCCTGACTGGAGGGCAAGGAGGGGACAGCAGGGCACCTCATGATTGTTATGAGACGTGCTCCCAATCTGTCCCTCTACTCCATGCCCCTGTCTGGCTACATGGACCAGCATGGTATCTGGGAATGTAGCAACCTTATCAATCTCCATTCTGATCCTACAGAACGTGTGGACCCTTGAGCTCTGCACTGTCCCCAGTGAAGCCCAGGTACTCACAGTGCAGGTGCTCCAAGCTCTGATCAACTCAGGGGAAGGACAGAAGTGATTCCTTTGAACTCAGTGCTAAGAACCTCTCCCTATAAAAACGCTAGTGAACTCAAATGTGGATGGGCTGCACCCTGATGACAAGAGTCCCTTCCGACAGCAGCATTCAACAACAGAATGCTCAGGAGATAACACAGGATTTCCTGACAAGAGCCTGATCCTTAGGATACTACAGAGCTGGCAAATTTCGCAGCTGGGAATGAACTTGGAAATGTCTGTTACCTGACAGTGTCTACCAGCTGCCCCTGAAATAACCAGCCTTGAAATTTTAGCAAAGTTCCCAACTGCAGCCACACAAGCATAACTCCAAGGGGTGCCACTTACTTAGACTGAGCCTATGGTGTTTTGAAACCCAGAGCCTTACCAGTTCTGCTCCTTTGATTAGTCTAGCTGCCTCCTCACACACTGATGGTCCATCTCACATGCCATGGTTCACTTTCCCTTTGTGGCTTTTAGAGACATGTCTGATTGCCCCCACTAGAGGGCCACGATCACCTCATTCATCTCTACTCCCAATACCAGTTTTTCCACCATGCCTTCCAAATATGGGTTCAAACTAATTAATTGCTGAATGGATATTCTCTGGACCATAAAATTCTCCAGTAGGTGTGGAAGGCAGCCAACATTGTCAATGTCAGTGCACAGCACAAAAAGTATATTAGGTCACTCCAGGAAAGCAGCATGCTGCAGAGGGTCAGAAAGTATTGGGGAAAGTCTCTCCTCCCCTCTGAATCGTTAGTCGCTGGAAGAGCAAACATGTCTTGGTCTTTGGGTCTCTAGAGATAGTGTCTACAGAAATAGAAAGATAACATCATGGGGGTGTTATTTGACCAAAGATTAAAAACTCTCTAAAGGTAGAATGGAAAACGGTAGAAAGAAGTCAGAGTTTGGAGATGGGTTGCTTCATCATTTACTATCTGTATGATCTTGGGTAATTTCTAAACATCCCTGGGTATAAACCTCTCCATCTTAAAATGAGAAAACCTCCCAGGGTTGGTGTGAGAAATAAAAGAAAACTTGTATATCCAGTACAGGGTACAATGCTTGACACATAGTAAGTATGATACATTTTCTAAAACACAATGTTCCTAGGTATTGGCTGTAGGCACAGACACCAAAAGCTGAACCACTTTGAGAACCTTGATTTCTCAACAACTGAGCCACTTAGATGCCCCTGGAAGTCAAGACCAACCAACATCAGAGAAGCCTAGGTGTGCATAGAGTTCTGCAGCATTCCCAACATTGCCTCAAGTCCAAATGCAACTTCAGTGAAGGCAAATTAAAACTGCAACCTGCTTTACCTGAATCCAGCAACAAAAAGGCAAAGTAAAGCAATTTGGAAAGAGAAAGCAAAATGAAACCATAAAGCATTAATACTTATAATAAAATTCAAAATAGTATGAAAATATAAACACAATGACACCCATAAAACACAACCGCATGGAAGAAAGGGTCCCATAAAGTAAGCTGACTTTCCAGAAGCAGCCCAGGCAAGAACTGAGCTAGAGAAACATGAGTGACTCTGATGCCAGTCTTCCCTGGGTAACTCCTGGGACATGTAAGGGTCAAAATTTTAATGCCATATGAAAAGGAAAATCTGCTTTAATTCCACAGGTCACATCAGCACAAGGACGTACTAATGCTTCTTTAAAAGACACGTTTTACTTAAAATGCAAACTCCACCTATATAGTCCACCTATGAAGAAGCTCAAACTGATTTTCCTTCATTCACAGAGAAGCATAGATGTTTATTCCAGATGTGTTAAATGACTTCAGTTTATACTTTTAAATCAACACTGAAAGGTGGAAAGAATAGAAACTGTATTACCGAAGGCAAAGAAGTTGATTCTAGAACAGTGGGCAAATGGCTCACTCACATTGCCTCCTCACTGTTTCCACAGAAGCCCACCAAAGACAGGTAACGCCCCTCTTTGCCCAGTGCGTGCCATACCTTGGTAGAGCAGGTTGCATGGAGGGTGATTGGTGCCAGCCACTTTGGGGGGCATTTCTGCTTCATAGCCTGCTGGTAGGTTGTCCAAAATGGCACCAGAGTATTGGATGGAGCCCAGCCACAGGTACACATCGACTTTTGCTTGCACTGACCAGCCAGGTGGCCGTTTCCCAGGAAGCTGGGGAGAGGGTACAAGGGAGACTGCTTCATTAGCAGGAGACAAGCGTGAGTCTCACTCTGAGGAAAGAGATCCTTCCAGGAGACATGCCTGGAGGTGCGTTCAGAGTCATTAAGTGCCCTGTTTGCCCTGATGCCCAACCCCAGAGGAGGATCCAGGTTTTGAGGGGCCTGAGGCTCACGCATGCAGTATGTTAAGCACTTCCAAGCCCTTGATCACTTAAACCTAACAGCTACATATATTATTGCTCCAGTTTTATAGATGAGGAAACTCAGGCTCAGAGAAATTAAATAAGCTGTTTGAGGTCTGTTTGTAAGTGGCAGAGCCAAGATTCAAGCCAAAGAAATGATTCCAAGTCTAGACTCTCACCTCCGACCCCCACAGCCTGCTTCTTCATCACTGAGCTGGGGATTTCTTCCTGAACTCCCCCAGGTCTTCGTGGGCTCCAAGGAGCCGCCCTGGCCTGCCGGGCCTGCCCGCCTGCCTGCCTGGACACCTGTGCTTCATTCCTTCCTCCTGCAGGGTGGTTTTACTGCTTCCTCTGCTAGGAATGCGCTCAGGCTTGTGTGTGTGTGTGTGTGTGATGCTCTGTGTCTATGTTTGTATCAGTGTGTGTGGTGTGAGTGTGGACTGGGAGTGTGTCTGCGTGTGCGTATGTATGTCTTGGGGCTGCGCGTATTCTCAGAACCTAAGGACACAACTAAATATACACAGAATGTCCCCATCTTGTGGTCACCAGGCTTGGGGACTCCCTGCCCCATCTAGAGAGTCCCAGGCCCTGCCTTGGCTGTGTTCAGGATAGCTGGTGAGGCCCTCACTCAAGAGCAGCAGATGGCACTTAAGACAGGATTTTGTCGGGATTTTGTTGACTCTTCTGAGAGCCTCTTCAGAGTGTCGCTGAGAATTTCCTCTCAGAGGCTTCTCCCTTCTTCTACACCATTTCCTGACCATGGAGAATCACAGAATCCTATGATGACAGGCCAGAACTTGCTCGGACAATTTCCAAGACTCCTGGAGAGGCTTTAGGAGTTACATCCAGACCAAGAGGCCGACCTGATCTGCATTCCTTACTCAAATGGAGAGAGAAATACTAAAAGAGCAGAGAAGGGGCAGCGGGCACTGCCACCCTTTCTTTAAGATTCAAACGCAGCCGTCCCCCTTCTCCACGGTTCTGGTTCTGCTTTCTATGGTTTCCATTATCTGGGGTCTAAAAATATTAAATGGGAAATTTCAGAAATTAAGAATTCATAAGTTTTATTACGGTATATTGTTATAATTATTCTATTTTATTTAGTTATTATGGTTAATCTCTGTGCCTAATTTATAAATTAAGCTTTATCACAGGTACGTATGAAGAGGAAAAAACCACAGGATACGCAGGGTTTGGTACTTGAGCTATTTCAGGCATCCACTGAGTGTCTTAGGGCCTATCGCCCGTGGATGGGGGGTGAGCAGGCACTGCATTTAGCTGAGCTGTAATGAGCACCTTGGAGCTGGACCAGTCCAGAGGGCGTCCCAGGAAGAGGAAAGGGTGTGATGGAAACCCCAGCAACAGGAGCTTATGCTAATTCAGTGCCAAGTAGGGTGCCAAGAGTTTTCAGAAAAGAACTCATACCAGTGAGCCTGATAGCTGGACAGAGGACAAGAGAGGCTGGGGAGCCTGCTCCGTGTGTGCAGGAGTTGGGGCTTTATTCTTTAGGAGAAGGAGAGCTCTATTTATTCAGCTCAAAAAAGAAAAAAAAATGAAATAGGATCATTTTGTAGTTAATAAAGGCAACCACTCTCCAAGCTGTGATTTTTAAAATTATAAGAAGCTCTAATTCTAAGTTCATCACTTCTCTAGTAATAGCAGCTAAAATGAATAAAATAAACATTTACTGTGAGGACTGGGATTTTGCTCAGTGGTAGAGCATTTGCTCACATGCACGGGGCCCTGATTTTTCCCTAGCACTGGAGAGAGAGAGAGAGAGAGAGAGAGAGAGAGAGAGAGAACGAGCGCACTGAAAGTTTCTTTGTCCTGATAAAAGCCATGACTCTGCCACTTGCAGATGTCATTAGGACAGCCATCCATAAAGACAGGAATTCTTGTCTGTTGCTTCATGGTGACATACTCAGGGCCTAGAAGAGCACCCAGGAAGAGTGTGGTAATTATCTGTTGAATGAATAATACTTTATTTGGTTTTCTAGTACTAATAATATTTGACACATGCCAAGCACCTACACTGTTCTAGGCCCTGGTCTAATGTGTCTTCCTTCACACAGTGACTTGTATACAATACCTGCATACTGTATACAAGTCACTGTTTATCATTCGGCCTCCCAAACTCTATGAAGTAGATAACTCTATGAAGTAGATATACTTTTATCAAGCATATTTTAAAGATAAATAAATAGAAATCTAGAGAGGTTAAGACACTGTCCAAGGTCACGGAGCAAGGCAGGATTAGAGCCAACCCTGAAACCCAGTCCTACCTGGCTCTAGTGATCTTCATACATGGCTGTGTGTGTCAGTGCATGAGAACTGCCTGGGCATCCAGATAAGAAGTCAATTGCATTTCTTCCTGTTGATGTTGATGCTGGTCTACCAACCTCAATATTAGAACAGTAAGGCTCACAACACACCAGGCTACTCCTACCCCACCCCTATGCAGGAGCAGGTCCAAAATGTTTTTGCTTCTTAATGCAAAATGAGAACCACAAGAGAAAACAGCTTTCCTTTCTACTGATCCTAAACAAAGTGTCTGTGTATGAACTCACAGTTAGAACCACAGTGTTCCACCAGGACCACCGCTGCTGCACTCTTAGAGATTGCAACTTGTACATAAAACAATAAGCAAATTGACATCGCTGGTGACACCATGCCGAGGCTTAAGCATGTGAGCTGGCTCCACGCAGCATTACTGAGCACTCCTGGCGGTGCCTGCAGAAGCAGCATCCCATTTTTAATTTGCTGTTCTCTTCCAGCCTGGTGTTCCTGCCTTCCACCTCTGGCCCACTCTCCTTCCTCCCTCAGTGCCCCTGAAGCCTGACCAATCACTACAAGGTCTTGCCCTTTGAGAACAGGACAGAAAGAGAGGAAAAAAGAAAAGATAGAAAATTAATTAAAATGCAAAAGTGCTTAAAAACAATTCTGAGTGTCCCTGAAGCCTGACCAATCACCACAAGGTCTTATCCTTTGAGAATAGGACAGAAAGATAGGAAAAAGGAAAAGACAGAAAGAAAAATAATCAAAAATACAAAAGTGCTTAAAAACAATTCCAATCACTGACATACAAATATTGCACGAGGTGGAATGCTGAAGTCTCAGCCTCTCTCCCCCATCTACCTCCTGCCAGGGTCCTGGTGCATGCAAGCTGGCTTAGAAAACTTGGCAAGTCAGAGAAAGGAGAGAGAGGTGGCAAGCCATGCGGATGGTGCTGGAGCTGGTCAATCAGTATGCATGAGTGAGAGGTTCTTGGTCATGGAGGGGTTTCACTCTGGCAGGACCTAGAAAGGACCTTTCAGCCACAATTATTTTTAATCATGGGGAAAGCTGGAGGCCAGAGAAGAAGAGAAGAATGTGAGGTGTGGAGTAGAAGGTAGCACAGGCTGGAGGCAGGGTGAGAAGGGGGAGGCTCAGCACAAGAGGGGACTGAGTGCCACCCTCTGGGCTCTGAGTGCATCCAGCTCCTTCCCCAAGAAGGGTTTCCTTTGGCACTGAATTTCCTCTTCCATATTTCTGGTCATCAGGGTCACAGTGGAAATGGGACTGAAAAGAGAGAGCCGATTTCTTTGAATAATGGATTGGGGGGAGGTCTGAAAATTCTGTCCCACCACTTTTAGCAGCATCATGAACACATGTAAATAAGAGGGGAGGCAAGATCATGGAGCCTGGGACCATGAAACCCTGATATGTTACAGATCAACCCGAGCTCAGCTGTGCCAATCCAGATGACACACCTTTGTTTCCTCCCTCATTCCCAGTCCCCAAACTGGGCCCCAAAGAACCAGAAGTTTCCTAAAACTTATAGATCGCTCTTCTGGGGGAGAAAGCTTGGCAAACATGAGGGTAGACAGTTGAAGATGCTTCCCGACTGAAGGACTTCTTATAGGCTTCCGTGTGTGGATGGTACACTGTGGTACACTGTGGAACCCCAGGGGTTTCCGATGTCACAACCGCAGCTCCTAACAGTCTTTCAACACAGGATGTTTTATGGAGCCACTCAAAGGAAAACAGTGTGCTAGAATCAACTTTGAGGGATCTAATTTCCTAATTCCCCAACAAGAAACCAGACTGAGTGGCAGGTGGGGGCAGACTCGGTCTCCCTGCAGCAGCCCTTGGGTTTTTCAGATTTCCTAATCCAGTGAGGGAAAGGGGCCCAGAGGGAGGCAGTGGGTGAAAGGGAGTTAAAATCAGGGTGATAATCAAAACAGGAATGAAAATAGTTTTGTTGAATCATCGTATCAAGATGTGTCATCACATAGGTATAATTGAATTTTACAAGGTTTAGAAAGCTGTGACGCAAAGCAATCCCAGGGGCAAAAGGAAAATACAGATAAAGAAAGGAGCCAAGGGTTTGTAGACATGTTGATAAAGATAAATGCACAGGATGAATGGCACAGGGCAAAAGTTCTCTGTTCTCTGTCATGTCTACTGTCTGGCTTTATTTGACAGCTGTTCTTTGTTCTAATTTTAAGTAGTGCCAGGATACATCAAAATATTTAGGAGAGAGTAACTTTATACCATTTTCTAGTATTTTTAGCACAGAGGCCTTTTGAAATGATTTGCTATTTTTAAGACAAATGTTTCCTGTCTCCCTAACATTCTCTGAATGGAGAAAGTTAAAGAAAATCTCTGATCTTTGTGGTAAATGACTTGGGTGAAAATTTTTGTTTTCAGTTGACACTTTTCTGGGAGTGGGTTTAAAATTTATTTTACATACGTGACAGAAAATAACATGTAGAGCCACAAACAACTGATAGGTCATGAAGGGGATACGGCACCATAATTAGGTTCTCAGATATGCTGGTGTTCCATCATCTGAGCATTTATCCAATGATTACTTTGCCTGAGCAAAACTGTGTTCCTTGCCCAGATTTCTTCACTGTATTCTTACAACCATTCCATAAGTGGATAGAAAATGGGATGAACCATTTTTAAGCAGATAAAGAATACTAAGCAACTTTCCCAAGATCATATAGCCAAGAAATATTGGCCATGGAATTCTATTATAGATTGAATTAGGTTCCCCCAAAATTCATATGTTGAAGTCCTAATCCTCAGTACTCAGGGTGTTACTTATTTGGAAATAGGGTCATTGCACATGTAGTTAAGTTAAAATGATATTGTATTAGAGTAGGGTGGACCCCAAATCCAATATGACCGATGTCCTTATAAAAAGAAAGCCATGTGAAAAGACAGGTACACACAGGAAAAGAAAGCCATTCAAATATTGGTGTTATGCAGGCACAAGCCACAGAACTAACCAGAAGCTAGGAGAGGGGGCTAGAACTGTTCTCTCCCTGACATCTTTACAGGGAACATGGCCCTGTCAACATCTTGATTTGGGACTTTTGCTCTTCAGACTTATGAGAGGTAATAGTTCCTGTTGTTTAGGTAGTTCTTGTGTGATACTTTGTTATACTAGTTCTAGCAAACTAGCAGGAATGCCCACCTAGATTCACCCGATGTCAAAGTGCATACTCTAAATCATGATCCCACACAGGGTCACATGCTCAATCACATGGGCCCTTAATCTACAGCATCCAACAAACAGCGACATTACATCTCAGAGCTGGATGGCACTCGAAGCTACTAATTCAGCTGCCCACTGCCATATTTATATCAATGTTTGTCCAGCATCTATGGACACCTGGAAAAGTGAGGAACACATCGTGGACTCCCATTTAGGGACTGTTTCCCTGTAGGGTCTACTGTGGGCCTGGTTTTATCCTCTGGAATCTCTTTCTCATCTCTCCTCTCCTCCTAATTTGAATCACAAGGGACAGGGTGTTCCAGTTGTCTTCACACCTTTGAAAGCACCAGGGAAGAGTCAGACACACACACACACACACACACACACACACACACACACGAAACCCTGAGCCATCCAGAAAAAAAAAAGAAGTTTCCCCTTTTTTGGTCAAAAATAGTGCAGACTTACTTTGAGGAAGTGAGTTTGGATCCTCCCGCAGTGCTTGCCCATCTGCTCCCTGACGGGGGAGTAGAGCAGGTCTTTGGCGGCAACTCGGGCATATGCCACTCTCTTGTTATTGCTGAGCATCCAGATGAAGACATCAGGGATGGTGTGCTGTGGCTGCACGACAGAAGGAATGGGGTCCTCAGGTCAGTGCTTAGCAAATGTACTTCCAGAGTTCTCCCAGCCAGAAAGAGGCCCTCTTCCATGAAACTAATGCTGTGACCTAAGCCATCTGGGTACTTATGCAACCAAGCCAAGTGCAGCTTCCTTGAGAAGAGGAAGCCTTGGGTCATGAATTAGAAGTACAAATAAATCCCAGATGCCAAATTGCTCACTGGGCTTTGAGGACATGTGAGTTGGACCCATGATTTGGTGTTGGTGGCCTGCTTTTCTCCATCTGTAGAGCAAATATTTTTCTACAACTTCCCATGAATTTCTTTTCCAGTGCAGTAATAATGACCTAGCTTCTTAGTATTAGACCTTCTCAGAGCCAGATAACATTTACAGAATATTCAAATGAAAAGATAAAGCCAAAAGCAGATCTATAAGAAACTTTATAGCTAAAACATAATTGCCAAATACATAAGTGGTTAATTCAGAAGAATTAAATTAGACTAAAATGCACATTAAGCTTTAAAGGGAAGCTAATCAGATAGGGACTGCAGACTTCCACACCAGTGGCTCATTATGTTGGAAGTGTCTTAAATGCTCATTTCTAAGCCAACATAATTACACAAATAAAAAGAAGCTATGCTATTATAAAGTAGGCTTTGACACCTGGGATAGAAGCAGATGTCCTGTCTTGCTCACCCTTGATAGTCAGGTATAATTGGTACCCAAAGGGGGCATCCATCTCTTCTCTCTGATATGGGAACAGTGACAGGATGGTTTTCCTGGTCACAGAGCTTAAGGCTCAATGCCTGATTTGAACATTCTGAGTTCTCATTAAAATTCTGTATGTGCTGACTGCCTGGCTCACTGTTTCATATACCTCCAGGGAGCAATTGGTTTGAGATGAGAATTAAAGCTTTCTAGAACAACAGGAGCAGTAAATCTTTTCCTCTCTCTGAAACCTCCCCCCATAAACTCTGGCTCCAAAAGTTTCTATACATTTTCAGTCTTCAAGAAAGAAGTATCTGACAGAAGCAAATATGATTACTTTTTAAAGATCATTCTAGAAATCACCAGGATACCACTTACAACTGACTTTGAAATGGGATGCTGGTCAGGTGTGGTGGTGCACACCTGTAATCCCTGGAACTCAGGAGGCTGAGACAGGAGGATTTCAAGTTCAAGATCAGCCTCAGCAATTTAGCAGGGCCCTAAGCAACTTAGTGAAATCCTGTCTCAAAATAAAAAAATAAGAAGAGCTCGGGATGCAGCTCAGTGATAAAGCTCTCCTTGATTCAATCCTCAGTATCATCAAAAAGAGAGAGAAAGAGATACTGTGGATCTTTACTAGATCTGAGTTTAAATCCTCTTATAGTTGAAAACCAATCAAAGTTCCCACCATCAAAGGGCTTGATTCGAAATTTCTTGAGTCTGTTTGGGAGCATTCTTTTAATATGCTGAATACTCAGGATTTGTAGAAAACTCAATAAAGCCACACATGTCTGGGTGAATTTAAAAATCTCTTTTCTCATCACTAAACTAATAGTGCCTGCACAGGTCCACAGCCCTCCTGAGGAAGACATCTATTCAAGCTCTGCAGATGAGGTTTGCCTGGAGAGGTGCTTACCTCGTCAACCAGAAAGCGGATTTTTTCCACAAAGTTTTGGGCTTCGAGGATCATTTCATCAAGAGAGAACCTCTTCTTGCGCTGCTCCAGGATCCCCTTGGCCTCCGTGGCCATCGCCTCCTAAAACAGAACAAGAGCCAGTGTAGATCTTTCTGGAAATCTGGGCAACGAGCGCTGTTCTGATGCTGGAAAGCCCTGAGTGTGCTTCTAGCTCCACACTGAGCCCCAGCTGACTTGGGGCCGGCCACTGCTCATTTGATAGTCACTTTAAGGGGACACAGAGACAGTGAACACCAGCTCTCCTTCCTTAGGCGGAAGGGAAGCTGAGACCCACAAAGGACAGAAGCCTGTCAAGGGAACATAGCTCTGTGAGCTGGGGCCTGAATCCAGGCTTTCTGAAATACTCAATAACTACAATAATGACAGGTATTTTTCCTGAGTTCTTTCTCCATGCCAGCAATATTCATGCCACTGTGTTGATCCTCCATTACTCCTCTCAAGACTGAGAGAGCAGAGTAATACAGCTGGAGTTGATGTCCCACCAAGGCCAAAGTGCCTGTCCTTAGCCACTGTGTTCAGCTCCTGGTCCTGGAGGTCTGACAAGGCTCCCAGCCCAAGGGGACAGCCCCTGAGGAATGCCACCTAGAGTGCCTTAGAGTGGCTGGAACATCTTTGTTTATTTATGTAAATTTTATTTTTAAATTTTTATCAGAACATCATATTTATACACAGTAACTGGGTTCATTTTGACAAAATCACATATGCAGGCAATTTGGTTTCAAGGCCCATCCACCCCACTTTTCCTCTCTTCCTCCCTCCCCCTATTCTTCCTCAGCTACTGTATTAAACTTCCTTTCTTTTACGTACACATAGAAGTGAAATTTTCTTTGACATGTTTATATATGAATATGACATGATTTTGTTAAACTCATTACATACACCTTCCCCTTTCCCTCCTCCCTCCCTCTCATTCTCCTATATCTACTCCACTGACTTCTCTGTATCTTTATGATACCTGATCCCCTCCCCCACTGCCTTCTCTATTTTGCTCTAACTTCTACATATGAGAGAAAACATTTGATTGAGTCTGGCTCAGAAAATTTCATTTAGTATGACTTTCTCCATTTCCAACCATTTACTGGCAAATGCCCTATTTCATTCTTCCTCATGGCTCAGTAAAACTCTATTGTGTATACAGACCATATTTTCTTAATCCATTCACCTACTGATGGGCATCTGGGTTGATTCCATATTTTGACTGTTGTGAATTGTGCTGCTATAAACATTGAACTGGCTGTATTGCTGTAGGCTGCTGATCTTAGATCTTTTGGATAAACACCGAGGAAAGAAATGGCTGGGTCATACGGTGGTTCTATTCCTAATTTTCTGAGGAATCTCCACATTGCTTTACAGAGTGATTGTACTCATTTGCAGTCGCACCAACAATGTAAGAGCATACCTTTTCCCCACATCCTCACCAGCATTTGTTACTATTCGTGTTCCTGGTCACTGCCAGTCTGACCATAGTGAGAGGAAATCTGAGTTCAGTTTTGATTTGCATTTCCCTAATTGCTACAGACACTGAAATTTTCAGAAATTTGTGTAAAACTGTTAGGGTCATTTTTTCAGCCCACATTTACGCGTTTAGAGAAAACAAAAGCAAAAACAAAAGCCAAACTCTTAACAGTGTCTTCTAGGGCAAGGGGTCCCTTGCATGCCCAGCCTGCTCCATCCTAAGGCCGGAGCCCTTGGAGCTTCCTCTGCTCAGATGTTCCCCAGACTCCACATGGCTTCAGTTTAAGTATCACCTTTGTATGACCTTCTCCCACATTTTCCTGATCACCGTGGCTTTAAGCAGCGTCCTTCATCATCATAACCTGCGACCATTTTTCTGCTTTGGCTGTGTACCTGCCTTTCTGTCTTCTTTATTAAAGTGAAAACTTGGCATAGACGGGGACTTCTTCTGTCCAGTCCTTACTTTGGGTTGTCTGACAGAGACACTGTCACATAGCAGTGACACACAGCATATTCCTAGCTGAGCAGGTGTTAATTTTCTGGAATGAATGAACCACCATCAGTCTATAAATTCCTGAGGTTGAGCACTGTGTATTTTGGGTGTGTGCTCCCTGCAACCAGCACAGCATCCAACATGCAAGAACGCCCCTCTTCACACTGGCTGGAGGAACGGAATCCTGCTATAAACCAGGACTAGGCTAGGAGTCAAAGCCTGGGACGGGGTGGGACATGCTGCTTCCTTTCCCTGAGATGTTCACAATTTGATGAGATGAAAGCAAAACATGCAAATGATTATCAGGGTACTAGATAGGGGCAAAGCCAGGCTCCATGGAAGATGTGACACTTAAGCTGTCTTTAAAGGTGAAATGAATTCATCAGGTGTCTAAGAAGACAAAGGACAGCCAAAGAGGGAGAACAACCACATGTGGAGATAAATAATCAGCAAGAGTCTAAAAGTGTTGGGGTACAGATGTAAGGGAAAGGATTGATGGAGGATAAGAATGGGATGCTATGGTAAACAGCCCCGCATCCCAGGGAAAAGGAATTTGGACTTCAGCCTATGAAGGATTGAGAGACCCCGGGGATTTCTTTAAGCCTAGTGATCTCATTAGATTTGTTTTAGAAAGATCTTTCTGGTTGTGGTATAGAAGATGGATTGGAGGAAGACTACTGCAATATGCCTAGGACAGAAAGTAGAGTAAGTCCCAGGGGCAGAATCAATAGGACCTGGTTATCTCAAACTGTTAAATCAATAGTCAAACTGTCTAAGGTGAAAGATAAAGAGTCAGAATTGACAGTTAGGCTTCTTATTAGACCAAGAGCTGTAGCTGGTGGTCCCCATATAGAAGGAAAAGCACACTCAGACAAGGCCTTAGGCTCAGTAGGACATGTTGGGTCCAAGGTGCCATGAGCCAAGTACCCAAGACTTCAACCAGGAGGCTGCAGGCAATGATCTGGAGATGAGGAGGGACACCAGGCCACTGTACAGATGAGGTTGAAAGTAGGGGATTGTTCAGGCCAAGAACTGAGGGATGGTGAGAAGACAGAGCTCGACAGAGCACATGCAGTGGAGGGTGTTGCAGAGACAGCCCCTCAGCCAGAGATGGGGAGGAAGAACCAGGGCAGCAAGATCTTGTAGGAGGACAGATCCAGCCTCCCTCAGCTGTGCTGGAGGACAGAAGAGAAGTGTTCTGGACAGAGGACGAAAGAGGAATTAAGATAATTCATTTTAATCTCTGGACTTAAATTGACTATCCATTAACTATGACCTTTAAAACATCACTTAATATTTCTGGCCTCCACTTTTGTCTTTAAAATGTCCTTAAAAAGTTAAACACTGAATAATTTTTTTTTTCAGAACTGTTATGGCCTCACACAAAATGTCCCTTGCGCCATTGCTGGAACTGGTTTGAAGGTGAGATAAGCAGGGCCTGGCTTGTTCTGGCTTTTCTCAGTCAACACTCAGCAAGGGTCAAGCAGCTCTGAGGCACCTAGAAGCACCTCTGAGCAGAGCACAGGTCTCCAGGGCACGGAGGGGTAGCAATGATGGTCTGTTCTCAAGATGTGCTGACAATTTTTAACATAACTCCTAACAGGAGGAAAGAACTCGAGGAAGGGGAGAAAAGTTATTTTTTTTACTCTTGATTTGTAAGGCAGACAGCCTCGCAAAAGAGTCGATAGCCTTTGAGAAAATACAAGTGTCAAGAAAATGCAGAAGGGGGACTTGGTCAGACCAGGAGTAGAGTGGAGGGCCTCTCGCTCATCCTGGTCAATCTTCAACCCACATTTCCAATGCAACATATTCTCCTTTCTCGCTCATGCCTCTACACCCCACAAACCTGCGACCTTTAACCCTTATCCTCATCTGGCCTGTGACCTATGCGTCATCCACGAGGTTTATTTTTAAAGCACATGTTTTAACTCTGTTAAAAGTATAAATGGCTTTTCACATACCAGCTCCTGCCAACAGAGCGTCAGTCGTTTCTTATCTAAAGTGGTTTGGTTCAACATCTTGGGCTTTTTTTCTGCTTCAGAGATAAAGGCACTGCAAGAGAAGAATCACAATTTTGAAGGCTGCTTAGTGAAAATCCGTTTATAATTCCAGAGATAGGCAAATGTGCTTTCTACAATTCAGTGGAAAGCTGATGGAGACCCAGAACCAAGATTTTTCATTTAGGATTAGCAGGGATTCATAAACTTTTCTGGGAGACCTAAGGAAATTAGAAATGATGCCCTGACCCCACATTGGTTTGTGGGAATGAATGTTTTTCCACTTTCTCTCATCAAATATCCATTGTGATTGTTATCAAAATTCATAGCAAAAAAGAAGCCTCACCAAATAATGCAGTTTTCCTTCATCTTGCAAATTTAAAACACAGCAAAAAATTTCCTGAAGAACTATATGCAAAGCAAATATTTCAGACTTAATGCTGAGACATATCCCCACCTTACTGAGTAGTAACATTTTTTTGGAAATAAAGTAAAAAAATGTGTTCAGTAGTATATTACTAAAGACGGTATGTACAATTCAAGAAGAAATGACAATAGAAAAAACTTTAGGAAATAAGATTTTGTCATCCTTAGTGATACCTTAAATGCAAACTAAAATCAACACAATTTTACCTATAAAAATGAATAATATTCAAGGTTGGTAAAAAGGTGGGCTAGAGAGTGTATAAAAGAGTGTGTAAATTGCTTTAATGTTTTAGAGACTATTTAACAGGACCTATCAACATTTAAATGTACATTATATGATCAAAAATTATACTAGAAATCTTATCCTTTAAAAATAACTGAACAATTTTGAAAGAGTATGTTTATACAATAACACCACAATAAATGGAGACAGGTTAAATATCATTAGAAACTCGTTTAGTGTGTTTGGACACATCCATCACTGAATATTGAAAACACCTCTTACAGGCTCCTTAGAAAGATGTGTGTGATTTATCATTGAGTGAAAACACAACCTGCTGAGCACAATATGTGATGTCATTTGGGAAGAAATAGAGTGTTTTTATAAGTGTGTGTTTATGCAGAAAATGAGTATGTATTTGCAAATTCAGAAAAAAAAAGTCCAGGAGGACAAATCAATCGTTTCTCTCTGAAGAGCGGAATTGGAGTAAGAATTGAAAAGAAAACATCTACTTTATGATTTTCTGAAACAATGAACACGTAGTCCTTCCGCGATGAAAACAAGAGCCACTTATAAAGGGTGTAAGCAGGAGAGTCTTAGATGCCATGCCTCCCAATAAGAGCCCCAAACCAGAGCTCTGCCCAGGGACAGTTGAAGGCCTTGCCGGAAATCCACTTTGGGTATATTACATAAGTTGCACTTTCTCTTCATTTTTTAAAAATAAAAACGATTTTATTTTGAAGCGGGAGTTTGTCAACCCTTTCCTGCTTTTTCCAGAGGCTCAAAGACTTGCATTCCACTCTCCAAGATAGAGCAGACATGGTGGATGCTGAAGGTCTCCTTCCCCACAGGGAAAGAAAGAATTTGTTTCTTCATCAAATTTGGGAAAGCCAGGCGCAGTGGCACATGCTTGTAATCCCAGCAGCTCTGGAGGCTGAGGCAGGAGGATTGAGAATTCAAAGCCAGCCTCAGCAATGGCGAGGCGCTAGCAACTCAGTAAGCCCTGTCTCTAAATAAAATATAAAATAGGGCTGGGGATGTGGCTCAGTGTCTAAGTGCCCCTGAGTGCAATCCCTGGTACCCAAAAAACAACAACAAAAACAAAAAAAAAAAATGGGGAAAGTGATAAGGCACATGCTTCCATCCATTCTTCATCTTTCAGACCAACCTGTCTCTGGCTGTGGGCAGCCTTGTTACCCCTATGTGGCAAGTGGCTTGGCCTTGTTGCAAGGAGACCGTGAAGTCCCACTGCTCAGCCATAAATAGGTGGGGAGGGACAGGAAGCCAAATTTGTCCTCAAGTCCAAGCCGCTTTCTCAAATCCAGGCTTAATAAATTTAAAATTAACATTTTGATCTCCGACCCTCACAAATATGTTTTCAGTTAATTGGAATTTGAAGAGAAAGGGGAAAAATTAATTATCCTAAAATAATCTCCTAAGATAAAAACGTTCTTAAGCTATTAATTTGTTCACAAACGCTTTTTAAAGATGATCAAAGGGGACCTTTCCCTTAGCTCACAGCATGCGTGGCACTAATATATACTGCTGATATAATAAAAATAGGAAAAATGCTTATTTATTTCTTTGCTTTCTTTTTTTATAAAGTAAAAATGGTTGGGTAATTGAGAGATTAGGAAAGACATAACTTAAAAAACATCAGGGTTAGCTACTGCCTGCTTTCTGGTTTTACCTTTCATCAAATCAATCAGACTCCTTTTCTATTAATTCCATTACGGTCAATTCTCATTTTGACTCAAGCCTGGACCTAATTCATTTCAAGAGTTGATCCAAGTTGTTTCCATATGGGGTAAGCAGCCTCTAACATGGCCCCCAGGGAGTCCCACCTCCTAAAATTCATGCCACTCTGCAGTCCCCTCTTTCTGAACATGGGCTGCACCTAGTGACTTGCTTCTAATGGAATATGTCAAGAGAGATGAGATGGCACTTCCAGGTTAGGTCATGGTAGACAGTGACTTCCATCTCACTGGTATGCTCTGTCTGACTCTTCCTGCTTGCTGACTAAATCAAGCTGCCATGTTAAGAGTGGCAGCTTAGAGTGGCCAGCACAGCAAGGAATGGAGGGGTCTCAACCAAATTAACAGGGAACAGACATTCTCCACCTGGCAGCCCACAAAGAACTAAATCTGTCAGCCATCATGGGAGTGATCTTGGAAGTGGATCTTTCCTAGTTGAATGTACAGGTGACTTCATCCCCAGACAACGCTTTGATTTTGTACTCAGGGGTAGTCCTGAGCCAGAGGACCCATTTGAGCCACCCTTAGATTCCTGGCACACACAATCATAAATGCAATCATAAATTTTGTGTTAAGTCACTGAGTTTGGGGGTAAATTGCTACTCAGTCATAGGTAATGATATACCCTATATTATATACCCTATATTATTATATACCTTTTATTATATTGACTACCATGGAATAGGAGTCATTAATTAGCAAACATTAATGTGCCCTATGAAACATGTAATTGCCATATTTGATATAATTTATCCACTTAGTTGTCTAAATAGTTTGCTGAATATCTACCAAATGGCAAAACACCACACTGGGCTTAACACTGTGAACATTTTTCTTGTTCCATAAAGATTCTCTGCAGCAGTTCTGTCTTTCTTTTTATCTCTCCCCGTTGGTTTATGGCTTAGTTATTTAAGTGTCAGGAAGCAGACTTTGGTCCACAGGTTCCAGCTAAATTACTGAACAAAATGAAGACAGATATAATACTCTGAGTGTCCATTGGACACATGTGAAATGGACTATTTTTTTCAAGGTCATTAAAAGCCAATCCCGTGCACGCTCAGCTCCCCTGTGCCAGCTACCTGCTTTGATTGATGAAATCACTGAGCACCATCTTCATTTTATCTTCAGGAGCCTCCTCTGAAATCTTGATCAGCTCTCTCACTTCCTCTATACTCTCTTCCTGCAAACAAATGGCAGGGATGGAGGGGTGAGACTTGTAGTGGGGAGATTGATGGAAACAACCTAAACATGCCATTCAGCTCTTCTTTGTTTCTTTTGGAAATGGAGGAAGAATGCTTCCTTTCTCTTGTGCTTGAACTGGAAATGCTGCTGCATTCTGACTTTGAACCTTGTTTTTCTTAAGAGAACTGGTCTGGAGGCAAGGCTTCACATTGCTCCAAGTCATTGCTTCTACCCCAGATCCATTCGCTAACCATGTACCACTCCCTCAGAGTCCATTATGGGGGAAATCTCATGTCATGAGAAATAGCTAACAACATAGAAGAAATTAGATACAATAACCCCAAACCCCAAAAGCATGTTCCAATCAATTTCTCAAATAGTCGTAGAATCTCTGAAAATAAAGAACTATACATACAGTGGTTATGAGAGTTCAGCCAGGGGGTTGGGTAGACTACATGTGGAAATGGCTGTATATTTGTATATTTAGTAATTGCATGTTTCCTTTTGGCCTAAATTCTAGGATTCCATTCAGTAGCTTGGAGGTAAATGGCACCCAAGGGCAATTATGTGCTTCCACTACTTTGCTAGAATATACAAAAACTGTATTCTCTGTCATATGCCAAAGTCTGGTGCATGGGACATGTGCTCCTCTCTCTCCACCTTCACTATAAGAACAGGCAACATCGTGGAGTGGTTAAGGATGTGGGCTCTGGGGTCAGACTACTGAGTTCAAAGGCAGGCTTACTGCTGACAAGTGAATCAACCCTTTCATACCCAGTTTTGCTTCTCTATGAAACAGGATAATAATAGTTCCCACCTATTAAAGTGTGAACTTTAATCCTGTTAACCATGATTGAAGGGATCCTGACAATAATATCAAAATCAGGAATGGGTATTAAGGCTTACTATGGCTTCCTGGAAAACTTCTGATTTGTTTTGTCAGGACTCTTAGAGATAAGCTATTCTCTCTGAGGGAAAAGCAAGACCAGCCTTCCGAAGAGAGTCTGCACATCCACATGATGTCACAGCATGGCCCCAGACCAGGCCTCTCTGACCACATTCTGGGTCTAGCTCTACAATCCCATGGCCAGAGCCAACACTTTTTATATACAATTAAGATTATAAAGCAAATGGGCAGGAGACGTTTGTTCTTTCCTTAATGTAGTTTTTAATGGAAAAGAAGAGATAAGACAAGAGCCATCTGGTGAGGTGTGTGGACTGCAAGTAGAGGCACTGCCCATGGGGTGTGGGGTGGGAGAGAAAGTGTAGGAGTGGGGACAAGGGTTAGTTGAAGCCAGAACCTATCAATTTTGTGACAATGTTTTTAAGCTCCCACCCTTTGGAGATTAAAGAATCAACCTATTGTTAGGTCCAATAACTGTAAGAAGCAGAGAAGGGATATGAATTCAGACAGTTTGATTTAAAGTATAGGGATTTTGCAAAATGTCTTCTCATTTCTCTGGATTCACATGGTAGGAACCACATGCACCCAAAATGCAGTATCTGGACTGAGACTAAGACCTTCTACTGGAGGGATTTTTAAAAATCCCTCTTGCCCCCAATTTCCTTATGTACAAATCCAACACCTACCGAAGTCACTTACCAGGAGATCTGCCATTTTCTCCAGCATGTTGGACCACTGCAGCCTAAAGGTCTGATCTCCCCAAGAACTGATGAAGGAGACACAAGGCTTCTTGGCCTCAAATGGCAAATAGTTGTAATTCCTGCGAAAGCCAAGGGGTTTGAAAATCAGTTGGCAATCAATATTCCAGGCAGTGCCAGCCCCATGTTGATGTTTTATTTGTGCTGGTGGGATGCAGTAAGAGTGGGGACAAAACTGTCACACTGGTAATACCATCCTTGGTCTACAGCTTGACACCCAGGGACAATAAAGCGTGAAGAGTTAATGGCTACAATGAAAGGTATTAACAGCTACCAGTAGATCCAGGGTGAGGGTTAGAAATGGTCAGCAGAGGGCAGGATTTATTGGACAAGACTTTCTTTGTGGAAGCTTAAATTGAGAGAGGAAAATTGACTTCATTTTTTATTGTCTATATTCTAGACACACGCAAGAATTGATTGAGATAACAGATGTGAATGTATTTTGTAAACTAAAATTGCTAAGGATGGTGGAATGTGATGGACATCATTATACAAAGTACATGTACAAAGACTTGGATTGGGTGTTAACATACTTTATATACAAACAGAGATATGAAAAACTGTGGTATATATATGTATTAAGAATTGTAATGCAAAAAACAAAGTATATATATAAAGGCATAAGTTGGTATGAACATACTTTACATACAGATACAAAAAATTGTGCTCTATATGTGTAATAAGAATTGTAATGCATTCCACTGTTGTTGTGTATTTTAAAATAATAATAATAATAATAATAATAATAATAATTGCTAGAGAAATACAAGGTATTAATATTTTTCATGAGGGTGAAGGTGTGTCCCAAGTGAAACTTCAGTGTTTTATGGCTTGGCATCCATCCATCTATCCATCCATCCATCTACCATCCATCCATCCGTCTACCCATCAATACTTACTGTTGCCAGGCATTGGTGCTAATAATGCAGGTAAATTGCTTGGCAAAGAAGGGAGAAGAGGGATAGTAAAGTTGCTAAAAGGGGAAGAGGTAGAGCCACAGGGAGTGTTTGAGGGTGACATTGGATAGTGAGCCAAGTGCAATGGAGGACAGAAAACAAGGAATTAATTTGCAGACTCAGTTCCCAAGGAGGAAGGGGACAGGTGCAGAGGCAGGTAAGGTGGGAGGGTCGTGGCAAAAATTTAGAAGTTCCCACCTAATGACAGCTATTTTCTCAACTGGGTTTCCCTCAGACCCCTAGTAATTTTCTCAGACACCTGGGACTGTGGAAGGCAGGCCAAAGCAAGCCCCCAGAACAGGTGTGGTGGTGCAAGTGGCCCTGGTAATGTGGACAGTGTCTGGAGCAACACATCTACAGAGGGTGAGGCAGGGAAACAGAGAAATAGGGAGGAAACAAACTTTGTTTTTATTCCTTAGAAACTAAAATGAATTTCTGCCTGAAAAACTGAATTCTGACCTGAATTTCTCCTGAAGTAGACAATAAAATTAGCACAGAGGCCCCCTGGCCCGTTCTGCAGAAAATAAACCAGCAGGTGTCCATTCAGAAAAGAAGCCAGATAAGTTCTTGGCAGAAATTGAGGTTGTTGTTACAGCAGGAGATGACAACAGCAAAATAGGTTAGAAATGAAGCCACTCTGCTTGTTTTCTCTGTTTTTAAGTCACTGTGTTGAGAATCCTGCAACTAAATACATCCCACCCAGTATGGTCCCAAGCTCTTTGATTTGGGTCATTCTGTGCTATTAGGTTTGGGGCCTTTGACTCTAAATCTCAGGTCCTCCTGGCCTTACTGAGACGACACGGATCAGGAGACTGTGGCTTCTGAGGCAAGGTGCAGTGCAGATGGAAGGGCACCTCGTGCCATTGGAGAGAGAAGACTGCCAGTTTGAATGGCTGCCCTGACTGGGGACCAGCCTTGTGACTTAGGGCAAGGGTAGGTCTGGAATCCTGAATTAAATAATGGCCCACCGTTGGATGTCTTCTGCTACAATCTCATTCCTGACCTCTGACCCAGCACATAAATCATATGCAAATGTACATGCTTTGTAAAACTAGAAAGCCCAGAACATGTATACTGTTGTATTTTATTGAAATAAGTTGTGTGTGTTCATACATGTGTGTGCATGTGTGTTTGTGTGCACGTGTGTGTTCATGTGTATAGCAATTTAGTATAGACAGACTCTTCCAATCCAGCTGCTGCCTCTCTGGTTTGCCACTATGTGGAGAAAGCCTCAATACAGTGATTGAGAAGTAAAAAGAAAGGCCAACTCTACCAAAAACCACCATCATGACTTATTTTTGATCTTCTGGTAGCACTCAGATATGCTCTATCCAAGATGCCTTGAGACCTCTCAGCTCCTCCTAAGCCCTTCCCATACTCCACCCTGAAATCCCACCAATAGTCAATAATGGGCTAGTCCAGCAAGGTGAGGAGGGTGATTGGAGGCAGAGTCCCTCTGAGTAGCCTCAGGAAGTCTCTCCAAGCTGCAGATCCAGCTGTAGGATTCACTGATGTCTCAGCTTTGAGAATGGAGTTCAAGGACAGGGAAGTTTGGGATTCTTTCATCCAAAAAGAAAAAACATCCATTTATGGATGCCAAGGAGCCAAAGAGACTCCAGAGAAGGGGATCCAGGTAGAGGAGATGTGTTCCATGGGAGGGAGGGTTTAGAAAATGTAGAGAATGCTCAAAAATAAGAGGAACAGCAGCTAAGTTAACTGCTTTAACTTCTTCCACCTACTTTGACCAACACTCCTTCCACCTCTTATGCCTTTCTCATCTTTCAGAGTGTCACCTTTTCTATGACCTATCCCAACTCTACCTCCTCCTCAGCAGGCTTAGTCACCTACCCCTTCTCTAATCCTAGAGTACCCTGTGCCAAGCCAGGAACTCCTTGATTCATCCAAAAATACGTATCCACCTCTGTGCCAGGCACAGAGCTGAGGAGATAAACAGGTGATGGCACAATACCTGCCTTCAAAATGCTCACTGTCCCAGAGGGAAGACAGGTGAGTACAGACATCTTAAGCCAGTGTGATTTGTGCTTGCTGAAGGTGTACGGAAGTCCATACCAGGCTTGGGGTCCAGGGGAAGGAGTCTGGGCTTACTCTTGAAGGGTGCAAGGAGCTGGCAGCTGAGGAGGAGCCTGCTGCCAGAGACGCAGAAGCAGCAATCAGCAGGACAAGTTGAGGATTGCACAGCTGGAGGAAGTGGAGTGGGTTGGGGTAGGGGATTGGTGGTGACTCCAGATGATGCTAGAGAGTAGATGGGGATTAAAGCCACAAGCTCCAGCCTCTGGAATTAATTCTAAAAGCACAGGGAGTCAATGAGGGATGTGAATCAGGGAAATAATTGGTTCAGCGAGTTCAGTGAGTATCTTGAAGAAAATCCAAGCCAGGTAGGAGATTTTTAAGATAATTTAGGCCAAAGATGCCAATGGCCAGAATTAAAGAAATATCAATAGACAGGAATAACTAGAATTGATCAGACTTCATCCCTGATTGAATATGGGTATGAAGGAAAAAAAGAACAACTGACAACCTTCCAGCGGTGGGTTGGAGGACTCAGAGAATGGCGGAATGAATTCATAAAATAAGAAAGATAGGACAAGGAGAAAAGTTATCTGTGAAAATATTGAGCCTGGTAAATGATCTGTGAGATGCCCAAGTGGGGGTGTTTGGATCTGATGTTCAGGGAAGAGAGCTGTCAGGGGGATTTGGGAATCCTTGTTATCCTAACAGTGGTCAGGAACCCATGGGTCAGTTCCCAGAAATAGTGTCTAGGTCAAGAAGTGCAGAGATTAAAGAGATGGCAATATGGCCTTGTAGTGGCCTATTGAGAGCCACCTGTGGGCTGTGTGTGGACTACTTCACACACATCACAGCCTAATGAATAGGAGAATCTGGTGTCTAGGGACTTCCAGTGAACAATTCCTCTGCCTAAGACTGCCCAGACACATTGTGAGCCCCATTAAGCTCTTTCTTCCATTGGAGATGGGGTGACCTGCTGCAGCCATACAGCCCCTCTGAGATGGGCTTGAACTGCCAACATGCCAATCAACCTGCTGACTGCAAGACATAAGGAAGCAAGACTCCACCCCTGAAACCTTATCCCTGCCTTTAATGTATCCCTCAAATAAACCACAGGAGCCATTTTCTAATTGTCTAGCCCCAGCTCCTGTGTGGACTGGACCTATCAGGGCCTCCAGCTTTGGAAAATATATCTTTCTGACTTTGTCTTTTGTTCTTCACTAACTATTTTAGACTTTAATGTCTTAGGTGGCTTACATCCTCCTGAGCAGGAAGAAGAACCCCCTAATGAGGTGCTGGATACCTCCTCATAGTGGCTAATGTAACATGGCTGGATTCCCATCTCCCACATGTGAAATGAGGAAAGCCATCCAATGACATCAGAGATTTTTTTCACTCAAAACACAAGATTCAACAATAGAACACTCTTACTATATTTGCTTTTTTATTTTCATAAATCACTTGATTGGTGCTTGACACTAATTTCTTAAAAAAGAATGCTATCTTTTTATATCTCCTTATAGGTTGAAAATTTGGATGGATTAAAGGAGATCTGTGGGGGGTCTGTGTAGGTGCCCCATTGGAAATGGTCTTTTCTGGTGGCTGACAAACATTATTTGAGTTCTTTGGTTTGCAAATAACTGTGGCAAAAACATGTATTAAATAATCCCACCAAATCAAGTTAACATAGTGACACAGATGTGGATAATAACTGTTAATAGGATTTAGTGTGAAATGTTAAGTTCAGACCTTTGGACTCTATTGTGCTTCAAAGTTATAGAGAAAAAGGGTTTCGGACATGATCATCACCATCATCCCTGTTCTGTCCTTAAATAAATAACATGTGGAATGCTACTTACCATGTCTCCCCTTTGTACCTTGCCCCATGACTGAGATAAAACAATAATGTTTCTGAATTTCAGGAAGAACTAAATGAAAGAGTCCCAGAAACTGAGCCAAATCCCACCATCCATCAGGAACCTTGGCTGCTCTCACCTGCTGTGCCTCCTACCTGTTCCCCTCGGTCACCAGAGGCTTCTCTGGATGAGTGGTGGAAGACATGGGGATGGCCACATCGTGGGCTGCTTCCTCTTCTCCTTCCTGCAGCAGGGGAACGGCGTCTTCTTCAGTTAATTCAGAGGACTTCTTCTTACTGCCATGATGGAACCCTCCGTCAATCAGGTTCCCAAAATTACCTGCAGCAGCAGGGGGAGAGGGGCTGGGTGTCAGCAAGTAGAACCAGTCGACTTGGCATGAGGGACCCGAGGTCTCGTCCTCCCATGGCAATAGATCCCCCAGGGTGAAGGTGGAAAGAACAGTGGTAGGAAGAGAATAAGACTGACAACGACAATGAGCCACCCTCTCCATCCCCTTACTTGCTCTTTTGTAAAAAAACACAACTTAGAAAGTAGAAGACGTAGGCAAGTAAAAACAGAAAAGGGTTGCTAGAAATTACAAAATTCAGTTATAGCCATTTTTAATATCTTAGTGTATATCCTTCCAAAAGTTGGTAAAGGATCATTGAAGATGTGTCATTTTGTAAACCAATTGTTTTCACTAAAAAAAAAAAAAAAAAAAAAAATCTTGTAAACCTTTCCCAAACTGCTTCTCCTCTAAGAGAAGATTCCTTGTCTAAGTCCCCAAAGTCAACATCATGTTTTAAAAAGAAATAGGAGGTGGAGAAAGGAGGAAGAAGGAAAGAAGGGAGGAAAACATTACACGGGGGCAAACAGGGCAGCTTTTGTAGGACAAATGTCTCTGCGTAAGAATACATAGCCCCTGCAGGATTATTGGTGTCCTTGATCTTTCTATTTTATAATCTGATTTCAAATGCTTAACAAAAGACTAAGATGAATATGGCCAGTCCCAGAACTGGCCATATTATAGACCTGGTCAACTTTGTTTAAATCAAGAAAACTCTGGGATCACAAGCTTGTGATCCTGGAGCCCCTTAATTTGGGAAGTCTCCTAAGTCCTCCCTTTCTGGCCTCCCTCTCTGGCCTCTTCTCCTCTCCACACCGGCTGCCTGCCACTCCTTTCTATTTCTGTAGTAGATGCTGTTAGTGCTTCATCCAGATACTTTACCAGCTACCAAGATGGCCAGCAGCTCACAGTGGCCACTTTCCCAAGAACCACTTTCTACTCATGGAGACAGTACCTCATTTCCAATTTTCTGCCCTGCTGCAAGACAACTGCCTGAATCAAGATCTTCTCTGATGGGATGCTATTCCTTGGAATGGCTTACCCAGCTGCACCATAGCCCAGGAAGATTGCTAAGACTTGGGGTTTCCCAAGGTCAAGCATCTACTGTGCATGTGCTACTTCGCAGGTATGAGCTTATTTATCCCTGAAACTCTGAATCTAAACCTATTCTGTTAAACGCTTTTTAAAAGTATGAAAAAAAATCTGTCCCTTATACATTGACAATAGGGACTTCTCCCTTCTTTCCAGGATGCCCACCTCCACTAGGGTGCTGTCACTTCACATAGGACACTAATTAACTTATTCAAGAAACAGGTCTGTGTCAAGCACTGTGCTTGTCTTCACTTACCAATAGAAACCTCAAAGCTGATGGGTTTATCACCAATCTTCCGGTCAATCATGGTAGCTTCGAAAAATGCCCCAAAGAGTAAAAATTCCTCATATTTTTCTGGCGTGATCTACAGAAAGAAAAAATATATTAGACAAACTGATTATCTTCTTTCACCAGGAAGCCAGGTCAATGAGGTTGACCTGCTTCAACAACATTTATAGACACTTGACTCTGTTTCAGCCTAAAATGCTGCATCTCCCCACTGATCAGACAAGCAGGAATCATGGCCAATAAATTGCAAATCCAAATGCAATCACTTATCTAGAATGATCAGACTCAACCTTCTGATTGGCTACCTTAAAATGCAGAGAACCTCCTTTCACATCAGAGGCTCAGCTTGGTGTCTATGTCTTTCTAAGACTCTGGGTGAAACGTCAACCTGGGATGACCTTCAACTGATCAGGCTTTCAGAAACCAAAAACCAAAGATGAAATCCTGAGACACAGCAACTCTTGCTTTTGAGCTTGACTTCATGGCTTCTACAGGATGCTCACATACATTATGTTATTTGTCCCCCCCCCCCCAACAACTTTGAGAGGGCAAAATCTGGACCATTCCCATTTTGCAGACAAGAAAACTAGAGCTTGAGGTTGTACAGTAGCTTTCCCATGTGTTGTGACCACAGACCCAGTTCTCACACATCTCTAATATGTGTTATCCCAATCCCCTGTGCTGACCCAAAGTCAAAGTTACTTCCTGAAATAATGAGCAAACTCAGTTCAAAGGGTGGAGGATTAGATGAGCCCAGGAGTGTCAACCAATCCTGTGAATTCAGGGTGCTAAAGGCCTGATGGCTGCTGCTGGGAGGGATCCACCCAGCCCAAGGCACAAGTACTTCTATGTTGCAAAGGGCCAGAGTGATTATTCCAACTTCCAGCTTTTACCTGAATAAACTAAAGTTCAGAGACTAGGGGGCTTCCCAAGGTCAAGTCAAAGAAGTAAAAGCCAGACCTGAGAGCTGTCTCCACCAAGGCTGCTTTGAAAAGGACCCTCCACTCTGGAAGCCTAGGACTGTGGCAGGTCACAAGACGGGGGCCGTCCCAAGGTAATACACAATTATTTTGAAATGACTTTTATTGACTTGGAACAGGCTATGATTTAGGGAGCAGATGTCAATGAGTACAGCGACCCAGCATCACATTCTGGGTGAGCTAAAGTCATACAATCTTTGCTTCCTGGTTTGTTTGTTTTTGTTTGATTCATTGAAATCTGCAGAAAACCAGTAAAATTAGTTTAAGGAAACAAAGCATATGTAGCCCCTGGGGTTAAAGTTACATTAGGTCAAAAGCATCCTTCAGACAGCCAATCATTAGGTGATTAGCCTTCACTTGGGCTCCTCCTGTGGTGTTGGCAGTCCCAGGAAATGTTTCTGTTGACCAGAAGCATGGAACAGGGTGGGGGCTTGTGCTGGATCTTTTAAATTATTTTTAGATATATATTCACATTGGGATACATTTGGACATAATCACAAAAGCATGAAATATAATCTGCTAATTCAATCCCCAGCATTTTCCCCTCCCCTCCTCCCTCCCTGTTCCCCTCTCTCTACTCTACTCTATTTATATACATATATATTTTCAATTAGTGTCTTGTGGATTATACTTGATGCTTGAATTCACTGTGGTATATTCATATATGTACATATGAAAGTTTGGTCAGATTCATTCCACTGTTCTTCCCCTATCCTGTCCCTCCATCCATCCTCCCCCTCAATCCCCTTACTCTATAATTTTTCCTCTATTTTTTTAAATTCTCCCCTCCCCTTTTTTTTCCTTTCTCTCTTTCTTCCTGCCCTCCATTTTGGATTAGCTTCCACATATCAGAGAAAACATTCAAGGGCCTTTATGGCTGAGTAATAATCCATTGTGTATATGTACCACATTTTCGTTACCCATTCATCTATTGAAGGTACCTAGGTTGGCTCCATAGCTTAGCTATTGTGAACTGAGCTGCTATAAACATTAATGTGGCTGCATCACTGTAGTATGCTGATTTTAAATCCTTTAAATACTGAGAAGTGGGATGGTTGCACTAATTTTTAGTCCCACCAACAATGAATGAGGGTACCTTTTCCACCACCTCCTTGCCAACATTTATTAGTATTTGTATTCTTGATCATTGCCATACTGACTGCAGTGAGATGAAATCTTGGTGTAGTTTGATTTGCATTTCCCTCATTGCTAGAGATGCTGGACAGTGTTTCATGGATCTTAGTCACAGTCTACCAACTGCAATAACCATTTCTTATCTCACCTTCCCAGGCTGAGTTCACTCTCCAGGAGGAGGAGCCTGGGAGAGGGACTGCCAGGACCACAGCCAGAAGAGACTTCTTCAAATCTCAGCTCTGCTATTTCCTAGCTTTGGGCAAGTCATGCTCACTCTGTGACTGTCACTCTCCTTATCTGTGACATAAGCATCATAATAGGGCCCACCGGGAGGAAATGGAAATGATAAGAAACTGCCTATGAAGTAGGTTATCACAGGAAGTAGGCACAAGGAGGGTAAGTCACCTGCCCAAAGAGTCAAATGGAGGCAAGGCCAGGCAGTAATCCCGCACCACTCTGCCACAACCTAAAGCCATTTGCTTTGACGACCTATATCTGTACCTCCCAATGCACTTACATTGGTTTGCATGTCTTCCTTCCCCTTCTATCCCATAAACTAGGCTCTATTTTTACTCTTACCAAGCTGAAAATGGTATTTAAACAAGAAGCTACTCAACAAGTGTCCATTCAAAATGGACACGTTTTAGGTTGACTCTGCTCCAGGGGAGTTTGGCACAGGGGAGCAGGGCAAGCTTTGATGGTGTGAGAGGGGTGGTTGGGGAGGCCAGCACTATGGGGTCTCTCGACTGCCCATATGTGCAGTGAGGGCATGACTTCAACTGGAAACATGGGAGCTCGAGGACCCTGGGCAGCTAAAAGAGATGTGGTACAAAGGGTTGTTGGGGGGCAAGCTCCAAACTGCTCAGGCTGCAGGGAGGGTAGAAGGTCAGAGCTGTGGTTTAAAAATATAACCACAAATTCTCAGTCAATCCTCCCCTGAAAAAAAATGAAGCCTAATTCTCCTCCCTTTGCAGATGGGCTGGACTAATTAATTTGTTTCTAGTAGAACACAGCAGAAACATCAGTGGGTGACTTCCATGGCTAGGTCATGAAAGAGTCTCTGCCTTACTCCCGTTTAGATCACCTGCTCTTGGGGAGCCAGATGCCATGTCATGAGGACACTCAAGCAGCCTGAGAGAGGGTCCACATAGTGAGCAACTGAGGCCTCCCACCAACAGCCAACAGGGCTAACCTCCTGCCAAGTGAGGTAGGGCCTTCAGAAGGCTTCTGTCCCTGCCAAGACCTTGGCTGAAACTTCATGAGGAATCCTGAGCCAGAACACAAGCTAAGCTATTCCCAAATTCCTCACCCACAGAAAATAAGCATTTATTGTTTTCAGCTAAGCTTTGGGTAAGCTGTTGGGCAGCAGTAGGTAACCATTAAACCTAACAAGGAACTGGCCACAAACAAAAGCCCAGGTGAAGGAGGAAGCTGGGGACAAGAGTGTGAATGATGCCTGAATTTCCTGTTCTCTGCCACCTTCTACACAATAGCCAAGATGTCCCCTGGCTTTGTAGACAAGTAAGTTCCCAAGACTCCCTTGCTCCTGGATAGAGTTTATTTCTTCAGGAACCCTCAGCAAAATATCTTAAGGATATTGACTTCCATTAAGAAAATCTTCTAGTTTCTTTCTAGATTGCAATCCTAGCTCATAAAGGAATGTCCAACTTCAGCCTTCAGTAGGAGAGAGTACCAGAAGGACAGATACAGGGGATATCAGCTCAGGTGGCCATTAAGCGACTCATAATTTCTTGGTGAGTCCAAAGTTAAGTTTTCAACATTGGCATATATTCTGAAAGCACACAGAATCCCTGATTCTAACCACAACATACTGGCAGCACACATTTCCAGAGACTGTTTCCCAATATGTGAGTACAGCAGCAGAGCTGGGGAAGTCCCTGAAATACCAAGTCACAAACAACAGGTGGAAAGCTTTGGAGAGCTGCCCCCTAGTGGCAGGAGCAAACTACAGTTCCATTGAGAACAATAACAAACGCATGGTAAGCTGACTGCGCATGTGTCAGAAACTCTGCTGACCCATTTACACGCATTCTCTCCTTAACCCCCAGCAGATGCCCACGACAGAGCAGCTGTTAGACCTCATTTTGCTGATGAGTAAACGGAGACACAGTGGTGTTAGCATCCCAGCCACGAGGAGCACCAACCCCAAGGCTGCCAGCCCTGTGTTCCCACTTGTCCCCTACAGTTTCCTCAGGTTTATAAGATCCCTGTGGTAAAAATAAGTGGCTCTGCCAAGGCCAGAGGGTCCCTCACACTTCAATCCTGTGGCTGCCTAGGAATGGACAGCTCTGGGAGCCCAGCCATCACCTCCGGTCCCGTTGACCTGAGAAACACTCACTCCAGAGGCAGAATTAGCCAAGCTGAGACGCTACCCACCTCAGCCGCTGACAAAATGTGAAACTCACTTGCTTAACTACAAATTGCTATTGCAAAGCTAAGTGGTGAGAGACATCGATGTTCACCCTGGAGCCCAAGATCTCCTGCTCATAATACAGAAGAGGGCTGGCAAAACGCTGCTGTGCTTTATGGAGAGCAGCAGCAGGAGATCCCTGGGGCTGTGCTTTCTTCCCAGCTTCAGGCAGGGAATAGGTTTCTCAAGTTCTCACACCCAGCTTGCGGCCTCCTCCCCTCCTCTCCCACCCTCCTCCTACCCAAGCTCCCAGAAGCCCACACGGATCCAGCTGAGCCAGTCCCCCTGCCACCCACTCCCACCAGCACCCCAGAGCACTTCCATGTCTCTTCCCCTGGGTTCCCATGGAATTTGTGTTTCAGGGGGACTCCGAAGGAATCTGTCCTAACAGATGGCTGTGCAGAGGCAGAGGATCCACCCCAGAACACAGGGCTGGGCCAACAATTTTGCAGGAAGAATGACACAGCTGCAGGCAAAGACCTTCAGGGAGCCTGGGACAGGTGCTGTGTTGTGTCCTGGGCTCACCTCAGGTGGGGTCTTAGCTTTGCAATAGCAATTTGTAGCAATTTGTAGCAGAGCTCAGACCTACCTCCGGGGGGACGTCGAAGGGCTCCACCTCCACCTCGGTGGAGTGAGCTCTGTCCGACGGCTGCTGGGGCTTCCCATCATCGGCTCTGTCCGCCTTGTCCTTACTGGAGCCTTTGGAAGACTTGGAGTCTTTGTCCTTGGAAGACAACTTCAGCTCCTTCAGTGCCTTGGAAAACTTGGACTCCTGTGCCCCTCCTGAGAGGATTTCCACAGCAATTTCTACCAAGATTCTGCCCCTGAATGACACCCCTTCCCCAAAGCCTTCATTCAGTTCCTGGTAGTCGTCCATCAGACTGTGGTTCCTGGGGGAGCCGTACAGGTTGATCCAGGCAGGTCCAAAGGTAGGGAGGAAGCCTAGGAGGACCCCGAGCTTTAGTCATCTGGCAGGTTTTCAAGTTTAACACGCATTCTCTTTATCAAAGCTATTCGCAGTCTTTTAAAAATATACAATACGCAGAAAAGACGAAAGAGGGTATTTGCAGGATATAGTATCACCAAAAGACATTGAACTGATTTTTCTTTTCATCTTTTTTCTGTACGTGTCCCATTTGTAACATTTGTAGTACTGTTATGAAGGCCGACGAGCCTCCCTTTGCCTCCCTTCATTCATCAAACGTTTATTGACTCCTAACCAAGCCAGCCACTGCGCCAGAGACCAACCAAAGAGCTCAGCAGAGGACAAGCAGACACAAACACTGAACAAATAAATATTTACATTATAAACACCACAAGGGAGACCTACAAACAGCAGGCTGATACTGCATGGAGAGGAGTTAGGCAGGCAGAGAGAGAAGGGAGGGAGAGAGAGCAAGAATGCATGTGTGTGCATGTGTGTGCACATGCGTGTGTGTGCACATGCGTGTGTGTGTGTGTGTGTGTGTGTTCTGGGCTGGGGAGCAGCATGTGCCAGTTGGAGAGGAGCAGGGAGCTAAAGATTGAGCTGAATGAGGAGCCAGTGGGAGGTGGTGTCTTAGAGGTCTTGATAAGGATTTTGGTCTTTATCTTAAATTCCATGGGGATACATGAAAGGAATGTAAGCAAAGATGTGGTACGGTCACATCTCTTTTAAGATCACTGTGCTGCTCTGTGGAGGGGAATGAAAACAGATGTGGGCATACTGGCCCACTGACCATTTCATCATCAAAACTGAAGACATCAGCGGCTTGGAACAGGGTAAGGTAGCTGAGATGAAGAGAAATGAGTGCTTCTAGATATGTTCTAAACATAGAGCTGAAAAGACCTGGTAATTTTAACTTGTTCCTGGCATAAGTATTTTCCCTTCTTAAAATATAGTGTTGGAGAAAATGCACAGTATCTTTGGGAACATCTCTTTGGCAACATTAATATTCCTTTTTGGCTCACAGTTCAGCCTCGTGGTCCTGAAGTTTGAATCTCAGCTCTGGCACTTTCAAACTATGTGACTTTGCACAAGTTTTGTCACTTTTTTTTTAACTTCTCTATGCCTCAGTTTCCTCATCTAGAGGAATTGTTAATAGTGCCTATCTCACCTACCAAAATTAAGAGAAATTGCTGAGGTGATATTGGCCCAGTTATATTGTTGTATTGTGTGCGAGTACAAATGTGTAACAACAAATCCCATCAATATGTACAACTATAATGCACCAATAAAAATGTGGAAAATTTTCAAAAAGTAATCATGTCTAAGAAGCGTTTCACACAGACCCTTGGGGAATGTTTAAGAATATTACTATTGTGAATAAATAAATGTATCTTAATTTGCCTACAATTCCCCCACGGTGGACAATTAGATGTTTCCATACATGTTTCTGTTAATAGTCGTTTTGTGCCTAAATGTTCTCTATCTGGCCCTGACTTCAATGGAGTAGATTCTCGCCCTCCCTTATGTAGACTTGGAGCAGGGAAATTGTATTAAAGGAAATAGAGAGATTTTATGGTCCCTGATGTCTTCTTGTTAAGCACTGATATCCATCTTCCTGAACACATCAAAGTGCTTCTGAAAAGTTGTGAATAAAACATGCTGGCATCGGAAATGGGAAAATGGTGTAGACGGGGGACTGTGCTTTTCTGTGTCAAGTGGTAAATGCTTCCATAATGTGAAGAAAGAGACAATGGAAATCCATTGAGACCTTTCTATGCTGTCGCCCATGAGGGGCATAAAATTATGTAATTCCTGTTCTCTGTTCTTAGCAAGGCTTCAATCTGATAGAGGGAAAAGGTACCATAACTATACTAACTTCATATATGATATATTTATGATGTTCTACCTGTATGCACTTATGTGTTTGGGTTTGTGCATACATGTGTGTGATCTGTGTGTGTGCATGCCTCCATAATTGTCCATTAGCATAAACTAGCAGTACAGGGAAAGGTTGCCTGGGGATTTAAAGAGGAGGGGTATGTTGAGCTATTTGGGGAATTGTCACCCTCTAGCTAGGTTTTCCAAACAAAAAGCCATACACTGAAGTCAGGTGCGGTGGCATACACCTGTAATTCCCAGTGGCTCAGGAGGCTGAGGCATAAGGATAGTGAGTTCAAAGCCAGCCTCAGCAACAGCAGGGGGCTAAGCACCTGAGTGAAACCCTGTTCTAAATAAAATATAAAAAAGGATGGGGATGTGTCTCAGTGGTTGAGTGTACCTGAGTTCAATCCCCAGGACCCCCCCCCCAAAAAAAAAGGTATAATACTGAGTAGAAGCTCTTTCCCTGACCCCTTCCTGCTGACTTGGGGGTTAGCTGGGACTCTCTATTCCCTTCCTGGATTATTCTGCCGGCCACAGCTCCCCACCAACCTCATAATTTCATGCTCCCATCAGTGGTTGGGGACGTAATTGTGGTGGGGGGATCTGAAATGTAAAATCCATTTTGCTTGTGAGTCGTTCCAAATTTTTTAAAAATCTAGTGAGTCAGATTAGGTGGATAAACCTGAGTTTACCAACCTCAGATCTAATCAATTAGATTCTATCAAGGACACAGAGTGGTGCTCATGGAAGACCTGGGACCAGGACCAACCTGCCCCCCTGAGCCCAGCTCCAACCTCCACCCTGAACCAAGCCAAGCTGCAGACCAACAGAAGCCTGGCCAGGCCTAACACCTGCCGCCTGGACCCTAAAGACGAGGGCCCGAATGCCGTCATTTTGAGACCTGTTTCCAAGGCAGACAAGGGAGGCTTCACCTTTATCTCCATCCTGCTCATTGGAGATCTTCTTCAGGTCGATGAAGTGGGTTGCCAGCGCCACGTCATTCATGCTGCCTTCGTCCCACACCTGGATCTTCACCCTCCGACACAAGGGAGGGAACATTTCCTTGAAGACCACCTGTTCGTGCCACACGGGGTTGGCACAGTTCTTTTGCACTGTGGTTCGCCCCTAAAAACAGACAGAAGGATGTGAGCTGTGAAAGCAAGTGACTCTCTGCGGAAAGCTCCTCATGCCAGCTGGAGATGGGAAGCAAGCAGCCCAAAATACTGAAGCTGCTTCCCCCTGGCACTCAGGAAAATCAACTGCACCCAACACACTGTTGGAGGACCCCCTCGGTGCTGGCTGCTGTGCGAGGCACCAGGGACAAAAGCGAGTCAGTGCTCTTGGGAAGTGCTAATGGGCACATCAGAGCTGGGCTGGAACTACCACCTGTGCATCTCCAGGAAGGCCCTGGTCAGACCTCACCCCCAATAAGTGGGGTGAAAGCACTACTGGTGGCAAAGCACTACTCTTGTCTGGACCTTGTTTTTGTTGTTGTGTTGTTGTTATAAAGTGGAGATGATTTCCTATATGACCTCCAAGAACTTGAGGCAAAAATACTACCACGTTCACCCCTTCCAAAGGAGGCATCAGGGTGACTTTATGTTTTGGTAGCAGTGACATTTGTGTCAGCCTGAAGCTTCAAAGTCCAGTCAACCAGGATGGAGCTCTACCATGTACCCAGGTCCTGGTCCTTTCTGTGGCCTTGAGCAGGGAACAGGTTTCCAGGCTTATGCAGGACGAGGACCCTGGGATCCTTTGTGAAACAGATCAGAAAATGGTGGTGATTCTACAGGGGTTGGGGACTAGGTGGTGGCTCGGAGACATAACCAGTGGTGAGGAAGGATGCCTGTCATCCTGGGTCCTAAATCATAATCCACCCTGAGTCCTTCCCTTATTCTAATGAGGAGTAAGTGGGCAACACCCCCAAATCCCACCCACCACCTGACCCAGTGCCTTCTGTTGCAATTCTTGTCTTTCAAGGCACTGCCCAATTTTTATTTTAAAATTTTGTTTGATTAAAATGCCCGGGATACAGAGCAGGATCCTAGCCCAGGCCTGCTAGAACTGGTGACAATGGTTCCTTACCGTCTGCCCAGCAAAGGTGACCTCCACAAAGGGATCCACGAGGTCCTTACTGTCACCCACAAATGCTTTGGTGACGTTTGCCATGATGCTGGAATTCATTTTGGGCAGTCCTTCTGCCTTGTAGAGTCTTACATAGAATCTGGCCCAGGGTCTCTCTGATGGAAACCCCTGGGGTATCAAAAGGTTCCTTAGAAGGGGAAATAAATAAATATATAAATAAATAGGAAGCCCTCTCATTTGAAAGAATAGAAAAGACAGAAGCAATTTGGAAGCAGAAAAAGACTTTGGGTATATAAGAAGACTTCGGATTTGCCCCTAAAATGAGTTTTCTTTCTAGTGTAAATCACAGTGAAGGGTCAGAATAGAGCCCATGCAAACTCCTCTAGGTTCTGGAATCACAGAGCAGACACTGTCTCCCACTCTGCACCTTAAAAGGGAGCATTTAAGTCTCCCCAGGTCACAAATCAGGAGTCAAAATTATCATTCCTTCAAAGAAAACTCATCTACATTTGGATAAATCAGGTAAGCTCAGCATATCCATAACAGGTATCAGAGGAAGACACACCATTCTTGTCCTCACAGCTGACCTCCCGAGGGAAAGCCATGACTTTGAGGAGACACATCATAGTGCTTCTGATGGAGCAAAGTCCGTGTTACTTAACAGTTCTCATGCAGCAATAAAGGGGTGGAAAGGGGTGGAGGAAGGAAAAAGGTATAAAATTGGGGCACATCATTTCTCTTCAATGGTGGATCTGACTCACTTTTCTATTTGCTCCTCAGCATCAGAGGTTTTGGGGTTGGTCTTTAAGATGTCGCCTTTCCCGGTCACGCTGATGTCGCACTTCAGGTAGCCCTTGGTACCAGTCCTGATGTCACTGGGGTCTGTGAGCAGCGCCCACTTGTCACTGAACTGATGACCTATAAAAACATCTTGACAGCTCAGCTTCCCTGCAATGGGCCCCACGGCTCTACCCCGTCCCCTCCCACACCCTCCCCAACCCACCATGGTGACTCCTGCAGCAGCCCAGCTCAGTCATGCCTTCCTCCTTCCTCTCCCTCCCTCTCCTTTTGCTTCCCACCTGTTTCTCTGCCTTTCTTTCCAATCACCACAGTATTTGGGAAACTCTCAACCTAGGAATGACCTGGGCAGGATTCCAGCTTTGACCAGCGAGGGGGGACATTAATGGAGGGTAGGAGTCAATCACTTGCCCACAGGCCATCAATGTGGCTCATAGATCTTTCTGTTGGCCTATGCTGTGAGTCAGAACATCAAGATCACTTACAAAAGCTAGACGTCTGGCTTATCTTTAAAAATAAATATTGGGGCTGGGGATATAGCTTGGTTGGTAGAGTGCTTGCCTCGCATGCACAAAGCCCTGGGTTTTATCTCCAGCACCACACACAAAAAAAATTACTGGCAACACTAGATTCATATTTCCATATGATGGCCAATGCTAAAGGAGTCCAGTAGCTGCTGCTGTTCTACGATGGTTCAGGAGCCTCCCATTCCCTGAAGACTCTGTCACTCCCTAAGATGTGGTACCCATCTGCTCTCAGCCATGGTCACTCTGTGGTCCCCTGAGATCCTAAGACTTGAAATCACCTGAGAAGAGAAAGGGCCTTTCATGAGAAGTTCTATGTTAGTTGCTGGCTCCATTATTTATTAGCTCTTGACCTTGGACAAATTATCTAACTTGTCTGCATTTCACTTTCTTATAACAGGGATAATAATTATTATTATGGTGCAGCCTGATGTGAAATGCCAGTCTCATTATGTTCTAGGCTCTCTATAAGCACATATGTATTTGTTAACTTCATACTCCAAAAACCGATGAAGGAGGCATCAATTTATCCTAATTTCTACAGATGAGGAAACCGAGGCACAGAGAAGTTAAATCCTTCATTCAGAGTTGCACATCTTGGAAATAGCAGAGTGAAATTTGGATTCAGGCCAGATTCTTAGCTTCTACTGTCTATTAGCACTCCTAGTTATGTGTCACAGTGCTAAATTAGTCAGAATTTGTGTGAAAAATAAATCAAAACTATTTAGAGTGGACATGGAAGATAATCTTATCATTTGATGGCAAGATCCATGTCTCATGTAACTTTGCATAATTGGTGCTAATTTTTATTGAATGAATGGTCAACTGGAAGAGTGAATGAATAAGAAGTCCTTGGGTGCTATAAACCAGAGTCAGAAACAGAGATGGGGAGGTGATGCGTTCTTACCAGGTTGGTTGTACACAGTCCCCAGATCTACTTTGAAAGAGCCAATCAGTATGCTTCCAATCAGCTTGTGGTGAAGGACCTGGGGAGAGATGGATCGGTGAGTCCATCACATTTATCTTTGAGAATGACTCTTGAAATGGGCTCTTTATACCTCAAAGACGCTTCTAGGCTTTGACCCTTCCCAGGCTTTGACCTTCATCTGGATCACAACAGCATTTAGTCATCAAACCACAGAGTCACAAAGGGCCTTCAGAAATATCTCACCTGTACTTCTACCTCCAGCAGGTGGTCCCCCTATTCTCTATTGATGGACACCTGAAACTTGCAAGGCCTGAAAGTTTTCTTTAACCAAAATGAACCCTAGTGCAGCCTGCTTGTCAATGCCTACCTCTGTCTGCTGAAACTCTACCCAGAACAACTGTCACCTCCTCCAAGCAGCCCTCCCTCAGCCTCAGCCCTACCCCTGGCTGAAACTCTTCCCCCCAAACTGCCAAACTGCTTTGCTCACAACCTTCCCAGGGAACTCATCAAGCACTGCCTTAAGCCATTTGCAATAGAAGGAAGGTGATCATCCTCAAGCTGATCAGAAGCCCGCAGAGTGCCCCATAACATCTCGAAATGAAGAAGAACTTGAGGAAGGTGGCAGAGTGGGTTCCCATCCCCAAATGCCCATTCACTGTTCAAAAAGCTGCTGAAGAATCAGGATTAGTTTAATCCTGAAGCAAAAAAATAAAAAACAAAACAAAAGAGGGCAGTGAGGGGCTGAGCAGAGAAAGGGCAAAAGAACTCCGGTGACTCAGACCTGGGAAATGCTGTCATCCAGAAAAGGGGACCAGATCCCCTGAGTGGTGCTCAAGTAACAGGATGAGAGACTTCAGCTCCCTAGAGGAAAAAATTTCATGAAAGTCGGAACTTCTCAGCAATGTAGTAGAATTTCTTGGAGACAGTGACCTCACCATCACTGGTAATAATCATCATGTCCCAAGAAACCTGTGTCAGGCAGGAGGTGGAGGGGGATCCCAGCAGCACTTGGAACTTAGGCTCGATGGCCCTGAGCTTCCTCCTAACTATAAATGGACCTATGAGCTGCTTGATTCAAGGTCAGTTTCCTACAGTCTCCCATCCACCCCACAGTCTTGCTCATGATAGATGTTCAATAAACATTTAGTGAATGAATAATCGAATGATGGATGAATGGGAGACTTTTGTGGCTTCTGAATAGCCCCTTTTGGCAGAAGCAGTGAGAAACAATAAATTCAGCTGACCTCACGAAATGACAGTCCTTCCCTCTTCTCTTTCCACTCTCTCTCACTTGCCCAAATCTCCCAACCGTGTTAGAGAACTGGGGGGAAGTAAGGACAGCCTGGCTTGAGTAGAGGAGCTATTTAAGGCCACACAGAAAGCTCATTCTACAACCCACCACACTTGCAGGAGCGGCCGTGGCTTCCCGAAGGTCTGAGGAAGACCAGACACCTGTCTCAGGTTCTCCTTGCAGGAGAGGGGCGGCAAGCAGGATGAGCCCCAAGCAAATCTTCCAATAACACAGGAGACTTCAAGTCATCCACTAAGGGTTCAACTGCTGGGCAATACTGGTGTGGCAGAGCATGCAGTGCCAGGACCCTGAAGACATCTAACACACAGAGTGCAGGGGCCCTGCGTACCTTGGGCCACTGTCACTGAAAGATGGTCTTGGGGTGTGTAGCAGCTTGGCTGTGCCAATAGCACCTGCTCACAGCCCTCTCCTGACTCTTCTCCCACATTGAATTTTTCCTGAGCACATTGACTTTCAGTTCATGAACTTGCAGAAAAAATCATATTCAATGTTTCCTTCTCAAGAGGAGTTCTTGAAAATATCCCCCCACCCCTGTCTTTTGGAGTCGTTTAGGGATGCCCAAAACATTCTCATCTTCCAAGTTAGGGGAACAGAGATGTGAACTTTGACCCTCTGTCTGAAAAATCTTTGTGTCCCACAAACAGTCACTACCCTTGTCTATGATCTGATGTTAAAGCCCGGTGATGTCCTGTTCATCTGAGACTAAGGAGTCCCTTAGGAGCAACTGTAAAGCCACTCCACAAACAGGAGCGATGGAGCAAAGTCCTGGGCAGCATCCCAGGTCCCAAAATACCTTCTGCGCCACTTGTCATCTGCCTGAAATTCAAACACTAAGAATGTTGGCTCTCGGTGACTTCATTCCTCAAGAGTCACATTCTTCAAATGCCCCCAAGAAGGACAATACCACAGCACCACCAGGACCCAGGCCTTAATGCAGGACTTCATTGACATTCAGCTTTGGTTGAAGGGAACGGGTCATGGATGTGTTTATTAAATTAAGTGGGTGATGGGCGAAGGGTGGATGAAGGCAGACGAGGAGAGAGGACAGGCCAGGAAAGTTCTAAGACAGGTTTTGTCATCCCCACAGTCTGATTTGACTTGGAATGACTGTTGAGGATGTCAACCCCTATTCTCCACACCTCCACTGACATACAAAGTGGGTGTTCTGTTCTTTCAGAATCCAGCCCCTACCCACTACCCTCAACACGGGCACTTTCCCTTCCCATTCCTGTCTTCCATATGGAGAGCAAACCTGGACAAGGCCCCTGCCTGGACCAGGAAGCCCTGTGTCTACTCTTCAGGTCTCTGGGAGCAGTGATTCCCCTGGTGGGGCTGAGGAAGGGTCTCCCAGGGGCAGGACTTGGAGACAATCTTTGAGAATCTCAATGGCTACCACAAGCTCCAAATCACATTCTCTGATCCAGTATCACCATAGATGAGACTGACATATATGATGCCTTCCTGATTCTTGTTCCTATTTCTCCATTTATCACCAACTAGAAAGGGAAAGTGCTGTGACTATGATCATTAGTGCAGATATCATCCTGAGAGAGAACACCAACCTAGGCTTGGTAAAAAACAAACAAACAAACAAAAACAAACCTAAAAATGGCACTCCATTAAGATGTCATTTGAAGCATGTGTTTATGCCCACATTTGATTAGTAATAGATTTACCAGAGCTTACAACTTGCTTCCAAGAAGCATGGCTCCTTTTAAGAATCTCCCAAATTCCTCTATACTTGTGATTTCAGGTTCTAGTCTGTTGGTTTACAATTCACCAACCTACACTCACCCTCCTGAATCTACCCATCCCTGTGCATGCTTAGCTGTCAGAGTCCCCAGTGCCTAGAATCTCCCCCACCTTCCACCACCACCATCACCACCAAGGGTATACTCACTGAGATTTTGATGATCTTGTCAAAAAGATGCACTTGGGGCCCAATGAAGTCGAAGACAAAGTACTGAAAAACACGAAGTGCATTGTGGCAGTGACTCTAGTCTCACATGTAAGAACCCTGTTCTGGAGTGATTTTAGATCTGCCTCACTCTAACTGCTGCATGGTCCCCAGTGGCAGGAATATATCACCAGCTGATTGGCTATCCCCTACTGAAGGTCATTTAGGCTATCAAAAGTTTTTAATACAAAAAGAGAAGAATGTCACCAACCACATGCTTGCATGGGATATGTGTACGTATTCTTCTAAAATAGAAGAAGTAGAAGAGTAGGGTCGTGGATTATGTGCATGTAAATTTTTAATAGATAATATTAAAATTTTCTTCTAAAAGACCTACCCCACAAGGAGCTATGAAAATAGCCATTTCCCCATAATACTTTTGCCAGTCCTTGATACTGTTAGTGTTTCTTTTCTTTTTGCTTATAGTGAGAGTTCAAATGGTACCTGAGTGGTGTTTTTTTTTTAAAATTTGGAATAACTTTGATTAAATCTTATTTTTTTCAGGATTTTCATATGAAATTACCAAGCTTGACCAAGAAGAGAGAGAATTTTTTAAATTATGAACATGGGAGATTTTTTATATTAATAAAGCAATTAAATTTCATAGTCTAGAAATTATCTGGACTGGTCCCCATATTATACATATAAAACTGAAGAGTAAAGAACATAAAAGATGTGGCTTAGATTCATATCACTAGTTTTTTCTGGACCAAACATTATTTCTTCTGAAGTAATCACACAAGAAAATAGACAAGAACCAGCCAATTGGAGCCATGTTCCTCCCAAACAGAGGTTTATGGTTCTAGGAGATGAGACACTGAGTGGTGTCAGGGTCTGCTTGGTTGTTCCTGGGGACTGGTGGGGATCAATGAGGCAGAACTGGGAGGCCACTGACCCCTGAATTCTTTCTTTTGAGCTGCAGGATCCAGAAATGACACATGAGGGATGGTCATAGAAAGTAGAAAAGGAGAAACTGACCACTAGCAGCTTTCCTTCAAAGGGCAAAATAGGAAAACCAAAATACAGTGCCATGCACTATAACCAGAGTTCTTCAAAATGGTGGTCCTTAGGTAGCAATGAAAGGTGTCATGACATTCAGTGTCTTCTGCTTAATATGAAAATATATGTGACATTTCAGGAAATTTTTACATACAGAATATGTTCAACTTTTAAAGAGTTTTTGTGTTCAAAATTGACATGAAAAATTCACTTATGAACTTCCTCAGTCTCTGATAAGGCTGAACATATGAGATGCAGTGGGTTCCTCTGGGATGATAAATCAATTCCAATGTTTGCTGCCTTCTGCTCAGTTTCATGTGTTCCAAACAACAGCCCCAGGCAGGTTCCCTAGACCCCTAGACCACACACATTTTTCTAGCTGGAAAATACTCCCCAGCCCCTACTAACTAGTTCCTTCAACATCTGATGACCTTTGGGCTTGAAAATTCGAGTCAAAAGCTATGACAAACGTCCTGCGTTCACCCTCCATGTTTTTGCTTGATTTCCTACTGATTACACTTGGGTCCAATTTAATGTCATTTAGATCCAGGAATTTTATGCAGAATTATAATAATTAACAAATCTATAAGGCTTTGAAGTTTCAAAGCATTTTCGTGCACATGATCTCATATCATATCCTTGCCAAAAGATGTCTTGGGGGCCAGACATGGAACAGGAAGGGGATAAAGACTGACATTTTAAAGGTTAGAGGAATACAAAGAGGAAAGGAACTAACAGCTCAAATGGGATTTGGGTATTTTTTGTTAATGTCATTATCCATGCTCTTCTTGTCTTCCTTTTTAATTAAAACTCCCATTAGAATAATAATTAAGAGTTTGCTGCATTTTTTGATAATTCCTGGTGTCAAAACACCTACTGGAAAAGAATCTCTCCTGTGCAGTTAGAGAATAAACTGTTACCTCTTGGAAGGGAATTTAGTGATATCAAAATTTTAAACACACATACCCCATGCCCCAATTATACCATATAAATATTATTATAAGTAGTGGCAAAATGCTGAAAAAGTTAATATCCATGAATGAGATACTGACTGGTTTAGTAAGTTATGGTACATCAAGGCATGAGGGAGAAGTAAGATTGAACTGCATGTTCAGTGATGGACTAATCTCCAAGGTATGGGGTTTCATGAAAAGACCAAGACCTAGGTGCAGTATGGAATGCTACCATATTTACTTGTATTCCTGAACATGCTTGGGCTATCTCTGAATGACAGCCAAATGCCTGGTGAGAATGGATGATTTCAGGGAAAAGGTCTAGGAGATTGGGGACCAAAGATCAGAAGGAAACAACATTTTTTACTGTACATGATATTGTCTGTCACACAATACTTTCATTTTGTAAAGAGAATTTAGTATGTTTAATATTTAGAAGCTTCTCTCTTTGAAGTTTTCCTTCACAATCACTACATAGCTTAAAAAATATTACTGTTTTGCTTTCCAATATGGTATGGCTATTTCAAAATCAGTAATTAAATTTGTGATTTCTCTGCCATGGAAAAGAATGTGTATCTTCTCCCTGACCAACCTTCTATGTTTATTAAGTGAAATCCAGAGTTTATCATGGATGAAAAGGAGCTTGCTGGGAGCCATTAGCCAAGTAGTGACAGGAGTAAACATCAAGGATGAATAAACAACATGAATCAGCAAAAGGACTTGTTTTGGACTTGTTTTGGACTTTGCAGTGACTAAGTGACTTTTTAGTTGTAAACATGTTTTGGTTATAGGATGACTAGATAGTATGCCCATGTTAGATAAGTTGATGATGTAACTAGGTAGTGTGCTTATGTTAGATAAGTTAGACATAAACAAGTTTGTTGTAAACATATAGAGTATATAAGCGCGAGGGAAACTCCATGTATTTGCTCACAATCAACTCTCATCGCCTGAGAGTAAGATCGTGCAGTGTGAGCCAGTCACCTCGTGTATTGCTTTGTGTGGTGTGCGAATAAACCAACATTTCAAAAGGCAATCGAGTTCGTGCTTGGTGTTCGCGTACGTCGCGGTCCGGGGTCCAGTGCAGATATCCGGAAGGGAACTCCTGGTAACCAGACAAGGCTGAGAAGCTGCTCGTGACAAGTAGGTATGACAATTTCCTTGCCAGTGTACCCCATGTTGCTTAGTGGAAGGACTCGTGGAAATAGGACATTTTGCAGTGACATTGCACTAAGGTGACCTTGCTCAAGGACCAGGGCGGATCCGGGTTTAGGGCGTTCCCGGTTTAGGACAATCCGGGTTTAGGGTGGTTCCAGGTTTAAGGTTATTCCTGCTGGGAGTAGGGCGTATCCTGCTGCCTGAGTTCCCCTTGAGTTCTCACGGGATTCAGACAGTATTTTTGGGGAGACAGAAGCCCAGTGGGGGTGGATTTGGGCAGAGAACATGGATTTCCCCAGAACGTGATTGTAGACGGCTGGTGTGAGTTCGGGAATAAAGAGTTGCTTTTTGAATCTACAAGCTGTGTGGTGGCTCGTGATTTTGTGCCCAGCCAGACTGCGGCAGGAGCTTATAAGAAATCTAATGGGCCTATTAAAAACATAGTGATGGCTTTAACCTCAGGGAGAATTCCTTGCCTCTCCTTTCCACTAACTTTTTGTTAAAAACCCTTGAGACGGTGTTTGTAAGGTGACTCAGAGCTTGCCATGAATTTGGACAAGGGGCGGTTTGAATGAGGAATTCTGCTGGATGGTGGTGGAGGCAACATTGGGGCTGGCAATGCTGGTGATCGCCACGACTCACTTCATTGTAAAACGGGCTGTTGGTTCCTTCCTTCACCGTGCTCTGCTTCTTCTCATCCCCAATCTCAATGGTCACAACAGGGTCAATGTTCTCACCCACCAGCTGGCGGGCCTCAGTGATGTTTATGGCAATCTACAATACAAAGCAGAGTGTCCGCCATGCTGGATACTGCCTATTGTTCACATGGGAGAACTGGGGTGGGAGAAGGCTGGGCAGGAAGAGGCAATCACTTACTTGATAATTTTGGGATTTGATGTCTCCATCATGGATCTTAGTCAGCAGTTTTGACCTGTAAATAGAAAATTCAATATACTTGTTTTATCAAGTAAGTACATACTTTGGAGCCATAAGCCATGATAATATTTTCCAAAGTATTTCTAAGGGTTTCATTTATATTGTATCACATATTCTCTCTACATCCCTGGGGAGATAAGTATAGTGGACAAGTGGCTTAACTTCTGTGACTCAGTTTCCCCATCCTAAAATGGAGTTATTAATAGTACTTACCACTCAAAGTGGAAGCTAGAATTCAATGCAAGCAAAACTTAAACCCAGTGCCTGGCAAGAATAAGTGTTAGTGGCACTTTTTATAAGATTACCCATATTATTTATACGATTTTGTTGGTTAATTTATAAAACTAGAAACTGAGAGTCTCAGAAAGTCAGTGGCAGAGCTGCGTCAAAATAAGGATCTGCCAATCTCCTGCCTGATCCTAGATACAGGACCACTTTGCCATTTCTAGTAGATATAATAATTCTGTGTTGTGATTACTTTTGAAAGGATTGGTAAAGGAGAAAATTGGAAAGGATGACCAAGATGCCATCTCCCTGAGATTTCACATCCCAGGCCTTTCATTTATCTGGGCCATCATAGGTCATTGAACAGATGTGTACTAGAGATTGGAAAGAGATGAAAGATCTTTGTTGTCCCAGAAGCAGCATCGGGTGGGAAGTGAACTGAGCTTGAGTTCCTATTGAATCGCATTCTCTTGGCTCCTGACAATACCATCTTTCGTGTGACTTCATTCCGTTTTCACGGAGTATAATTGGGTCTAGTGGAGAATAGAGTAAGCTAGTGAAAATCTCAAGGCTTTGGAATCAGATTGATGGGGATTAGAATATTTGTTCTTCCTAGTTTGGGACTTTACCTTTAAATTCCTTATCTGAAAGTGGAAATAATGATTCCTACCACCTAAGTTCACTCTGAGGGCTAAGGGAGATAATGCCTATAAGCAGAGGTAGATATCATTTATTACATTTATCAGTAAAATGGCAAGTTCATACTGATTTTTCATTATGTGAAAGCCCAGTGCTAGGCTCAGTTAAGAGAAAAACAGACAAGCTGCCATCTTGGCCCTAGAGCTGACGATCTAGCAGGGGGAAAGAGGAACAAGGCGCACAAGAAAAGAACTATTATATATAAGTGTAAAATAGACCAAAGGAGGGACATGCACTAGAAGAGATGTAGAGACAAAATTCCTGAAAGCAATTCACTGAAGAGATTGGATTTGAATTGAGCATTGGTGGCGGATAGAATTTCAATTGCTGGAGAATGCTCTGACCAAGGAGAAAGAAGAGACAACTACTCCTCGTTTTCCTTTCTCTTGCTTCTCTCCATTCAGAGCTATTATTTGGTAAAACGGATGACAAGAGATGCTTCGAAAGATATGAAATAGTTGAAGTCCCTAATCAGAGGCCAGGGGAAAGGGGGATAGGGTACAGAGTAGGGGGAAGGAGAAGTGACGTGAGGTTGTACACACAAGTTTAAGTCTTATTTTAATTGTCACCTCTGAGCCATCAGATTCTCATTTCTACCTGCACCTTTGCCCCTCCCCCACATACACTGCCATCCTGTCACAGTTCAGAAACAATAGCTCAGGGTCTGCCATGAAGGGTAGCACTAATCAGCTTTAGTAACAGTAACAACTGAGTGGAGAAAGAAGAAAAGGGCATGATGAATTTTTGTGAGTAAGAAATTAAATTAACATGAACAAATATGGCAGACGGAAAGCACTGCTAAGCCCATCATTGGCTTCTCTGTGCCCGAGCTTATAGCTGAGTACCTTGTAGTCTCCTTCCACTCTAACACAGGCTGACCTTGTAACTTGCATTGGCCAACAGAGTGCAGCAGAAATGACTTTTGCCAGTTCCAAGCCTAGGCCTCAAAAGACCTTGGGTACTCTGTTGGAATCCTGCAGTGTCGCCATTGGAACAAGCTCAGACTAACTTTCTGGAAGGTCTGATGCCAGAGTTTGGGAGCCCAGTGGTCACAGCTGAAGCAGTACCAGGCCAGCCTACCATCAGGCAACCCCAAAACTAAACTCAGTAGAACTGTCAAATGACCACATATAATCTATCAGCTCAGAGCAAAAATCAATACCTATGATATTAAGCGACTAATTTGGGAGTTATCTTTTATATATCAATTGTTCATTGATATAGCAGGAGAAAGCCAGTTTGTTTTGGACTTTTCTTGGTAGTATAGGAACCACCTTTTCATTTGGGACAAACACGAAGCTAAGACAATTATTATCTTGATGAATTAAAGAGCAAGTAAGGACAGCTCCTGGAATCTGTCTTCATTCCTTGCTGTCACTCCTGAACTATGAGGGGCATGTGTGTGTGTGTGTGCTTGTGTGTATGTGTGTGTGTGTGTATGGTGCTGGGAATTGAACTCCGGGCTTCACACATGCTGGGCAAATGCTCTACCACTGAGCTACATCCCCAGGCCCAGCAATAGCATCTTAACTCAGGAGAGACAGGATCCAAAGCTGGCAGAGCCAGGATTCTGGCCTGCTGAAGTCTGACCAGCATCAAGAGGCCAGGACTCAGGGAAAAGTGAGCAGGCACAGAAGTCCATCTTCCTGCCCTTTGGACAGTGACCAGGTCTTCTCTTCTGATCTGCAAGAGCCTTCAGGGGTACCTGGCACATAGGATGCACCCAGAAAATATGTCACGACCTGTGTCAACTCTATACCTTCTGTTCAGAGGAGCTGAGGGGGCAGGAGTGATGGAAGCATCGTCATGAATCAAATCTCCTACTGGTCCTTCCTGGTGAGAAGGTCCATCCTGTGGCAGTTCAGTTTCACTCTGACCATCTAGAGGAGCAAGCAAAGGAAGAGGATCCCGTTGAATTGAGACATAGTGGTGATCAGGCCCTCACTCTGTGCCCAGCACCATGGAAGCGTCACCCCAGGTATAGGAAACAAGAGGACAGTCTCTGCCACCATGAAACTTAACATCCTATTGGCAGAAAAGCCAGGCACATATCTTAATTTTTCTTAAAAAGAAAAAAAAAAAAAATATATATATATATATATATATATATATATATATACATATATATATATATATATCTTCTGTTAAAAAAAAGAACAGATGTATTTGGGTGGTCTTATGGAAAGAAAACTGTATGATGAACTAAAGATGTGCCTTTAGTTGTGACCTTGCAGAGTGGAACCTGAGAAAAGTCAGAGTCTCTCTGAGTCTCATCAGCAAAGTTTAAAGTACATAAGGATCAGCTGGGAAGCTCTTAAAGCGCAGACTCTGACTCAGTAGGTCTGGGAAGGTCCCAGATTCAGCATTTCTGACAGCAAGATCCAGGATGAGGTTCTTCCTACATCTGTCGGCCAGTTTTGAGCAGAAGTGCCATGCTCTGAAAAGATGGTGAGTCCTCATCGGGGAGCCTGTAAACATTGCCTTATTTGGAAAAGGTCTCTGTACATGTGGTTATTCAGGATTTTGAGATGAAGAGATTGTCCTGGATCATCTGGCTGGGCCCTAATCACAATCATATGCATCCTGACAAGGAGATTTCAAACAGAACAAAAATGCAGCAACCTGGCCCTGGGGGCAGGGATGCCACCAACATCCAAGGAAGGCCACAGCCACGGGAAGCTGGAAGGGACAAGAAACAGATTCTCTGGAGGGCATGGGGCCCCTTCATTTTAACACAGTGATACTGATGTCAGGCCGCTGGCCTCCATAACTGTGAAAGAATAAATTTGTATGGTGTTAAGTTACCAAGGTACTTGCCCTAGGTAGGTTTCTTGAGAAACCCCAGGAAATGGCTATACAAACACTTAGAAAATTTCGCTGAATGGCTAGCAGTCATTGTTTAGACTGTTTCCCTCCTAACCCCAGATTCTGATTAAGTTCATCTGGAATGTTGCCCAGATGTCAAGATTGTTTGAATTCCCCAGGTAGCTCTGAGGTGCAGCAGCAGAGCGTGAGAACCACTTCTCAACCAGGTTCCTGGCGGGCGGAAGAGTGGCTGGGCCTCCCTACTTCTCCCTGAGACTCCACATGGTGCAGTGGCTTGGTTTCCAATATCAGCCCTCCTTCTAGTTTTATGATTTGGGCAAATTACTGAAGTTCTCTCTGTTCTGTTTTGCTCATGTGTAAAATAAGGCAAATCAGGAAAATCAAACAAAACATATAAAGCCCCAGCACCATGACTGCCAGATTTGTCTGTAGAAAGGGCTGAAGCCTGTGAATTCCAAGTTGGGTGACTTAGCAAGTCACAGAATTTCTTGCTCTTTCTTTTCCTTTTCTGAAAGAATTGGGTCACAAAAGTGGTCTTCAGATTGTTTAAGGCAACAGAACACTTTTTTTTTGTACCAAAGATTGACCACAGGGGTGCTCAACCACTAAGCCACATCCTCAGACTTTTTTTGTATTTTATTTAGAGACAGGGTCTCACTGAGCTGCTTAGGGCCTCACTAAGTTGCTGAGGATAGTTTTGAGCTCATGATCCTCCTGTATCAGCCTCCCAAGCTGCTTGGATTACAGTTGTGCACCTCCACACCCAGCGTAACAGAATATTTTTGACAGTGTGATTTTTATATTGAATCTCAATATACATATAACATAAGTCCATTTGTACCAAACTGTCCTGTGTCATGGGTTGACACGGAGCAGGCCCTCATCACCACCCTGCTCATATTCCTCCAAAGACGTTTCTCAGAATCCCAGGGCTCCATGGGACTCAACTATAAAGACATGGTTAATAATTTCTAAGACACCTTCCAGTTTCAATGTATTTTGATTCTGGTTTCAGCTAGTCAATCACGTCAAAGAGTCCTGAATCAAAGCCAGATGAGATAACATAGCCCATGGCCAAGGAGCTCCCGCATGCAGGCATGGCCCCAGGAGGTGCTCAATGGTTCAGAGAGTGTCACTGAGTGAGCAGAACCTGCTTTGACCATCCTCTCACCCAGCAAACCAAAGCCACAGCCAGCACTAGAGATGCAGGTGGGCTGTGAGTGCCAGATGAGTGCCCTCAAACCACAAGATAAAATAAACTACCTGACCGCAAGGCTTTCCGGGATGAGGATCTACTGTCATACACTCAAATTTCCAGCGAATTTCCTTAGCATATGATGCGTGCTAGAGACTGTGGTAGGTGAGATGCTTGGTATGCAGGAATTAACCCTTTCTCCAGGGTCTTATGTTGTGGCTGGGAGGAGACATCTCAGTAGGAAGAGCATCTGCTAAGGCTTCTACAGCTTTCATTCATTCATTCATTGAATTCCTACTATGCTCTCCCCAATCTGCTCACCACGAGACATGCAGGCTAATCTAAAAAGTTAACCATATCACGTCACTTCTCTTCTTAAAACTCCTCAATGGCTTCCCACTGTACTTAGAAAAAGGTCTGAAGTCCATACATGGATCCAATGCCCTGCTCCATCTAGCTGCCACCTGCTCCTCCTGGCCACCTGTCCCTCTCTCCCCCCTTGCTGCTCTGTAGCCACACAGCCAGCTCTCTCCTGTCTTGGTGTTATTCTCCCTCTGCCTGAGCTGCTCTCCTCCCTGTCTGTCCTCTTGGGCTCCCTCTTACTTTGAAGTTTCAGTTCAAATGCTACCTTCCTAGAGAACCCCTCTCTTCACCAAAATCTCTATTTCGATGAGTCAGGAATCAATGGACTCCTCAACAACTCCACTTCAGCTACTGTCTGTTTCCTTTCTAGAACTCTTGTCAACTTATAATGCAGCTCCCTCAGGTAGGGTTCCGAGTGAACAGATGGCACATCCAGAATAGGATGACTTGAGGGCTTTTCATGAAGGTGTGGGTGTTGGAAAACCCCTAAAGCTCATGCAGTTATCCGAGGTAGCAGCCAAGCTGTTAGCTCTCCTCGGCTCCCGAGTGAGAAGAGGGAGGCCCAGAGAGTTACCAAGCCTTGAAGTCGAGGAAGCTTGAGTTGAGTCAGTCTCCCTAAGAGGGGCAGCTTTTTTCTTTCAGTAGAGGGATGCAATCAACTGGACCCTAGCTCCCTCTCCTCCCTTCCCAACCTCCTTCGGGGACCCCATTGGCCAGACACAACCTGAATCCAGAGGCTCAGGGACCTGGGTTATGCATCCACAGAGGTCAGCCTCCTGGGACAAAGAATGGGTGGAGAACAGGGCTAGAGGGCAAACAGAAGAGTCCACCACAGGGCTGTCCTCCCTCCAGATGACTCAGTGTCACCCTGTACACTCAGAACCCATCCCAGGACCTGACACTTAGCAGATGTTCCATCCCATTTGTTGAACAAGTGACTGGATGGAGGATCATGGGAGGTGCCCATAACTATTTGTTAAGTGACGAGTGAAAGGATGGCTTAGGGCAATGGGAATTCTAAGAGCACAGTGCATAACCACATGTCTGAAGATACAGACAAAAGAACAAGAGACTTTTAGAATCTCCAGCTGTTTCTCCCAGAAAAGCCCCAACTCTCTAGGCCAAGCCAAGAAGGAAAACCAGAGGCTGCATTCAGTTATTTGTTTGTCAGTCTCTTGCATGGTGGGCCCCACCCAGCAGGATGGAGGCCATTTGCTTTCTAGGAGGGGCCTGAGTCCTCTCGGGCCTGTTTGCTTTGTGGGCTGCCAACCATGATTAGATTGAGACCAGGAGCCAGTTCCTCTGAAATGCCCAGGTTGACTGCTCTAATTTCCACCAGCCTGTCAGTAAGGTCCCTAACTGAAGGCCAGCGCTTTGGGTAGGAAAGTGCAGACTGACCTGGGCTCAGGAGCTGGCTTCTCTACTAACTTCTCTATAACTTGAGGCAAGCCACTCACCCTGTCTTGAACCTCTGTTGTAAAGTAGGCAATAGAATCCACCGTTCAGGGTCATGAATAATGTATGTCAAGTAACAGGCAGTGGAGAGAGACTTATTAAATGTGTCACAAATATTTTCATGAGGTTGCTGAGAGAAGGAACTATGCCTTATTCAACCTTGGGTCTTCAGGATCCAATCTCTTGGATAACAAGAAAGACCCCAAAGCCTTTCCCATCCACTCCTCCATGTCATCAATTTGATTGAATAGAAAATTACTTCTGTTGGGCCCTAAGTCTTGTCCCCATTGCAAATAAAGTGCTCCTCTCCTCTCCATCCAAGGCTCCCCAGTACTTTCCTCTGTAAGTTTTATCTGAGGACAAAGAGTGGAGTTGAGTGGGCACAGGTCACAGGAAACCTGCGGTGGATGACAGTGAAGCAGCCCTTCCCCTTGAGTAGAAGAGAGGGGCAAATATTAACCGGGCTGTGTGTAGGCTGAGGAGTGGTCCAGAGAGCTGTCCTTGAACTGGCTGTTATCAGAGCCAATCAGCAGAAATCTCCAGCAGGTCCAGCCCCCTAGACCTGTCCCCTTGGGATGCCACTAATCCAATTTGATTCCATCCACTGGCACAGTTCATGCTGTACCTCAAAACTTTGCTCTTTTGGAGAAGGAAGTAGCCCATTCTAAAGGCAGGAGGTCTGAGAGCCTGGATTTACATCCCAGGGCCATGTGCTTCCTGGCTCAGTAACTCCCGCACTGGGAGCCAGTATGTGGCTCTGTAACCAGAAAGGGCCTCACACTCAGAAGGACCCCATTGCTTTGTGTAAGCCCCGTTGTCCCCATCTTGACATTCTTAACAATGGCTTTGTATTTTCATGTTTCCCTGGACCTTGCAAATCCTGCAGCCAATCGTTTCCACCCTGGTTGACTCTGCATCTCTGTAAACTCATTTGTAAAACTGAGGTAATGTTATTACTGCTGAGATGGAGTGAGGCGACGTGTAGCAAAGGTCCTCGGGTGATAATCCTCAGGCCATACCTGTGATGGGTGGCACCCGAAGCACCGCAGGCCGTCTTCCCCTCACTCCCATGGACAAGAACCACACTCAACCAAGGGGTCCCCTCTGGGAGGCCCCAGCCCTAGGTCAGCTCTGCCCCCCGCACCTCACCTTGCGCAGCCTTGTTGGCTAGGATTAACCCCTTCTCTCCTTTATTTTTCTTCTTCTTCTTCAGCTTCAGCCCAAACATTCCCTTTCTGAAAAGAAGAAGAAAAAACTAAATACATAGTAATAGAAACTTGAGTCATTCCGACCTGTTGGGAGAACGCAAATACACCAACCCTCAAATGCTCCCGGCTGACCAGCCTCCTCCTCCACCCAGGATGGGTCAGGAGACAAGGGTCGGGACGCCCACCCACTCCCCAGGTAGCTCTGCTTTCGCAGCAACAAGTGTGCCAAGAAGAGGCACGCTGGGATGCCAACAGCACAGCTGGTTCTCTTCCCCGGCTCCTGGCTCACCCGTGCCAGCACTTAAAAGGAGTTTTGGCTCAGCACAGCGATCATCTTCTGCCCATCTTACTGATGAGGAGCCGTGGCCCAGAGAGGCCAGGGGCTGTTTCTAAGGCCACACAGCTCCTTGGCATCAGAGATGGCATCAGAACCTAGGTCTGCCTGATTTCAGAGCACAGGGTCTCACCCGTGGGTGGCTGGAGCCTGACTATTCCCCTTGGCAGAGTGATCACCCTCTACAGAGCCAGACTCTCAGACTGTTTCTAAAGTGAAGAGGCACTGGGACTTCATGAGCTCCTGCCACAGGTGCACAGCTCAGCTGTGCCCAAAACATCAGCTACTCTTACTATTTTATGATTAGCAGTGAGCAGAGAGCTAGGTCGGAGCCCCCTCTCGTCTCTGAAAAGGGCTCCAAACCACTGGATCTAAGAGACAAGAACATTCCTGATGCTCCAGCCCCCGGAGGGAATCCCTGTCTGGAGCTGAGGGACTGAGGAGCCTGCAGCTCTGGATGGAGGGATAGATGGCCACAGTGCAGGGGATGGAGGCGGGGAACCAGGGCTATGCCCTCGGGGGAGAGCGCAGCAGAGCTGCTGCCCTGCTCTGTGGACACTTTGCCGCCCTGTAGTGGTGTGTGAGATGCTGGAACAGCAGGGCTCCTCCATTTAGCTCCTATCTAGGACTTGCAAGGTGGTGGTGGGAAAGGGTAAGATTGGGCACCATATTTGAGATGCCTGGACCTCAACACTGTCTTACAACTTCGCACAGGCCGCTTAGCCTCTGTACCCTGAGGGCACTGGTGTGTGGAGTGAGATGATAAATACAAAGAATTTAGCACAGTACCTGGGACACATTTGTTGCTCAATAAACCTTAGCCACTGCTATCTAAGGAAGGTGCTAGGAGACAGATGTCCACTGGATGCACCCACTTATTTACTCCTGTTCTTATTTGTTTATTTATTCTGCTTGTGTCCTGCTTTGATGCAGACAAATTAAGGAGCCTCCACATCTGTGCTGTCTTAACAGTGGGATGGGTGCTTTTGTGGGGGGAGGTCCCTGTCCCTGGGGGTGTGCAAGCAGGGAATTGAGGATAACTGTGAAGGGCGTGGCAGAGAGGACAAGCCTCTGATGAGGGCACTGGCCCAGGGGTCGGTGGGGGGTCCGTTGAGACCCTGAACTACAGGAGGATGGCAAGGGTGGGCTCTGGAGCACTGGGCATAGATGGCGCTCCTCACTCCCTGGGCCATCACGGGGCCTCAGTGAGCCTCAGTTTCCTTGTGTGGGGGATGGAGATAAGAACAGAGCCCCTACTTTACAGGACTCTTGTAAGAATGACACGGGGTAAAGGAAGCACAGTACTTAGAACAGTGTCTGGTGCACAGAAAGTACAAAATAAGTGCCCTTTCGGGAAGGAGCATTGCCTCCATGGGTTTGCCATTGTCTTGAGTTTTCCAGGAACCTCTGGAGAACAGACCCTGAGGGGACTCCCGATTTCTGAAATTTCTAAGAGAAAATTCCAGTAATAGTTCCTAGTACCATGTTGTCAAAGGGTAGTTACCAAACAGGGGACTCAAGGCCCGGGCCCTCCAAACCCTGAATTGTGGTCCCCCCCCCCCCCCAGGGCTCAGTTCATGGAGGCAGAAGCTGATGTTCCCAGGAACCTAGGAACCATGGAACGATGGCTCCGCAGGTGCTTGAGGAGGCTCTTACTGTCATCCACAATGGCAAGTTGCTACTAATAAAAGACAGCATCTGCAAGAGAGGGCATCCTATTCCTGCGAGGCTGACATCTTCATCAGGGATGGTCTTGGCATTCTGGATTCTCCCACAGGGAAGCCCCTGGGTATGGAGGCATGGCTGAGGTGCCATCATGGCCAGGGGAACAGAGAGATGGCCCTCCCCTTGTCCTTCTGAAATCAAGAGAACTTGACCCTGCTGCCCATTCGTGTCTGCTAAGGAAGTTTTTAAAAACACCAATGTATTGGAGGCATCCTTAATTCATCCAGGGCGGAGCAGAGGTCCAGAAGCACTGGTCAAGGCCCCTCTTGGACCTCCTACAGAACAGGCCAAAGGAACCTTCCAGGAATTCCCAAAGGATCGGCAACCAGCTGACCCTGTGGGTTGACTTCAGCTTCATAAACATGCAAATTGTTTGCCTGAAACTGTGAGTCAGTCGTCAAGGGCACGCCCAGCATGACGCCCAGCATGGAAAGGCTTCCAGATCAAAACTGATCTCTCTTCACCGCCCCATGACATGCAGAGAGGAGAGGAGGTGGGGCTTGCCAGCTCTGAACCATGGTGACACCGCAGATCAGGCTGCAGAAAGTGAGTCTGTGATGGGAGACAGCCCGGGCCCTGTGTGAATCCAATCCTAGAATCACGGGCTGGGTACTCAACATGGTTTCCCCCCCTTGATGTGAGAATATACTCATCTGATTCACAGGGTGACATTAAGGTGGGAAACAATGTAAAGTGCAGAGAATCCTACAAATTATTCCGATCTTAGCAACAAGGAAAGGTGAGTTTAACCTTTTTTGCAGCTGTATTGAGATGTTCCAGGAACCTCATTTTATACACATGACCTAGGATCGTAGGCCGTGAGGTAGATGTCATTGTCCTTTCTTACAAATGAGAGGTGGTCAAGGAGGTCCAGCCAATATATTGGGATCAACCACCGAATCAGGAGGACTTCCCTGGTAAGTCCCCAAGGCAGCTGCTCACACCCACCCTCTCCTTTGCTAAGCACACCAGCACAGAAACCCAGAAAGGACAAGGCTTTCTGTCTTAGGTACATTAAAACTCCTCCCAGGGCCACCCCAAGGTAAGCCAAGCGACGTGCAGGAACACCCATACCAACCTGGTCTCCTCGGGTTGAAAGCTACCGTGACTCCGATATCTGTATCCAAGCAACAAGAGCATTGAACAATTAGACATGCTTCAGTCTGTCTGTGGAGGGTGCTCTGTGTAGAGCACAGGGCCTCGCTGCCTGGCAGTCAGCCAGCCTGGCACCTAGGAAGAGGAGCTGGACCACAGGTGTTTGGGTCTCATCTAACCACTCGCTAACTGTGTCAGTGGGCCTGGCCAGGGGACTTCTCTGAGCACTAGGCTCTTCTTCTTTCTGTTCTTCTTCTTCTTCAGGAAGTGTCCATAAAGTGCTCTCTGCTTTTCTTCACTAGGATATGATAAAGACAACCTCCCTAAACCCCATGCTAAACTGTTTAAAAACTCCACAAATAGCTAATTTAATGTTATGTCCATGGCTCAGTGGAGCTAGGGTTAAAAATTGCCAGAGCCATGTGGTTCCCCAATTGAGTCATGAGACTCCTTCCCTTCAGGATTCACCTTGTCTACCTTCAATGCAGAACAGAAGCGGCTCAGGCCAGGTGGCCAAGCACTGAGTTAACTGTGCCAAGAGCGTGACCATACTGGTGCATGCTGACGGGTCCCCATCTACGAAGACACAGGACGCAGGTGACCTGCCTACTCCTACATCTCCCCTTCCGGGCCTGGAGCCATGACACCAGTATAGGAAAACAAAAAGAAAACAACAAAAAATACTTTGGCTGAGTGATGGATTTATTTATATGAAAACTCTTACAAACGTTTAAAAAATTACACTATATTTAATTACATATTTAGTAAAACTCCTTTATCAAAAATATATTTATATGTATTCGAGTTTCTCTTAAAAACAAAACAAACCAAAATATTTCCACGTTCATCCAAAGGGCCTTGGATAAATTCACAGTTGCCTGCTGGAAAAGACCTTCTTAGGAATATCCTACCTTTGCATTCATCTTATTTCTATGACTGGAATACATGTATTCAAGTCAAACCACTGAATATAGAAACAGCTGTAACTGAGTTTGATAGAAGATTGCTAAAATGGAAACCCCTGAAACTTTTTGCTCCCTCTTCCCATCTTCCTATCAAATTTTACCTGTTTGACGTCCTATTTCCTTAAGGTAATTATGCTCCACATCAAATTTAAATAAAGAGAGTTTTCTAAAACTGTCCCCCACATTCTGGCTGGATCCTATCCCAGTCTTTCATTGGTCAGGGCTGGGACCCAGGTGCAGGTGTTTTTGAAGCTTCCACGATTCTGATAGACATCAGGGTTGCAAACCCCTGTGGTCACATAATCAATGCCACAGTGCTACCCTCTCAATGAGAAGGAGGCTGATGTTTTATACATGAAATTCAAAAAATAATCTCTTAATGAAGAGATAAGATCAAATTTATTACATTTAGAACACTTGGCGGTAGGTTAGGTATTCAATGACCTAACCCCGTGGCTACAATTAGCCCACAGAATTGGCGGCCCCCTCTACTGAAGCATAGGATCCTCCCAGCCTTGGAGAAACACAATGCTGGTGTTCAAGAGGAAATCGTCACTCCCCTAGGGGATCAAAAGAGTCCCCAAGGGAGGCTGACGGCCTGGAAGGTTTGAGCACAGCTTCCATTCCAATGGGAACAAAGCTGCTCTGTGACTTGGGGTCTCTCACTCACGGTTAGGCCCTTACTTTTTACCTCCCAACTCCATCAGCCACCACAATGTCATCAAATGTCACAAGTCAACAGAGTCACTATGAAACGTGATGCTTCACCTGTAAGAAGTCAGCCAAGTCTGGAAAAGGCATCTGCAAGGATGCTAATTAATTCCTCCTCCTGTGACTCCTCTGAACCAAGGATGACTCAAGAGTAATTCAGAACCACACCGGGTAAAGCCACACCGTAGCACTTCAAG